AAGTTTGGATAACATCTGGCACACAAAACGAGACGGTGCAGATCTCCACGCGCCCCGAAAAAAAACGAAAACGCAGAGGAAGGTCAAGCTGATGATAGAGGCGCAAAACGCAGGAGGCTTTATGATGAGCAGCCAGCCGCCTGAATGCATCGATGAAGACGATGAAGATGAAGATTAATTCTTTTGCTCTGATTGTGGAGGGAATTCTGTTGATATGGTAGCGAGATGCAAGGGCGTGTTCACGCTCCTAAATTCCTAATAGTCAGTTATACATGTCTCCTGTTTACTAACTAACAATCTGCTACTATCACAGATCGCAGAAATCAATTATCAATGGAAGGATTGCCTCTCTGCCTTGTAAGAATTCCAAAATATCCTATATCTAGATGATGATCCGAGCGAGGAGGAACTCCAGCATATTCTTGGCAAACCTAGGTAGGTACCTCATTTTACGTATGAGAGCTGGTCTATAAGGTAGGCCCTCCCGAATCCCCCGGACGCTCCTTTTCATGATCATGATCATATATCCGAGAGCATGGATTCGCTAGGAATAACAGAGAGTGAACCAGAAGAACACAGACAGCAGAATGCATCGGCCGGCAAGTAACATAGACTGATGAGAGAGATGGTCTGGATTCGGACTTTTTGTTAACAGGATGCGTTTAATTGATTGATTATTTTTGTTTGGGTTGATTTTTCATAAGGAATCGAGGACAAGGTCCTACAGTTACCTTACCTTACCTTCTCGATTAGAAGGTGCTGTTGTACAGTCACGCGCATACGTACGGTCTCTGCAATCTTCGAAAGTGCTTTTGCATCCTCTCCTGCTCGGATTCTCAAAAACCTACTGTTTTTACAATTCCAAACGATAAAAAGTCGATATCATAGCTCCCAGTTTCTGTTCCTTTCCGTCAGCAACCAAGTTTACCTTTTGTGTTGCCGGCCGGAAGTATATATCGCTGGGTCTATATCCTGAATTTCTTTATATGTCGTTTTATGGCTTTTGTTACCTCTGTCCGGCCTTGTTCGCTTGTTATTTCAAGGTCTTACTTACTTCTCTTGGCATTCTCTAGACTCTCGCTATCTTGAGGCCAATGTTCACTACCTAGTACTTTCATGTATCGCCTTAAGGAGCAATTCATACAGGAATATGGTTTTTGATCGGAATATTAGTTTGTTACACTACTAAAGTCTAAAAGAGCGATTAACAAGTTCACCTACCTACCTAGGTAGGTAGATTCCACTCGAAGTGCAATATAAACCAAAGCAGGGAGGTCTTAATGGTTTTGCTGTCCAAGCCAACGCTTAGAAGCTTTTATAAACATCTCTCCCCCCTTTAGTTTCAATTCGCCCGTCTTTATATAATTACTATTATATAACGCTCTCGCGGAATCGAAAATCCGTAGTAGGGAACCGTGAGCGTAGCTCATTACTCCCCCCCCCCAACCCCCTTTTTTTCTCTTTTAGCTTCACAGAGATGCTCAACGTCCATTATCGATACAGAGGCAAAACAAGCATTCCGGGGCTGTCTCTTAGATGACGACACGTTTAGTTAGAGTCAGTGTGGTAGAGACACGATCAAAGGCAACATGTTCATGTAACGGAGTGAGTAAACTCTCTCTATTTGCCTCTAGAAAACCGACCTTACACAGCTCTCTGATCAAAACAAACGTTAGGAAGGCTGCAGCTGGCAGCTGCATTAGTATCCAGGACTATCTACCATATCAACCTCTTGATGACCCAAGCCAGGCTCGATTCTAGGCTATACTAGGCGGCGTTCCTAAGTTTACAGATAACAGTCTTGAACGACCGGTTAATATCGCTCCGGTTTTGCCAGAATTCTAGTTTGACTGCGTTACAGCGTAGATAGGGACGGCCTTCCCAAGCCTGACAAGCTCTCTTTCAGTGAATAGTGCTCTGATATGGACGGCAAACGGCAAGACAATGACGAAAGCACCTAAAGGAGTTGATACAGCCTTCAAAGTTCAGTATGTGCAAAACTAACGGCTATTCCTGTTGGCTCTCTGCATCTAATTTGTTATAAGCTCATAGTTCAGATAAATGCGGAGATACATACAGCTACGATCACTTAGGCGGAATATATCGACTGACGTATTCGAGGAGACTCAATCAAGCAGCGTCCAGTACAACTTCTAGCAAGGTGTCTGTCTATCCACAGGTTTGTAGTCAGGTTAACCAGAACCTGACCGCAGCACTAAGCAAGGAGGAGCTTATACAAAACAGTATTTAACAACCATTAGCAAAGTTATATTAATGTTTAAAACCCCGTCCGTCCAAAAAGCAGTTTTGCCTCTACATGCCAACGTCTCTACCCTTGTCTTCTTACTTTGACGTGTTGGCTCAGATAAGGTTGTTTATACGCCCTTTTTTTACAGGTTGAATTACTGTTTCTAGACATCCTTGGCACTGTATCAAAGTTAGTGCTACTTCTAAACGTCGAGATATATAACCTGTTCCTAGGAGCCTCTTTGATATATCTGGTCTACCCTCGATGCTCACTCAACCCATGGTCTAAACAACACTCCTTCTTTGAAAGAAATGGAGAGCCTCTCTTCCACCTATGAAGCGCTACTGTCCAATTGAGTTTTGACACCTCTGGAAGGGGAAGCTTGACAGTATTGATAGCCATCTCTAGCCATGATGGATACTGGATCTACACAGAGCGTCATTTTCTTGATCCGTCCACCGTCAAAAATCGTTAACGTCGACGTCAACTCGATGATCTTGAGCACTCCTATAGGGAACAGGTTGATTTAGATAACGTCCTTGAAATTGTAGCCAGTCTCAAAACAAGCTATGCACTTATAGCATGACATCTTCCAGAACCGACTTTTGCGAATGCGCTTTGCATGTACAAGGTCCGTCCACGAAGCTTAGCAATTTGAGGAGGCTTCACTTGAGTTATGAGGCTTGATTGAGATCGTGTATCTTGATAATTGGGAGGATTGGTGTTACCGTGTTTTATTTATATGTATAATGTGTCCCGGAAGGCTTGGGTATATTTAGAGTGAAAGAGACTACTAATTGGATCCTAGTTGTGAAGGAGACAGACAGCAAGCAATTGCATGAGAGCAAGGAGATTAGTAGTCTTTAAGGTAAGGTAGGAACAGAGGTCCGTAATAAATATAGGTTAACTAGGTTCTTATCGATAGCGTCGTGGTGTATCAACTTGAAAGATGCTTCGTCCAGCATAAGAAAGAGTATATATATGTTCTAGCTTTAGCCAATCGATCGTTGTATTCTTCCAATCAGTTGCCAGCGAGTTGCTTGGTGCCTTGATCTGCTGGCGCTTAGCAAACCGTTTCATCGTCCAAGTATGCAAAACTATCCCCACATCCTATTCACACTGTCAACGATGTTTGACTCATGATCATGCATCACCGCGAAATCGAGAGTTATCCCGGAGCGTTAACGTGATAAGCTAGGAAGGTGAACGTATCAAGAGCTTTAACATACTCCCACGCCTCGATATTTGTATCTTTCAATGCCCTCATTCCTTTTTTGCCTTGGTCGAGGACAAATTGCTCATGCAATTGGCCACTGGAGCTTTTGACTGGTTTTCCATATTGAGAGTATATGTTCTCTGCAATGTGCTGACAATGGTGGATATGTGTCACCAAGCCTTTCTCTCTGTCACTGATTACTACCAAATTTGTGCTGGCACTAGCTTTAAATCCGGGAATGCCTGGCCCATATTACCACAAAACCAGCTTCACCAACACCCATTTCCCTGTGGCATATCTTAAAAATGTTCAAACAAACCAGAGCACAGCAACGATAAATCGATAATAGAGAGAGGGCTGTCCCAACAGAAAGATAGATAGAAGACAGGCTTGCTCACCGCAACCGCTGGGTACGTGCCCGCTTTGAGTTGGCAAAGATGGGGTCCGTAGCTGAGCAGGAGAAATTATAATAGTATTATCATCGAGGCCATGCGCACGGTACACGAGGAGATAGCTACGTATCCACAACAACCCGGAAGACAACCATATTGGGAATCCATCTCGCAATCCCCTCTCTATATCATATCATCAAGGCACTTCCGAAGTTCCCGCACTGGCGGTTACCTATTCTAGTACTCGCCACGTGCCTCGCTCCACAAAACGAAATGCTTGCGAAACGGTGAACGGCTATTTTGAAAGTGGGAGATGGGGAGTTGTGGCGCAAGAAAATCCTCTATCTAGATCCGGGTGTTGGATTAAGGAGGGATGGCCATCGTTGACCGCTTCTGTGAGCGGGAAAGGGGAAGCGAGAATAGAAATTAGAAGAGATTCATCTCTAAACCCGAGAGGAAGAAAGGAAAAATCAAGAAAAGAAGAAGGAAATTGAATCCTAGGAGTGATCGATGAACCAAAACGCTCAACATATTTCGAATTTGGATCAAGAGTAGGGAAATTGGCAAATTGGTTGATACAAGGATTTCGTACCTCACGATAGAGATAGGGGAAGAGAATGTCAGACGGCTCGAAACATGGCCGACTATCAATGATTGAATTGAGACCGGATGCTCGAACTCTTTAGCCACGCGACGCACGAGCGAACTTGACTCTTACGGACGTACAGAGTAAAGAGAAAGGAGCGAGCAGTCAGTGCCGTTGCGACGGTCGCGTCTGACGGTCCATGTTCCGACAGTCCTCTGCGGAATCCTCTACCATGCGATGCCATGGACGAACCCACCGTCTAATAAAGTAAGTGTCGCGCAGTCAGTCAATCAAGAGGCATTCTTGCTTACTCCGCTGCTAGAGCTGACCAGCTGCTATCCCTTCCTGGAATCCACGTTGCTGGCGGCACCTGGGATGCGCGCCCGGCTGTATGATCAGCTCATTCCCTGCCGCGCCCACGTCTCTCTCTGCCGCAGTTCGAGAATCGTACTGAGACAAGACACTCCTGTGCCGGCGGTAGGCGGCGGCGAGCGAGCGAGCTTGGTCTCAGAATCTACCAGCTCTGTTGTTCTGCGCCGCAACGTGCCATGGCTTGGCTCATGGATGCGTCGCCAGGAAGGGCTCCGTATTTGCGAACCGCTCAGGGGCAGGCCCCTGGTAGCCATGTGGCATAGCGACCGGGGCCAGGATAGGGGCCCGTCGCTTTTGTCGTATCTCACTGTCTGTTCGGCCGGCCTTCGAGAAGGGAGGCGTGGCGCGCGCATGGATGGCGGCGCATGGGTTATTATTGTCTGTCCTGCCGTTACGCGTTGCGCCGGCGAGGGAGGTCTGGCTACGGACGTACTGGGCTGGGCAAGGCAAGGGGGGGCCAGCTTCTCCCGCGGAGCTGGGGGGGGGAGGGGGAAGGGGGGAGATCCACCTTCTCCATGTTGACTTGACATGCTTAGCACAGACGAGAGGGCCCCGTCTGAATAATGATAGCGAGGAGCGCTGCCGAGCCAGTGCGCACGGCATATCCTGATTCCTATGGTATGGGATAATCTCGGTCATGCACCCGGCTGCGAGGAGGCGGTAGGGAGATGGGAGGAGATTATCATCAAGGCACATTTACCTATTCGGGACGCTGGGCCGAGGGGGATGGGGAGGGAGGCATGTCATATGGACGGATAAACTCTGAACCTAAAGTTTTGGGAAGAGGAGGGTGAAGAAGACCCAGAGAAGCACGACGTACGCACGGAGAACATCATTCTTACTTACAGCAGCGTCGCCCATCAGAGGGAACCCCCGAGAAAGGGGCGGGTTCGTGTATGCACGGGATGTTGTCTCTTCTCCGAATATCCAAATACCAACCTCCTCTTCAACCTCGAGGGAGCGCCCCTTGGCATATGCAAGAGTCCAAGATCCTAGATGATATGGTATGATAGGATCGCAGATGCCCAAGAGACTGGAGAGGCCGCTTGGCCGGCCGAGGTGGCTGGAATTATTTTCAGTATCTTCAACAACAAGAGCATGAGAGGTCAGAGGGTATAAACAAAAGGCCCTCGCTCCGCATTCCAACAACGTCGTCGTCGCCTCGCCTCGCCTCGCCTTGCTCCTGTACTGCACGCAGCGTACCGTACCGGCCGAGCTGCTGAAGAAGGCAAAGCTCCGGTGGAGGTTAGGGTTACGGCTTGCGTCAGCTCTGACAGAGCGAGCGGCCCTGAGAAGAAGAGCGGCAGAGCTCTGAGCTTCACGGTAAAAAGCTGCGACTCTGTGAGCCTATGACGCCCTGGCCTACCAATCACGGCATATCCGGACCCCTCATTCGGTAGTTTTAGGGCGTGAGGCCCGGCGTGATGTGCACGGATGATGGGAAAACGTGGGATCAACGATGGCCTTGCTGCTTCCGGGAAAATTAGACGAGAGAGAAGAGCTGGCAGTTCTTGAGTCGAAGTCAATCTGGTTTGATTCAGACTTCAAAAAACTAAAAATGAAGGAAGGAAGAAACAAACAAATAGATGAAAATAAGGCAGGTCTCACGTTTCAGCTCTCAGGCACCGCTAATGTCTTTGCCGGCTCCACGGCACTGTTGCAACTAACTACTAACTAGTAACTTGGGCCGTGTGTCAAGGAAACGTCGTTCCGCTGGCGGCTGGTGTCTCTTAACTGGAGTCCGGCGTCGTTGCCGATATTCATTGATGCGCGCCATCTGTTGGCAACGGGACAGTACAGAAGGCTACTGTAGTAGTTAATTGAAATATTTTTGGCAGAGCTTGGCCAATAATTATCTGAGGAGTTACCATATTACATATTCTTTATATAATATAAGCCAAAACATCCAAATACCAAGATCCAACTCGTAAGTCCACCAATCAGGGGCGTCCCAGCGCGCGCCTGCAGCGCTGCTGTACATCACCATTGCCGTGCTGTGAGCTTCCGCGACACACACACGTACGTACATTTGGGTTTTGAAACGAGATCTCTCAAAAACAAAAACAAATAAAACTCAAATACAATTAAAATTAGAAACTACAGAGGAACCGACTCTTCGGCATCACCACATTTCCCCGGTGGTAGTCGGCAAGCGAGAGAGTCCCGAACCCGAGAGAGAGCCTGTCGGGATCATGACGCCTGTTGGGTAACACCGTGGGCGCAAACTTGGGAAATCTGCAGTGCTCACGTCTACTGATAGTATCATGATGGTATGGGTCCTGGCTGAAACTGAAGGTGGGAGGATCAGGATCAGGATCTCGATGCTGGCCCTCACGAGTCACTTCTGCTCGGCCGGGAGGTCTGATTCTTGAAATGCCGCTCCCTGGCTCAGACGATAGTCACGATACAGAGAAGACGGACCATACGTGCGTATCGCCTATAGTACTTGTATACTTCAGACAGACTATAGAGTGGTGCACTGGTGATAATTATCGATTGCCCTGCGGGGGGCTGATTCGTCGGCTCGTAAGCTGGGGACGGGAGAGTGTCCTAATTAACACTGGATGCCGGTGTTAAGAGGTGGTGCGAGCGAGTAAGAACGTCCGCTCACTTCTCCTGCTCGCTACCTCCAGGAGACTGTTTCTTTGGGCCCAGCCGGACTGGACGTGGCTTGTTGGGTTGGCGAAGAGGGGTAGCATTGTGCTGGGAATCTGCGCGCGGCTTGAGAGCTCAAGGCTGAAGCCATCGGTCAGGTAGGTAGCTCTCTGATATAGTCGTAGAAAGGCTTGTCAAGATCTGGGCTGCTCGGCTCAGACCTACAATAGGTGCTGCAGATGGCGTACATGATGTATGTACATACATGTTACATACATGTGCAGTGCAGTGCAGTGCAGAGCGGTGCGGTATACAATTTTCAAAAGCCTCGACTCTGCCAGAGTGCTTGCTCCATGCAGGGTTGTGGATATGTTGGATATGTCTTCATGAATAGCACGGGACGGTAGAAGGGGACAGAGAGCCATAATGCATCAACCATGAACCAACACGAGTTGATCCTCCTCCCGGCCGTCTCGGCCGTCTCGGCACACTTCTCCGGCGGCAGCTTATCGTTTCTTCGTTGCACCGTGGCACCCTTGGCGGGCATCAGCCCGAACCTGACGGTCCTGACCCAGACCTGACCCAAGCTTCCCGCCTCATCTCCATATATCTGCAGTGCAGGCCGGCCTGTGGGAATCACGACGGCACTATACCATCCTAGGTACTACTCCGTCCACGGTACTTCACACTGGCGGCATCACGGACTGCCACTAGGACCAGTCCAGTAGTAACTCATCCTTGAGCCGAGGGGCACCCATGGCGCTTTTCCCAAATACGCGCGGCGCTTGTCCCTGCAGCTACGAGGCACGGTCGGGAAAGAAGGAAGGAAAAGAATGAGACTAGAAGATTCGCGGCAGAGGAACAGGGAGGGGAGAGAGGGGGGGAGGGGCCCATCCCTGCGCGGTATTCTTGTGCTCGTGTGAGCGGCACATGGGGTGGGACCGGGTGACGGTTGCAACTTGCAAGGAGTCCCCGATTCTTGTGTACTTTGTACGTGAAGCAGATAGCGGTAGAGGCAGATGTACCGTTTCCAAGAATTCTTGGTACAGTATACCCAAGCTTCCAAAGTCTCCCCACCAAGAGAGCGACGAGCCGTCCCATTGCGGCCGTTGTTGCGAGAGGGGGTACTTCTGGACTTCTGCCTACCTACTCGGTCTTTTATTACAGTCTCATGATGTTGCGGGCCATCTTGTCTGCACAGTTCTTTTGCTCGGGCAACATCACACCCTGTAAGCCATTCGACACCCGGTCTTTGTTGGTTGGCTTACGAAACCTTCTCAGAAGTATCGCTGTACGTATACCCAAGGCCGGAAGCGAGGGAAGAGGATGGGCATCGTGATCTTGGCTTTCGTGATCTTGGCTTTCGTGATCTTGGCTCTTGTCTGGGATGTGATGGTATGACGGAGAAGGAGCGGAGCAGCGGCTGGTCGAGCGGAGGCAAGGGGCATAAGGGGGTGAAGGGGGGCGGCTCGCTTGTTTTCTGATCTCGGCAACAAACCCTTCTTGGATGTTGGAATCATATATGTGTATAGATGTTATTTACATGTATACATGCACTACACCTGTATGATCTGACAAGCTCTTCTATTTTGCCCACCTGTCAACACAATCGTACATTATCATACAGCAACCTCACGCATCCTCCGTCCTGGCAGGTTATTCTTAGCCCTCTGGCGCCCCGCTGCAACCACAACGCTGACGGCTCGCACGACCATTGGCAGCCACTCGTTCCAGAAGGGCTCTAGACTCTAAGTAGAGTGTTCTTGGTATCGCCGGACGATGCACCACCACAATCCTTGACCCTCACATCCCTTGCAAAAGAATCCTGGCCCGCCGCTCTAGCGTCACGCCAGGTGCAAGACGGCGTCTGGGATCCCAGCGATCGGTGGTGTTTGGGGAATACAAAACCACGTGGAGATTGGGATCACTTGCATACCAAGCAGGCCGGAGCGTTGTCTTGACTGGCCAAGGGAAAAAGAGTGTAAACCCCTCTCGGCGAAACGTTACTCTGGTTGCCGGTGCCATGGCAATCATTATTCTTTTTGTTTTACTTTATTTTTATTTTTATTTTTTTTGCTTCTCTTTTCTTTCAATTTTTTTCTTCCTTTTGCTTGTTGAATATTTCTTCTGCACTTGGTGACAACATCCCGTAAAACGGGAGGCTGAGACAATGGAAATAGTAGGAGTAATGGTCGTAGTCCGTCCTTACTCCCCTGTTACTACCGTAGCACGGTATGGAAATACCGACAAAACCTCCTATCGAATCATAAAAAGTTCCTCGAATATACTCGAAATAAATACTCGGTCCAGATCCCAGCATGCCACCGCCACACAGTGACCCTGTTACTTGCGGAGTGTATCAAGCGCTGCGCCTAAAATTCCCAGATCCGGTATCTGGAGTGCTAATCCTTATCACGGGACACGCTGGGGACCCATACGATACGATCGCAGTACGGACTCCGGAAGAAACAAAGTTTTGAGCCATGGGCCATGGATCATGGATCATGCTGCACCTAGGTAGATGACGCTTGGGCTGTGGGGATTGCAGACCAAGCTACACTAGTTGCCGACGAGCGACGAGAAGCGGTATCGAGGATGTCAGACATTTTGGAACTCCATGGAAAAGAGAAACGGAAAAATGGATCCTGACTTTTCTGCCGAGTCTTCACCAACTGCAAGCCACCATCATCGTGTTTCTGGGTCCCAAGGCTCTCCCAACTTCTCAAGTCTCAATCAAAGGTCTAAAAGCCCCGTCTAAAAATGTACCAGTCCTTTTCAGCCAACACATAGCTTTGCTGTAGGGAACCAAAGATAGGTCAATAGTGCCGGATCATTGCTCGCATTCTAGACGTACTCCGGAGAAGGGCCCTCTGTCTTATGCATGTCTCAGCCAATCAGCGCGCCATATCAGCTGCCGGAGAATTACGTCGGAGCCCCATGATCGATCGGCGGCTGTTCAAGGGCGCCTTGCAAGTCCTGGTGTTGGCGACTGAACGGCTTATGGAAGGATTCGTCGCCAATTATTCAATAGCAAATCTCTTATTCAAAGCGTCTCGTACGCGGCACAAGGACTAGAGTACGCCAAAGTGCGTACAGTCAAGTACCGCTCCTTAAGTCTCTGCGTCCGGCGGTACCATTGACAATTGTACAGTACGGTACTTTTGCAGTCTTGTACTGCCCCATCCTATCTCCCTATCGTTGTCCGGATGTAGGGGTCTGGATCCACCCTCCCTTGCTCGCCCACTTTTCCCTGCCGCTGGGGAAACGGTAAGACGGTAAGAGACGGTATGTCCAACAGTACCGTCATACTCTCTCTAACGAGCAACTTTCTCATGAATCTCACGAATCTCACCACACGGCAGCTCTCTTACCGACGATGGCTCCGTATAGTCTAGCTCTGTCCGAGACAACCTCTCACAATAACCTAACAACGAGCATCCCTGAGGGCTGTCAGTAGTGTACCTCAGCACCGGTAACCCCTCGACCCCCTGACTGACTTGTAAGCTTGAGAGTCAGGCTAGCAACGACTTGCCGTCTAACAGTACTGAAGTCGTCGTAGTACGGTTGGAAGAACTGCCCAAGCAGGTTTAAGCCTCCTTTTCCCTTCGCAAAGATCCGTCCCTCTCGATAGTCGCTCCTTTTACCCCACAAGTTCGAGTCTCGCTCGTCGTTCAGTAGCTTCAGGGAGTGATAGCCCCGGCGTCCACCTGCCCTCCTCCACTACTGCTCCCCCCTTCCCCTCCCCCTCCACCTCGCCTGCCGACTCGCCGTTGTCCCTCTTTCGGCATAGCCGAAGAGGGTAAGAAGTCAGATAAGGCTGTGCGGTTCTGCCTTAGGAAGTCAGGGGGAGTATGTGCAAATCCCGAGCGATCACTCCTTTGTTGTAACTCGTTCAGTTCTCTCTGCTACTCCAGCATCCTGGTCCCTCCCTGTTGTCGTTTCAGTTCCCTCCTCGCTCTAGTCGAGAAAGTTGTCGTAGGAGATCGTCCAAGATCTTCGGATTTCCCAAGTCTCCCTTTGTCTCTCCTCCTCCCCGCCCCGGCCGCTTCCCAGCCCGTCTCCCGCTACTCACAAGAAGTCTCCTACACTCCTACTTGAACGCTCTTCCACTTGGCGTTTCCCCATCCCAGCCTTCCCCTTCCCTGCTTGCCGACGCTACTACTCGCATGTCCTACAACGTACGTACGAGGGTACAGGCCCCGGCGGACAGCACCTTCCTGCAGCAGCTAGGCCGTAGCTAGAACCTCCTTGGCTCTTCTTGGGCTCTTGGGGCCGGCCGTCGTGACGCCCGCTGACGCTACAACGACTTGTTGCCGCCGTCAGTGCTAGACAGGCCCCCCGACCTTGCAAGCTGCCGCTCCCAGAAGAATGGGTTTGGCCGCACTGGTCAGCAGCGCATGAGCCACACCTTCTCTTCTTCCAGTACCGACAGACTTCGTCCTCCTCTCCATACATCTGTTGGGAACGGCCAGTCTTATCTGTCCCGTCTCATATCATCTGCACTGTTGTACAGTAACCCTCCTTGTCGGCTCTCCCCTCGTGCTGTTGTTACATCCACGAGGCCTCTTAACATCAGACAACCCCACCTCCATTCCACATCCATACGACAGACCTCTGCCCTATCCTCGGACGCACCCCCTCGGGCAGACAAGACGCCACTCTGTTGTGAATGCCGCCGTGAAAACAGAATAACCATTAGCTGTATTGTTGGAAGTAAGCCCGGGCAACCCTCTTCCTGAAATAGCTGGCTCTCAACGAATAGAGAAGAGAACCCGTGCCACAGCGCTACATTGCATCTATTCTATCCCGTCTCTCACCAGGAAGCGCTCTCAGAGGCCACTTAGTAGGCTACTCAATCTTGGGTCCGTTGTGGTTGGCAAGATGACCCAGATATACACCCGGCCAATCCCCGCGGCCCTCCATGAACAACAGCCTTCAGTCTACGAGCGAAGAACTACCCAGGATTCATATACCACCCCAGAGTCCCACAAGTCTTCAGCCCTCTCATCAGGTCCTTACTCAGAGCGCCGGTACCAGAGAAATGATTGGGACCTGTCACCGCCGCACTCAATAACGTCTGACCACAAGAGAGGGATCAATGAGGTCCCCGCTGCAAGAGTAGGAGACATGTATCAGACCCGGCCAGAGACGACCCAAAATTCCCAGAGAGAACAGTTACCGCCTTTGAGCAGCTTGTTTGGCGGACCTACCCAGTCCCCATACTCAGACCGACAGAGCCCTGTATTCCCAGCTGTCTCTCCACTCGACCCTCGACATCCATCCACACCCGCCCGCCCAGATCGGGCGTACGATGCATTCGCTTTCCAACGGCCAGCTACCTCTCATCCGTATCCGTACTCAAAACCAGAGCAGGTTGACAGACCTGGCTTCCAACCTCCTTCACTCCCTCCCCAAGTCGGGGGGAGACCAGAATCACCTCGATATGAACCACGCTATACTCCTCAAAAGACCACCAGGACGCAGCAATCACCTGCTGTAAACAACTGGTCTCCCCAGTCTCAAACCTCTCGTCAAGAGCCCTTCTCGAGAGACACATCTTCGTCTTTCAGGGCTCACGCTGACCAGTATATCCCGCAGCCACCGCCCCTGCAGAGACCCGAGCCAGAGCCCAGGCCGACATTTAGAGATTCTCAGGCCCCAGCAACGCTCAACTATCCCCCCACTCCCGCCAGCACGGTGTCTGGGGATGCAACCACGACGAAGGATGGTCTGGGGCCGAAGATTTGGACTGGGACTCAGTTCTTGCCACGCTTTGTCCGACAAGCGGAGGTCCCAGGGGAAGGAATGTGTTATTTCTACGACGATGGGACGCACTGCAAGACGGTGATCGATGGAGAAGCGGTTAATGCTCACTGGGGCGTGACGAAAGCAGGGAAGCCAAGGAAGAGGCTGGCAATCGCGTGCATTACGTGCAGGGAGAAGAAAATCAAATGTGATCCGGACTATCCACGGTGTGTGCAGTGTGAGAAGTTCGGGAGGGTATGCAAGTTCAAGAACGCGTAAGTGCCTCATCAGTCAGACGACGAGAGTCACCACTCTAGTTTTTCCTATTCCTGTTCTTGGGTTTGTATGCTAATCTTCACCTCAGACCTCGAGGTGGCCAAGGCTCTCCAGATACGCCACCGGCCGAGTCAGAGGACGTCACCCCACGGCCTACGTCGTCAAGAGCAGAGGGGGAATCATTCAAGCCTGAGAAGCGTGAGCATAGCCCGTCTGCTTCTCCTCGACCGATCTTGCGGCAGATAACACCAGACTCCGAAGTCCACCGTGCAAAGCGTCAACGGATTAGCTACGGTGACTTCACCCCAGTTGCATCAGAAGCCTCTCCTCGACCGTCCCGCGAACCTCGCTCTCCCTCGACCCCGTGGGTCGAAGCGTTGGGCCCCAGTCCAATGGAGAACAATCTCCTCCAGGATTGGCAGGTGAATCCTTACAGCACACATCCCGCTGTTGTCAGCGAACTCCTCTCCCTATTCTACAAGTACTCGCCGGAACCCGCAGCCGGCTTGTTTCCAGAAGGCCCTTTCAGGTCGTGGGTCCTCTCTACCAGTGATAGATCACTCGACGATCTGATGATCATCTACACGTTGTTGGCTCTTGGGACAGTCTTCTCCACGAAGCCAGAACACAAAGCGCTTGGTATTCGGTATGCTGCAATCTCCCGATATGCCTGTGACAACCGCCACTTTAGCATCCAGTTGGTGCATTCTCGTCTTCTCCTGGCCGTCTACTACTTCGCGAGCAACAACCCCAACGATTCCTGGGATTTCTGTGGAGGAGCGATGAGAGCCGCCAGCGGATTGAAACTCAATGTGGAGATTGAGAGAAGTGATGATGCTTTCCTCACAACATTCCCTTACGGACTCAACCGCCATGGATATGCGGAATGCAGGAGACGGACTTTCTGGTGTTGCTACCTCATGGACCGATTCCACGGCTTCTGTTCTGGCCATCTCAGCCTGGCGCACTCTGAAGACGTCTTCTTACGACTCCCTTGCGATGCGGAGAGTTTTGACGCCCAGGTCGAGACGCAGAGCCCGTTCTTTGACCCATATGGCTCTCCATCTCCGAGTCCCAACGGGAAGATGGGCTCTCTGGCATACCTGATCATCGCCACCTCCATCTGGGGCGACGTTATGGCGAATATCTACCGCACATCGCAGAGCCGCACTGCTCCAGCGAACAGTTCTGCATTCATGGCATTCTACGACAAGACGACGCAGCGGCTGCGGGATTGGAAAGACTCCCTCCCAGAACACTACACCTTCTCTACCGAGAACCTGAAGCGTGAAGAGGAGAAGGCCAAGCTAGGCACCTTCATCGGCATGCACTCCATCTACCACACCGCCTACATGAAACTCAACCGCTATGTCCCACGCTCCATGCTCACCCCCGCCCAACTCACCCACCACGTCTCCCTTGCCACCCAACACGCCGAAGACCTCCTCCTAATCATGGACGCCGTCGCCTCCCGGCGCGCCTCGCTCCCCCGGCCCCCGAGCCCCTCCGCGCCCCTCGCAGCTCCCACCCGCTTCTCCTCCCCCTTCACCGGTTATGCCATGGTCTCCGCAGTCGACATCCTCACCGCTCAGGTGCGTCTCTCCTCTGTGGCCGACCGACTTGCGTCTTTCGGCGGCGTCCGCGCCGTGCTCGCCGAGCTGGCCCTCTTCTGGCAGAGCGCGAGACACCATCAGGCGCTCGTGCTGCAGCGGATCCAGTACCTGGGCGAGCGGGCGCGCGCCCAGGAACCGGGCGGGGCGGGCGCTATCGGGTTCAAGACTGCGGGCGCGGCGACCGGGGCTTGGGAGAAAGACGCAGTGGCGGAGATGAGAGAACCGCTGGAGAAGATGTTTGCTAGGGATTTTGATTGTATCTATGCTTAAGATGGGGGGAAATCTTGGGTTGGGGACGGTAGTTAACGATATCTTTTGTGTGCTTTTAGCGGGTGTTGTGTTATGTATACCTATCTATCTATCATTGGGATTGTACCATGGTTATGGCGAAAGGATGGGTAGGATATACTTGTACGAATTCTTATATGTACATGACTTGGTAGCAATAAGATGAACGAATGAATATATGAATACTCGCACTTTGATGATGAATTTTCTACCACTCTGTTCTATTATGTTATATTCCTCAGATTTAAACAATGAAGAGAGTATTGTTTGTTACGCTCTCAATGTAAGCTGCCTTAGTTGCTAGGTATTATCAGACAGATACTTTGCCAAGCACGATAATATACGCACTTTAGAAGAAGGGGGTTACGATTAGAAAGTTACGATTAGAAGAATTACTATCAGAAGAAATATCACTACTCCTCTACCCAAGGCAACGTAGTCACGTGGCCAGATTTTGCCTACCTTACCAGATGGCAGTACAAGAGGCACTTAGAAGCCTCTCGTGGTTCTTCCATGACATGAAGCTGGGAGCTTCAAAAGCCCCGAGGAAGAAGTATCACGATCTGCCTCTCATCTCACATCAGCCAACGCCCATCTTCCTGTGCCATCCATTCCAGCATGTATGTCACTTTCCCGGCCACAAACCAACCAAACACCCATCTTTCTCTCCTCCCCTCCCTTCAAGTCTCAATCCATGCCTCCGTTCTACCCCTTTCCATTTCTCCGCTCTCATCTCAACTCTCCCCTCGGATTCCCTCCCTCTTTCCCTCATCATTGATCGACTGATTGCACTTGTGTTTGTTGTGTAAATCAATCCGAAACATCCAACGTCCCTCCCACTCAACCGAACTGCCGTTCCCTCGGCAGACAATAAAAAAAGAAATCCCACCTACGAACTGCCGCCGCTACCCATTCAAAGCCAGCCAGCTTCCCCCGCGTTTCCCGCTAGCCAGGGTGCCGTCCCCTCTGATCACCGCTCCTCCTCCGTCTCCATCATTATAATTTTTGCGCCTAAAAGTAAAACAAACCGCGGGCCAAGAACTCCGTCGTCAAGTCGGCAGATGATGCTTGAGGCTTGAGCGTCAGGTAAGGTAAGGTAGAGAGAGAGCCGCGGCGGCGGGTGGAGTCGGGCCAAGAGAAAAAAAACGTGCTCAGACAATGTCTCAAGTCGGCAACTATGCTCGATGCGGGATGGGTCTAGAGCTTAACGCGATACGGTATGGTGGCTGGAAATGGAATGTAGGAGGAATGGGAAGCGAGTCAGGAAGCCGAGCGGGAGCAAGAGCTTTGAGTCAGGAGTGCTGGACCCGAGGGCTTGGGACGCTGTACCCGATATGGTAATCTGGATAAAGGGGGATCTTTCTAGAACACGTGCTTGCTTATCAGTGAAGGTAAAAGGGGTTTGTGCAATGTAGGTAGGTACCTCCGTACCTTATTTTACCCCTTACTACGCTTAGCTCTTTACTCTATTCTGAGTCTTTCTCTAGGTAGACCGCCTTTTATCCATCCCCCTATCCCTGGAATCATGTATACACATCAGGACGGTCTCTTCGCCTCGACTCGCATATCTCACACCAGCCAGCCGCTCTAACAGTTTAAAACCGCTTTATTTACTCCCTGCCTATAGATCTTCGGAATGCGTTTATCATGCATATATCTACTTCTACTAATCCTATATATGTACGTGATTGCGAAGAACATAAGATTCAGAAAGAGAAGACAAGAAGAGAGCTTAGTTGAGATAGAATCTTAACGGTTAACCCCTAAACGACCAAATATCTTGGAGAGGGGGAATGCAGTATACTGTATATCGTACGCAAGTTCGTACCGTACAAATTACTGTAGATAATGAGCAGTAATTACAATGTTAATTAACCTCACGCACCACGGTTATACTGACTTTCAAGTAAGACGAAAGAGAGCAAAACTCCTAATGGGACGGGAGTCATTAATGATCTACTCAAATACCTCATGCGTCTCTACTCCCAGACATGGCTAGCTATCGTATTAACCACCCTTCTTTAACTACCTAAGCCAGACATTAGATAGATCGATCAACGATCCCATTTCCACGAAACCTTTCCAAGAACGAAAACACACGGGCGCGCGCGCGCACACACACACATGCACACACAAAACCCCTCAATCACAGGAACCAAGCCAAGAACCCAAGCACGCCGGCAGCCGACATGGCAAAGCGTGGGTTAAGATCTGCGTGCGGGACGGCAGCGCCGGAGAAGGCGATCAGGGGCGCCGAGGAGGTGGCGTTCTGCTGCTGTGCGAGCGTGGCTGTCGTTGAGGTCGAGAAGAAGAGGGGTGGCGGCGTGGTTATGGCCGCGGCAGTAGTGGCAGCTGCTATGGTCTGGGTGGTGAAAGCTTGTTCCGTGATGGTGGTCGAGGGGAAACTGGCAGTCTCCGTGCTGAAGCCGATGGAGATGGCATTGGTTGACTGGAGAGACTGCATTCATGAATCGTTAGGAAAGGATTTAGGGGTGAGGGAGTGAATGGTTACTTACGAACTGGGTGAGAGAATCCTGCTGGGTGACGGTGATGAAGCTCTCCACAGTTTGGAGGATGGAGGTGGTCTGAGCCATCTCGGACGTCACGGTCAGAGTTTGGAGACTCAGCTGAGTCATGGTCTGGTCCACGGTCATGGTGTCTTCCACAGTCATGGTCTGGAGCTGGGTCAACGTCTGGTCGATGACCATAGTCTGAACCTGGGTCATTGTGTGGTCCACGTCGGATGTCACGGTCAAGGTCTGAAGCTGGGTCATGGTCCGGTCATATTCAGACGTAACGGTGACGGTTCTGTTCATATCGTAGGATTTGGTTATGGTGTGGTCGACTTCATACGTCTTGGTCAAGGTATGATTGATATCAACCGTCTGGGTCGAATCTTTGACTGAGACTGAAACTTTAGTTTCCGTTTCCTTTGCAGTGCTCACGATTGTCTTTGTGGCCGTCTCTTCGGTCACCGAGGTTGATTTTGAGCTACTCTGGCAATCCGGTTGTGAACCGTAACCGCCATAGGAGCCAGAGTATCCCGAATTACCATAACTTGAGCCAGACCCGTCGCAGGAGCTTCCAGAGTTTCCGTAAGATGATTCCGAGCCATGTGACGAAGAATCCGATCCCGAACTTCCATATGAGGATGAGCTTGATCCATAACCATATGATGACGACTCTGTGTCCGAGCTACTATGCGACGATGAACCCAGTCCATGGTCCCCGTACGAATCCGATCCATAATTTCCGTATGAAGAGGAGTCGCTCGATCCACGAGCTGCAAGTGATACACCATCCGAGGTTAGAGTTGACCATGCCGACTCAGCCAAGGCCGAGAGGACCAACCATCCCAAGGTAGAAAGCCGTATGTGGTGCATAGTTGCGATTGTATTCTCGGAAATATATAATATAGTAGAGACGGTTGAACAGTTGCAAATACCAGTTGCAAATAAATGTGCTGAAAACGATTGTGGAAGAACGCGACGACTTTTAAAAAGAGACAAAAGCACAAACACCCAGAAACAAACGAGAGCAAGAGATCCGCGATACTGAAAGACGAAGCAGAAGCAGGAAGATCGTGACGACGTACCCGCGTATATCATATATGCAAATGAGTTCGGAAACCCCAAACCCGTTCGGTTACAGACCGAGATCCCCAGATTTCCGATTAGATCAACGAAACAGCCCAGTTTCAGTGGGTAGCAGGACAAAAATAGGGGCCTCCCAAGTGGTGGGAGGCGCAGTCGCGGTAGATAGAATGTGATACAGGAGAACTCCTATAATGCCGTCTTTTCAATCCTAGTCGACTGAAATGGTGCCAGCCAAGCAAGGGGGGTCGGCTTCAGAAACGGCTCAAAGCAACCATGTGCAATTAAGCTTTAAGCTTCTCTCCTGAGCACGAGCACGAGGAGTAGCTCGCGCACTTGTTGCCGGAAGATCATTGTACTAATGTCCAGTGACTACTACTAAGTAGCTGTCGCATCTAAAATATCGAACGAACACCTAGACCCGCCAGAGCCGCGAAGCACCACGACCCGCTGGACCTTTGGCATGGCAGAAAGAAGAACAATTTGCAATATAGAAGACTTCTTAAATACTAATCAATGCGGAAGATAACGAAATGCATCGCTGTTGTGTTGGGTCCATGAAGGTTCCAGGCGCAAAGAGTTGGTTCGGATCCTCGGTGATCGTGGACATCAAGGATCAAACGTGCGAAGCCTCAGATCCGCACCCTCGAAACACAGACGAACAGCAGAAGAGATGAGACGGCCAAGTAAGGATGGGGCGGCGCTGCCATCAGAATGCCGTGCAACTGAGATCTAAGCGTTCTCTTAAAGCAAGGCAATGCAAAGTCTAGATCGATGTGATGTCGTGGTGAAGGATGGAAGGCCCCTCGAGCGCGAAACGACTCCTCGTTTGGCAGTCTGCACGTGATATGCGGTTGGTGCCCACGAGACGGATCTACTCTGCCATGGAGTCTCAGAGATAAAGAATAATTATAGATATTTATTGTCTCAGATAGTTTCCGTGTTGATATCTCGTACTTGAATTTCCTTTCAAAGATCAATAACCTCCACTTAGTAGGTAAATCATCTTCGGTTCCCCTCAAGCTTGTTTCTTGGACCAGACGCATCCTCTTTATTAAAAGCAGTGTATGACCATTGATGGAATGTACAGTTGGTGTATCATCCAGGTAATACAAATGATCAAAACCACACAGATGAGTGACGGATAAGACTGAAGCTTTAGCGTTTTCCAGGTCAAGATACTTTGGTTTATTGGAATTTGGAAGTCCTCGCGTTCTCCCCTGCTGTATCAGAGTACAAGAACCGAAACGTAACCCTTGTTTCGCGTTTCTACTTCTAAATACAATTTTTAAGGAATCAATGTCTATTTGTACGAAGTAACTGGTATTGTACATCGAAATATGGAATTCTTATTCGCCATTAGAAAAGAAGGGGAAAACGGGCATTGTCGAATCAAAGAGATCCATGATATCAATCCCCGAAGGTAGAGTTTGATTAGGGTACCTGGGCTCATCGAAAATAGGAAAAAACAGTGTATCGCTTTCTACCGGCAATAATCCTTGTTGAGGGTCGTGTTCCTGAACAAAAAAGGGATTCGTGTTAGTAACAAGATCGATACCAAGCCCAGAAGCTATTGTCATCAGTAGAGGTGTAAGGACGTACAGTCATGGTACCTGGCAGGTATGCTCCTTGTTGGATGATTGGTAGAGTCATCTCCTGGTTTGAGAGCTCCGTTGTTGAAACACGGCGCCTCGTACTGCTCTCTCTTTGCTGTTCTTGGACATCACGTACGTGCTGTCGAGCAAGGTGTGCGAACTCAGCGATGAGCGAGCCGGGTAGTGAGCCATTGCTTTCGTATTCTAAACGGCTGAAATGCCCACTTGCAACATCGAGGAGCGCTAGATTACTATCCGTTTCTGGATGGTTAGGGTTATGAACAACAAGTTCAAAGAGTATGAACAGTGCCGAAATTGGCATTATGGCCAGAATCCTGTGGTAAAATGTTAGCATATAAAGATTCATAATAGCTGCTACGGTTGCTGACCATAAGGGGGTGTATGCTTCGACATCAATAAACTTGGTTAGTTCGAGAATGCAGCGTGCGGATTTGATCATGCACGTTTTGCTCTCCCGCATCCGCTCTGAACTAGGTGGCTCATCTGCACCTACGTGGAAAGTTACCCTAGAGAATGCTAGTAATGCGTTGTGATACGAGAAATGCAGTCGTAAGGCAATGGACATGGCCATAGAGCCAGATAGCTCTCTTGTTCTGAAGGCATCGCCTGGTCGGAAGGGCGGTGGTATCGATAGACGCCATCTCTCTAATTCTTCTTTCAGATGATCGATGGTTATCCAATACAAGGCTGGTGTGTTGACGTTTGCGTTGACTGTGAAGAGGAATTCGTACATCTTGGACAGTAATCGTGCGTATCTGCAAAACGCTAGAAACCAATTGAACCCGTCGAGAATTGTCTCGGGCAGATGGGGAATAGGACAACCAACGTCGGAATCCATTAGAACCTGAAGATACCGAGTCAATATATTTATCAATGATAAAAACATAGATCCTCTTACAGATCCTCTTCCGCCATAGAAGCAACTTGTTTTCTCCATCCAATAAAGAACCCAAAAAGTACGCGCAGACGTTATATCGTCCTTGACTTTATTCAACCGGAGAGCCTGAGCCATTTTGGCACCTTCGGAGACCATCGTTGCTTCAATCTGCATACATGAGATGGTTAGGGAGAACACAGCCTGAACTGAACAGTCAGATTTACATTCCTAAAGAAGGTAGTATGAACAGTTCTCACCATTGCCGTAAATGCCTATTCACATGTCAGCCTCAGACTATACCATAAGAATATGACAGGTCTGAACTTACTTGCACAGTCATCAATGAAGGTTTTATTATGAGGAGATCCGGAGCCAAAGATAGAGATACCTCAAAGTATCTCCAAGCCTCTCCTCTCCACGGCTCAAAGCTTCCTCCATCATGGTATTGGCAGCCGAGAGCCAAGACAGCATGATACAAGGCAGGCCAGGCTTTATCAGTCGGGACCTGGGAGTGCTGCAAACTTGACGCTCTGGTCTGGAACGCTTCCTGGTCTAGAAAGGGATAGATTGGATGGACATGCTCAAAATATGCTGCAAAAGGATTAGTAAATATGCAGTTGATCAGATTGAGAAGCTGAACAAAGACCTTTGATATACAGTTCCTCTTTAGAACCAGGAATCAATGCCGATGAGGTGACTCTATCCGTGCTTGCCTTTGATGATGGTACCTTATCTATTCCTCTCATTCGAGAATCTATTACTTTGGCGATGTTATCAAAAAGCTTCACCAGTTTGTTATTTGCCAGGCAGTTATTCAAGGACCGAATCCGTTTCTCTGAGAAGTACGCTATACTGGAACTCGTTCCTATGTTTTTTGTCTTTAGCCGTCCTTGTGAGAGGGTATAGATTCAGATATACCAAAGTAATCATAGCCCTAGATACGTAAGCGGAAGTAATTCTTGGGAGATTGGATTTAAAGACGTACGGTGAATGGCAGCTCCTCTGCTCTGAAACCTCCTGAGATTTGATCCGCCAACAGGCGATCAATATAGGCATTAGGTAGTCTGTTTGATTGGTTTGATGGCTGTAATTGTACTGGAGCAGTTAGAGTAGTAGATGGCTCTCGAGTCAAGTCATGGTTCTCTGTGTCCTCCCTTTCCCTGCTGGCTCGACTATTTGTGGGAGTTGGTGGGGCTAGAAAGCTTGGACCAAAGCCGTCTGTTGTATCAGGCGATCTTGTTATGGGAGACAACATTCGGATCGCATCAACACGGGAAGAAGAGCTGGTATCGGGGATACGTTGGCTCCTGGGACGTCGAGGCCGCCGAGCTTTCAAGTAACTGTGATGGCATGGCTCGTTGCGGTTCTGGTGAGCCGTCAGCAGGGGTTCGGTATTTATATCTAAGTACAACGGAGCCCCTGCACACAACCACTTACTTTACAATTGCGACACGGTGATTGTGTATCGTGTGCATCATCTCCTATTATCATTGATTAGCTGCAGACTCAATGCCTAGGCGGGAGTTGTTTCACTGACGAATGCATCGGACTTTCCGTGCCTTACACTGATCACATGACTTTAGGATCTTCGGGCCTTGCGTTGCTGGGAGCATTTGTGTGAAGTATTAAGACCGATAGAAGGACAGCAAAGTCAAGGAGCGCCAAATCACCGATGATAATGGGGAGGAAGAGTTGAATGGTCTTCGGCCGCAAAGGACGGGCTGGTATATATTCGGAGGGTTCGGGTGATACCGGCCAATCACTCGAGATCGTATACTCGCATTCGGCGCTTACGATCATGTGCCTCGACAGAGTTATGCGCCGATTGGACAGATAAGAACCGAGCTGACGCTGTTTGGGAGAAAATTTGGTTCTCTTCAAGACTAAGTTGAAGTCCTCATTCATTGCTCAATGCCAACTCCGATTGTTAATAATAGAGCCATCAATATACATCAATGCCGCTTTATCTGTCTTTATCTGATGCCAGACGCAGATCTGCGGAAAGTGCTGCCGTGGCCTGCAAATCAATTGCCTCTCCCGAGATCGACCTGCTTTCTGTTCGCTCTCTTGGCGTGGCACTCACTGACAAAGACTGAGCATCTTGGTTTCTACCTGCATGGTCTATTGGTCTTCTAGAATAGGTTCCATCACTACCATGGATATCTCTAGTGGAGAGCATCTAGATGGTCTCGGAGCCGAGTCTCTTGCTCTTTAACCTCCGAATCCACATCTCGGTCGTTATTATCCCAATTCTTCTTCTGTATTATAAACCTTGATTAATACTACATGGCCTTCAAATTCAGAACATTTCATTTCTCTCGTTGAGGCTTATCTTCATCTCCTGTTTAATTCATTTTCTTCTTGGTCAGTTGCCGCTCATCATATTACCCACCAACCAGGTGACCGACCATTCCTATCTTTTAACACTTGACCTTCGTTTCATATGGCCAGTGTAGAAGAAAAACGTGTTGGTGGGCACACTGCCAGCTCCGCGACAACTACGGAGGTTGGAGAAGACTCTATAAACATCACAGATCATGTGACTTACAAAGGTTCCTTGGAGGAACAGGACCTCAGTGGACTCTATCAGTCCCTCTCCAAACGCCAAAGTCGTCAATCAAACCATACCAGCCACGCAAACCACGCCCCTCGAGACCCATTCAATACAGAGAGCCCAGGATGGTCCCTGGAACATGCTCTGCGGGCTGCTATAGACCGCGCTGAACATGATAATCTCGCTCCAGTCTCTGCAAGTATGGCTGTTTGCTGGACGGATATTGGTGTGTATGGGGAAGGCGTTGATTCGGTCACTCAATCCGATGTGACCTCTGTCTTCATTGAATCTTTTCAGTTCCTCCGTCGTCTTTGGAGGCGGTCTCCGGAAAGACAAATCCTTCACGGAATCGATGGGTTACTCGAGGAGGGGGAGATGCTTCTGGTTCTGGGACGACCGGGAAGCGGCTGTACAACCCTCCTGAAGACGCTTGCTGGCCATACTGAAAGTTTCTCCAGATGGTCTGGTGACATCACATACCAAGGGATACCGATAGAAACCATGAAAAACCGCTTCCGTGGCTCTGTCGTCTACAATGCCGAGACTGAAGCTCATTTCCCGCATCTAACTGTCGGGCAGACGTTACGATTTGCGGCTCTGACAAGGACTCCTCGACAACGCCTTGGTGGCATATCCCGGAAGGAGTATGCGGACCGACTGACAGAGGTCCTTGGGGCTACATTCGGACTGAAGCATACTTTCAACACAAAAGTTGGTAACGATTTCATCCGTGGGGTTTCTGGTGGGGAGAGGAAACGTACATCGATCGCAGAAATGGTATGGATGCCAATACTCCGCTTCTTTGAACATATCAATTGACATGCTCTAACTGCAGTTAACCACCCGCGCGTCTGTCACGCTCTGGGACAACTCGACTCGAGGCTTAGACGCTTCAACGTCCTTGGAGTTCGCGAGAGCACTGCGGGTGGCTACAAATCTCACCGGCAACATTGCAATATCAGCACTCTACCAACCTGGAAACAGTCTCGTGGAGATATATGACAAGGTCACAGTGCTTTACCTTGGCCATCAAATTTGGTTTGGCGAGTTGGAGGATGCCCGGCAATTCTTCTTCGATATGGGGTTTGACTGCCTTCCACGCGAAACTACCGCAGAGTTTCTCACGGCGATAACCGATCCCAAAGCTAGGCGGGTCAGAGCAGGATTCGAAAACCAAGTCCCCCGTACTCCGGAAGAGTTTTCTGCACTCTGGAAGAAGAGTATATACTATTCGAATTTACTTCAAGCCATCGAGCATCATCGGACGGTGTTTCCTAAGGGGGCTTACGATACTTTGCATAAGCTGCAGACTATCCAAGCGAAAGAAAAGTCGAAGGGGGTTCGAAAAAACTCTCCACACATACTCAACCTCCAACAGCAGTTTAACGCAACATGTACCAGGGCGTACCAACGCATCCTAGGAGACAAAGCTTATACGATAATAATCATTTCGACAATGGTTGTCATATCACTCGTCATTGGATCTATGTTTTTCGATATCACGGAAGACACCAGCGGATTTTTTTCTAAGGGAGGAGTAATCTACTTCTCTGTTCTCTTCAACATCATTGTCAACTTTGCTGAGATCGCAGCTCAGTATGAGCAAAGGCCAGTCGTGGAAAAACATAAGTCATACGCGATGTACCACCCATTTGTCGATGCCCTTGCCACAATGATCACTCAGTATCCGATCAAGTTTTCAAATGTGGGGGTATTTACTATCATCATATACTTCATGACCGGTTTTAAGCGGGAAGCGGGCCCGTTCTTCCTCTTCACACTCTTTACGTTGCTCACATCTCTTTCCATGACCGGACTTTTCCGAACAGTAGCCTCTCTGACCGATACAGTCGAGGGCGCCCTAGGAATTTCAGGTGGGTTCATGATTGCCATGGGTCTATACGCCGGATACATCATTCCGAGACCATCAATGCACCCGTGGTTCAAATGGATTAGTTATATCAATCCGATATACTATGCAATTGAAGGACAGATGGTCATGGAGTTTCACGGCAGAAAGGCTCCATGCGGAGCAGAGTTGGTGCCATCCGGTCCCGGCTTCGAGAATGTCAGTATTGCCCATCAAGTATGTGCCGTGACAGGTGCTCGTCCTGGGCAAAATTACGTTCTGGGGGACGACTACATTGCAGCATTCGGTTACTCCTACTCCCATGTGTGGCGCAATCTTGGAATTTGCATCGCATTCTTCGTATTTTTTGTCGCAACATATGCTACAGCCACCGAGTTCAAAAAGCCGCCAACGTCAAAGGGCGAATTCCTCATCTTTCGTCGACCTATTTGGGGATCTCGTCATGCTGATGATCCGGAGGAGAAAGGTGGCGTCCCTTTCCAGTCACTCGACCAAGACGGTACTCCCAATTTCGATGCGGTTATCAAAGGGAAGGATGTTTTCACATGGCAGCATATGAATTACGATGTCGACATCAAAGGCGAGACACGTCGACTTCTCAACGATGTTCAGGGCTACGTAAAACCTGGGACCTTGACAGCTCTGATGGGAGAATCAGGTGCCGGAAAAACCACTCTGCTGAATGTTCTTGCCCAGAGGGTGACGACGGGTATCGTTACTGGAGATGCTCTCATTAATGGCAGTCCACTTGATCAGTCATTTCAAAAACAGACAGGCTATGTCCAGCAGCAAGATGTTCACCTTTCAGAAGCTACGGTGCGTGAAGCCCTTCGATTTTCAGCTCTATTACGGCAAGAGCGAGGGATCCCGGTGGCCGAAAAATACGACTACGTCGAAAAGGTTATTGCTGCCCTTGGAATGGAAAGTTATGCCGAAGCTGTTATAGGGGTTCCAGGCAAGGGACTCAATGTGGAACAACGGAAACGCACAACCATTGGTCTCGAACTTGTTGCGAAACCCGCACTTCTCCTCTTCCTTGACGAACCTACTAGTGGACTAGATTCTCAATCTGCTTGGTCTATCATCAGTCTTTTGAGAGGGTTGGCTGATGCCGGCCAGGCCATCCTTTGTACTATTCATCAACCGTCCGCCGTCTTGTTCGAGCAGTTCGACCGGATCCTTCTCCTGGCGAAGGGCGGCAGAACTGTGTACTTTGGAGAATTGGGCAAAGATTGTAAAACAATGATCAGTTACTTTGAGAGAAACGGCGCACCGCCTTGTGGTCAATCAGAAAATCCTGCCGAATATATTCTCGATGTCGTTGGCGCCGGAGCAACCGCACACGCGTCAAAGGATTGGGCTGAGATCTGGAAGGCTTCTCCTGAAATCCGAAGTGTGTCCGAAGAGATAGCTCGTTTGACCTCAGATCGAAAAGGGGAGAGGTCCCCCACGCATGTCGGCGGTGGCTTCGCAATGCCTTGGTTTTCCCAATACCTCGCGGTTCAGAAGCGTCTAGCTCAACAATACTGGCGAAGCCCTGCCTATGTGCAGAGCAAATTATTGATCAACATCATCGGAGGTCTCTTCATCGGATTCACTTTCTGGAAACAGGATTCATCAGTTCAAGGACTACAGAACAAAGTCTTTGCAGTCTTCATGATCCTCTTACTCTGCCTGGTACTCGTTGTTCTTCTCCAGCCACGCCTCATCGACTACCGAGATTTATACGAGGTCAGAGAAAGGCATTCCAAGATGTATCATTGGACAGTCTTCATCGTTGCAAGCATTCTTGTCGAGGTCCCCTTCAGCGTCGTTATCTCCAGCTTATGCTTCATCTGCTGGTATTTTCCCGTTGGTTGGACCATAACGAGCGGCCGGGCGGGATTCATGTGGTTTGTGTTTGTCCTGTACCAATTCTACCATACCAGCTTCTCGCAGACGCTGGGGATCGTCGCGCCTAACGCTGAGAGCGCCGCCATGCTCACCATTCTCTTCTATGCCTTCATCCTCGCTTTCAGCGGCGTTCTACAACCGCTGGGCCAGCTCGTCGGATTCTGGCATTTCGCGTACGATGTCTCTCCTTTCACCTGGCTTGTTTCCGCAATTGTTACTGATGGTCTTCACGACGCGCCTGTCAAATGTGCACCGGAAGAAGTCAACATCTTCCAACCACCGCCGGGGATGACATGCGGGCAATACGCGGGCGCATGGGCGAATGCCTCTTTCGCATCCATATACAACCCTCAAGCCACATCCAACTGCGAATTCTGTCGGTACTCGGTCGCCGACGTATATCTGGAAGGCGTCAATATGAAATATAGCGAGCGCTGGAGAAACGTGGGGATCCTGATTGCGTATATCGCTATCAACACGGTCCTCTTCTTCAGTGCTTATTATCTGCGTTCGGAGTTTCGATGGCAGGCGGTCTTGGATCGCTGCTCGCGGCTTCTGGGAGCGATGAAATTGTCAACGCAGCAGAAGTTGAATAAGAAGGAGAAAGTCTCGAGTTCCGCTTAGCACCATGATTTATTTCCTTTCGCCGTTTTCTTTGGAATCTTAAGAACACACACCCTATAGAATATCTATCTATCTAACATTCTTTATAGAGAAACCCCCTTTTGTATTTCATTTTATCTCATTTCATCCCATCCATTTATTTTTCTACCCCAAAGACTGTCTTTATAGAGAGATAGATTTCTTTTCTTTGCTGTTATAGATAGATAGAAGTTAGAAACTTTAAGAGCTTTGCAGCCTTTGCTCAGTGCCTAGTAATAGAAGATACACTAGATTCAATTCATTCCATTATGGAAACGGGGAATTTTATTTTGAAGGCAGTTAGTTGGTGAAGCAAAGGATGCTACTCTCTCCCTTCCCCTATTCCCCCCTCCCCCCTTTTCCCCTTTTAAATTTTAAATACGACCTAAACTAAATCCACTCAACTCGCAAGTAAATCCACTTAAGCCAGTGTACCTATTCTCCAGAGTTCCACCCACCTACCTTACCTTACCTACCTTACCTACCTAATTAAACCGAGCCTCCCCTTACCAATATCCTAATAATCCTCCAGAGGTCTACCAAGAACCCCCCCTTCTCTAGTCGCACATCATACCATACCGTACATAAAGGCACTTGCTCCCCCCTAGCCTAAATCCTAAGCACTGAAAAACTTCTCCCGGGGAGCTCTCTCTCTGGTTTGTTGTCCAATTGTAGGGATGTTCATTGTTGATGTTGATGTACTGTAACGTTTATAGAGAGGGAACATACGTCTTTCTTTCTCTCATCTCGAGTTTTTAATATAATATAAAAGAGGGATAAGAATTAAGAGAAAGAGAAAGACAGAGATAAAGATAAAGAGAGATGGAGTAAGTAAGGTACCTAAAGGTAGGCGATGTTTAGGCAATTAGTCAGCACACTCCTGTGTAACAGTCTTATGAGGCATAACAGTATGTATCATCATTACGCCGCGATTCAAGAAGAAGTAGTATCTATCCCTCCATTCCCTTTTGCTCCGCAAGCAACGCCTCCTTTGGAAGCTTCCCTCTTGACGCACTTTTTGTCCTTTTTCTAAAATACATTTGAGATCCCCCCCCCTCCCCGTCTTGTCAAACATGGCCCCGTCATTCAGACTGAGCTCTGGCCAAGGCTTCGTTGACATAGTTGGGAAATCTATATCTCAGCAAGCTGGTGTATGAAATCAAGTCCAGTTTTGCTTGCTTTAAGTTATCAATTAACTCCTGTCTGGTCCCCTCAGCTCCCCCAAATTGGCCGTTCATGAGAGACTCGCGCGCTTTGGTACAGCACTCGATCGTCCACATCACAAGGTTATGCACGCTGTTTGCGATTGGCGGAGCGAGCGCCGAGAACTTGGTGGCGTAGCTTCGGATGATGCTCGCGTTGCCATGGGCCTGGAGAGGGAAGATATCGAGCGCCATTATATCCTAGTAACGCATGTCAGCATAGATCTCTCGTAACGTGATCCAGGGTAACCTACATCCAGAGCTGCTGTCCACTTCCCTTGCTCGACCTTGGTCTTTACTCGGCTCATAGTCAACAATGCTTGACAAGTTTCTTTATTCGTGTCTTTGATCCTGTCCATGTACATCCGATTCCGACCGTACAGGGTCGTCATGTTTTCGGCCAAAGAGACCGGATCATCAACAGAGGTAAGACTGAGGCTACCTTGTTGATCTTGTGGCATTTCACCACCAGTCCTTGCCTTAGAGGGTTGCAGCTGCATATGATCCTGGCCAATCTCTACGGAAATGGCTTCACTGAGTGCTCGGTTGATGATGACAATAACGTTGTCATACTCCTCTGCTAGGTGATATAACAGGACTGCGTCGGTGGTGCGTCCATTGTCATCTGCCACACTAGCAGCTTGAATCGTGATTGTTCTCATAAAATCATCTGTCTCCTCCAGGGCGATAAGCCTCATCCGTTCCTCGATAATACCCTTCACACGTTGACCGTCGGCACGAATATCTCCAAGGAGCAGAGCGAACTCTCGACTTTCTAGGACGAGTTCGCGCAGCGCATCATGACACAACGCGACCTGCTTGCGGCCGAGCTCGCCCGGCAGATCTTGGTTGAGACAGATGAGAGTCAAGTAGTCAACAGCAGCGCTGACGTTTGCGGCTCTAAAGTCCCTTGTGTAGAGGCCGACCATGCGACCAAAATTCAGCTGAGGAATGCCTCTGGTGGTAAAGCTGAGCAAACTTTCTCCAGATGCATCTGGGTCTGAGACCCTGAGCAGACCATAGTAGTCCAGAGCGATGGCAAAATGGACTGCATCCGGATATGCATGAGGGTAGAGATATTCAATGGCCTCTTCAAAGAAACCTGCCAACACCTGCATGAAGAAGTACATTCCATAATTCTCATATTTCGTAAGGAAACGAGAGCCGATTTCTTTCACAACTGTCTGGACAGTTGCAAGGTTACAGACCTCGCTGGCGATTTCATCAACTCTATTGATCTCCCGGGCCAGGACGAACTGGAGCCACAAGTAATCGTACCAATTGTGCTCAAAGCCCTCAAACATCCGGGACTGGAGATCACAACGACCGATGATCTTGTAGCAGGCCATTCTGAATGGATCAATCGAGTTCGGGGGTGCTATACGCAGACGCTGATTATACTCGTTGTTGATACGCTCTCGTTGATCTTTATTGAGTCTCCGGTCCTCACTCGCGGAGTAACTCGTGATGTAGTTCAAAAAGTTGCGGTCAATAGCACGGAAGGCAACCGAGTTGGCTGCGACATATTTGACTGCTTCTTTAACGTGACCTGATCGCAACAGGTAATAAACCAGTGCCCAGACGTAGTCATCGTCAAGCATCTGAAGGCCGGTACCATCCGGGACAAGATCCTTCCGAGCCGCACGTAATCGTACATATGCCTTCACCTTGCTCATAACGTCTGGGATTCCACCAAGAGCGGCTTCTCTCGGACTCTTTGCGACGGTTGCTTCCAACTCCTCGAAGAATAGTTTCTCCAGATACCTGGCTGACCCAGCGAGAATCCTCTTCCTAATCGCCATGCTCTTGGCCGAGCTCGGGGTTTCGTCCAGGTACTCATCAGCAAACTGCCGCTCCTTGACTGCACCTGAACTAGATGGAGAATCAATGTCCGGCTTCTCGCCCAAAATCTCGATCATTGCTCCGTAAGCCTGGGAAATTTCAGTAGCATGCTTCTCTCCCCCTGGAGTCACTGCCTTCGCAAATTCGTGAAGTACTGGATAACAACGTTTTCGTAACCGTGCTGCATTTAGATTCTGGACCTTCTCAGCTAATCGGGTTTGCCTCTCTCGGAAAAATCGATCACTGGGATTTGGTGCAACAATGCCATTTGTCTCCATCCGTTTTTCCACATCAGCGAACAATGGTTGATATCCGCTTCCAATTGGGCCAGCAGCTCCAATCACGGATTTTTGAAGTCCAGAGCGACCGAAGGTGCTCTTTGCTCCCGACACCCGTGAGCCCGCAAGTCCTGCCGCTTTACTTCGTCTCGATCGTCCAAACCCCCCTTGCTCTTCCGAAGTCGAAGCTGCAAAACTTGACCTGCCTCCAGCCATCGTAGCCTCCCTGGGTTTGATACCGAAGTGTTGATATATTCTCTTCCGTTGAGCATCCCACTCCATCGTCACATTGTCGTCCAAGAATGCATCGAAATCCCGTACAGAGCGTGCCAGACCATCAGCAATCATACTCAACGTAGTCTGATTTTGCAAGGTTGCAAGATATCCTTCCACGTCTGTATCAGGGGCTTCCTGCGGTTGCGGTCGCTCGACCCTTCCTATCTTCGAGCTCAGAAGGTTGAGGTCCCTCACTGCGGCCCCTGGATCTACGCCAGAGGCTGCCAAAAGGTAATGCGCTCTTCCATCGACGGTTCCATCAGATGGGCCAGCAGCAAGTCGCTTAATCCGTTGTCGCAGATCCCCAAGGCCGAGCTGAAGCTGAGGGAGGTCCTCATCCGCCGTCTCGCCAGCCGCTCGCTTCCGACTCTTCTCTAGGATCGTATCGAAGTAAGTGCTGCGTGCCCCATTCTGCTGCGGTTGCTGGTTCTGGACTTGAGATGTAGAGCTGGCTGCAGGAGCAAACAATGAGCTCTGTTGCGGAGGCTGCGAAGCAGCGCCAAAAAGGCTGCCGCTAGGTTGCTGTCGCTGTGTAGATCCAAAGAGACCTGTTCCTGTCTGTTGCTGCTGAGGTTGTGTACTCGCACTTGTAGATCCAAAGAGGCCTGTTCCTGTCTGTTGCTGCTGAGGCTGTGTGGTCGCCCCCGCAGATCCAAAGAGACCCGTTCCTGTCTGTTGCTGTTGAGGCTGCGATGTTCCAACAGAACCAAATAATCCACCTGTTGAGGTAGCTGGTTTCGCATTGAGTCCGCTGAAGAGGCCGGGTTGTGAGGTTGCACTGGTGCTGGGGGTCGGGAATAAGGAAGGTTTGGCTTGCGAAGTACTCAGGCTGCCAAAGAGAGAAGACATTTTGGCAGCGATCGGGTGGCAGAAGGGGGGAGAGGAGGAGGAGGAGGAAGAGCGCAAGGAAGGTAAATGTTGGACGCGCAAAGAGCAAAGAGGACGCGGATTATTTATTTTACCTCAGGCATACATTTTCAGATTTGAGGCATCAAGACGGCCCCTTCCCCTTTTTCCCCACGATTGAGGAACAGACAATAGGAGCATACCTACCTAGACAATAGCTATCTAGAAATTGAAGACTCGAAGAAGATGCTGTAAACACTCTGTGGAATTTCTAACCATGTTTGTTTCCTGAAGGCTGAGCAGTTCATAGAGCGCGCCTTAGCAGCCCGGTTCAGCTTCTTCCCTAGCTTTCTTCTTGCTCCTTCTATTGTCCAGTAGGATGATGATGATTGTATTGTCTATTCCATGCATTCCTATAGGTGCCTTACCTTACTATACCAGATCCATAGCTGTGATGATCATGATGATGTCGAGGTGCAGATGAGCCGCAGAGGATATGTATGTATATGTGTGCCTGGCGAGTCAGGCCAAGATTACATAAGAACTTGGGGGCTTTATCTTCTGCCGAGATTATCGACAATGAAAGGCAGATCTTCCTAGTCTTAGCCTGACTCGCTTAGAAATGAGTGGCCCCGTGCACTGTGGGTTAGCCCTGTTTGCCCTGTTTGCCTTGTTTGACCCTCTCCCCCCTTTTTCCCTTTAGTACGTATGACGTTGTTGCACGTGACCAGCTAGTACTTCTTCTGAGATAGGTACCTGAGGCATAATTCCTCCGCCCCGCTCCTCCCCACAGCGCTCTGCTCCGTCTTCGGCGGCTGGAGTGATACTGTGATAGTGATAACCCGTAAGGTGCGCTCGAATAATAATGGCGAGAACTCTATAAGACAATGAAGACAGTGCAGGTTGGCAAGGCAAAAGCAGAAAGAGACTCTCTCTCTACTGAATAGCCACCACAACTCCAGAGCCAAAAATTTCAAACATCTCTTCTCAAATCTGCGACCCGCACAGAGCACGCACAGAGCAGCGGGAAACAAGTGAAACACCCTTGACCCTTCAGCTAAGGCCCCGCCCTACGTAAGGGCAGCAGGCTAACTTGCTAAGGCTGCTTTATTCCGTGCGTTTTCCTCCGTGGCTACGTCTGTTGGAACTACTTCTGATGGAGCGTCGAACATCTTCGAACAACCACCTTCTAGGCCATGGGCTGGAGGCGGGGTTTATCCGGAGATAGCCAGGAACAATCTCGTGTTCTTCTGCATTCAGTAATGTTTAAATGGTTCTGGTGGAACCGGCGTTGCAAATCGGTGGTTGGAGCGCTTGGGCTGGACACTTGCTTCTGGCCAACTATTGGACTTGCACTTAGAACTTGGAAACTTGGTGGCGAGTACCTGTGGCTTCTATGTCATACCCCGTTATAGGGGGGGACGAACGTATATCATAGGCGTGTATACGCCATCTATACATATATAGTATCCCGAGTCTATTCCGATATATAGAGCGCCGGCACGCGTCGAGTGCATTTCTGTTGTGGAGGAGACAAGAGAATTCGACCTTTTGTGCGGTGCAATACTCTATCGACCAGTCAGTCCATTCGGTCAGACAAACAGGCGGCGCCTTGGAGTATTGATCTCAATACCATGAATGGCCTCCCGGCCTACCTACGCCTCTCCTTTTGCCCTCTTTGCCTTACTTGACGACCTCTCGACGCGTTTCTCCTGATCCTCCCTTCCTCTGTCGCGCCGGCCACCTAGTGGCTAAAGGTTCCCCCTTCGCCATTACCCCTTTGCCGCAATAGTTGGACCGGTCTTGTCTGTGGCAATGTCAGATTACATATACACACAGACATAATAACAGACACAGTAATACTTGACGCAAGCACTTTACATCTTTTCCTCTACCGCGCAGACCGCAGCTCGACGTCCGACGTTCGACGTTGGAAGCTTTACAAGCGAGACTCCTTCGAACCTCCAACCTCTCCAACTCCAACTCCAACTTCTTCAACCCTGCTCTTCTCTTTCTCTCAAAACCCTCTCTTCACGCGTCGCACTACTCTTCTCTCTCCTCTCCTCTGATCTCGTCATTCCGCTCCATTCATTCACATTCTCATCCCCGTCCTCATCCTCTTCTCATCGTCCCTCATTCTCACGACCGCCACATAGCCGCCAACCCCAGAGCCTCCCTCCAAAAGCCTCTTAACATCGCCCATCGCTAGTCGCACGAGTCCACGATGGATACCAAACACAGAAAGACATAAAGCCCCGTCGAAACCCCGCGAGAATCATCGGTACAGACACAAGATACACGACCCTACCGCCACCGCTATTACTGTCGCCATCATGGCTACAAAAACGGCCGCGAGGCCTTCTCCAAGTCCAAGAACGCCTCATTCACAGTCTGTCCGCACTCCCTTGAAACCCTCCACGACACCACTGAGCCCGCCGTCAAGAGTGCCGGCCTCTGTCGGACAGCCACTCCCCCCAGGCGCGACTCCAGAGATGCGGTCGCCTGGCGCACATACAATCGTTCGCGCTCAAAGCCCAAACTACTTTGGTATAATTCCCGACCCCGCGATGGATTCTCGAGATTCGGGAGTAGGCCCAAAGGAGAATTGGAGCCCTCCTACTTCCTCAATCTTCTCCTTCGCTGCAGCCTCGCCAAAGCCGATAGATTCGAACTCAGAGTTTGAGGCTTTCAAGAGGCAGACGGAAACGAATAATGGCTTCACTCTTGGTCGCGGACATCTACCTCATTTGGAGCAAACTGGTTCAGTTGTGATTCGCCCACGCGTGGATGGAAGGCTAACTGGATCCGCAACTCCAGAGCATTTAAGCTCTCCTAGATCAGTGCCGAAGGCTCGCATTGGTACTCCTGGTAGACTGGACATTGAGGGAATGAGAGATGAAAGAGACTCGGCCTACGTATCGTCTTCAGAGTCGAAGCGTGCATCAGAGACGTCAATGACTGCGCCATCCTTCTTCGATATTCCACATCAGCAATCCCCGACCAGTATATTGCATACGGGGCGACGAAATGCTCCCGCCCATCTTGATGACAGACATTTACGGCTCTCTCTGCCACAGAACAGGGTAGACCCACCTTCACCGAACTTGAAGCTCCACGCTCGTGGACAGCATCAACGGGCAGAAACACTTCCAGCTGCTCTTGAAGATGGGCCTGCCATGATCAGTCCAGCGCAATTAAAAGATATGGTTGAGCGTCTTCCATCCTCGCAGATCTTAATACTAGACCTTCGTGTTTTCCCGCAATATTCCCAAGCCCGAATTCGCGATGCCTTAAATCTCTGTATACCTACGACGCTGTTGAAGAGACCATCCTTCAATTTACAAAAGCTCAAAGATACCTTCACGAATGATTACGAAAAGGAAAGATTCTCCCAGTGGGAAAGCGCTCAGCACATAGTCGTCTACGATGCGTATTCTTCCGAAAAGAAGGACGCGATGTCGGCGACGAATACCCTCAAGAAGTTCTCAAACGAAGGATGGAAGGGGCATGGTTATATCTTAAGAGGTGGTTTTGCGGAATTCTCGAAGAATTATCCCAAATTTATTGACAAGCAACACGGACAAGATATGCAAGCTTCAAAGATTAGTCTTTCCCTAGGGACATTGAGGCCTGAAGTGGCCCCAGTGGCTGGGGGATGCATGATTCCCGCAACTAAGGATGTTGCAAATCCCTTCTTCAGTAATATTCGGCAAAATCAGGATTTGATAGGAGGCGTGGGACAGTTGAGTATCAAACTACCTGAAGAACTGAGCTCCGAGGCCCCTAATATTCTCCCTGCATGGCTTCTCGAAGCAGCCGCTGCAGAAGACCATGGAAAGAAGGTCTCGGACAAATTTCTACGCCTGGAACTTGATGAACAATCACGAATGACGAAAGCCCTCTCCTCGGGTGTTTCTTACGGGGCACCAGGGGCGGGAAACGGTGATGTACAGATTGCGGGGATCGAGAAGGGTGGCAAGAATAGGTACAACAATATATGGCCATTCGAGCACACGAGAGTCAGACTACAAGGGCGTCCAGAAGGAGCTTGTGATTATGTCAATGCAAGTCATATCAAGGCGTCACGGAGCAATAAGCGGTATATTGCGTCGCAAGGACCTCTCCCTGCCACGTTTGAGGTAAGCAGCTCGAAACACACTGCGAATGATTGCTAACGCCGTGTAGGATTTCTGGAGTGTTATATGGGACCAGGACGTTCGAGTCATAGTAATGTTAACCGCGGAGCAAGAAGGCGGCCAGCTCAAATGCCATCCGTACTGGTCGAGCAATGATTACGGGCCTTACCGACTGAAAGCTTTGTCGGAAAGGAAAGTATCACTTGATCCCAAGAAGCACTGGACACCAGGCGAACGTCGCGATCAAGGGAGAAGACGTGCCAATACTAGTGCGGAAAACGCCCCTACTGTTCCACCGACTGAGCAACCCCACGCGATCGTCCGAAAATTCAGCCTCTCCCATTTAATGCACCCATTCTCGCCCATGCGAGAAATCGCCCAGGTCCATTTCTCTTCCTGGCCAGACTTTGGCGCTCCAGCCAGTCCGAGCCAACTCCTCGGCCTTGTCGAGATCAGCAATCAAATGCAGCGCGCCGCCGCATCCCCAACACAGCCCCTCAGGACATCAGACCCCGAAGACGACGAATATGTCCGACCCATCCTCGTGCATTGTAGTGCGGGCTGTGGACGCACCGGCACCTTCTGTACCGTCGACTCTGTCATCGACATGCTCAAGCGGCAGCGCAAAGAGATGCGAAGCGGCGTCACCCCCATGGACTTCACGCCCTCCAACAACCAAAGCGATTACGTAGGGAAAGGCAAACGTCCCGAAGACCCCGATACCCAATGGCTCTTTGACCAAGACATGGATCTAGTCGAGAAAACGGTCCAGGATTTCCGCAGCCAGCGCCTTAGCATGGTCCAAAGCCTCCGCCAGTTCGTCCTCTGTTACGAGACGATCCTCGAATGGATGGTTCAGCAATCCACGGGCAAAACGGGCCGTGAACGAAGCGGTAGTGATGGTGGTGTTCTCTAGGGATATGATATATGATATTCTTCCCGTGCAGCAAGCGCTATCTAAGTAGAGTAGATTAATTATTGATTAATTAATTAATCAAGGATATCCGCCTCCCGGTGGAGTTTTCATTAAGAAAAAACTCCACACGCCAGAACACAGCATGGATGAAGGGATGGATGGGATACACACAACATGGTCCGGTCAGGAGGTCCGGAGGTTGGGTTAGGTCAGGTCAGGTCAGGTCAGGTCGGGATCTTCATGGAATAGCATCTGTCCTCTTCTCTCTTCTTCTTCTTCTTCCTTCTACTCTTCTCTTTTTTTTCGTGTTTTCGAAACTTGCAAGCAAGCATGGCATGGAGTTGGGGCTTGTTGGCTTTTTACTTGATATGAGTGTATGACGGGGGATTGATGGATTGATGGATGGATGATTGATTGATTGATTGATTGATACCGACTTGATTGATAGAAGAGGAATGCTTATTAGATGGCATTTTCTTTGATAAGCAAACAAGCAAACAAGCAAGCATGCAAGCAATGAAGATAGTTATGTGACACTGTGTCTGGCTCGATGGCTCGGGCTTGATGGTTTGATGGTGAGAATGGTGAGAAGGATGGGATGTGATGCGATGTGTGATGTGTGATGTGTGAAGGATGTAATGTGATGTGATTATACCGATATCCCATCCCCCTGCCCCTCCTCCCCATCTGCCTCTCCCTGCTGTCCATATCCATCAATCAAAATCACCACGTTTAAACACGCTGCGTATGCTTCTCGGATCGCACATGCCATACTATTATATCATTAGCCTTCTTACTCTCTCTCCTCTCTCCTCCCCTCTCCCCTTCCCCTTCCCCCCCCAAAAAAAAGAAAAAATAAGGAAAAAAGGGGGAAGAAAAAAAACTCACCAAGTCCACCGCACATCCGTAACCAACGCGGCAATTCCCCAATGACTACACCAAGCACGCACCAGAACCTCGGTATCTGGTACTCCGAAGGATTCTACGACTAGGACGCGTTCTTCATCTTCTTCGTTTTTTGTACGAGTGGGGTCTTCTGGACTGGTCGCTGCTTTATTGTTGTTGTTATCGATTCTCGTAGATGATGATGATGATCCTGCGTCTGGGTTTTTGGTAGAGGAAGAAGGAGGAGAAGAGGGAGAGGGAGAGGGAGGAGAGGAATGTTTGGGGACCGGAGGAGGGGGAGGGGTATTCGAGCCCCATCCTCTCAATCGAAGTAACTCGTCAGCGCGCACGGCATGATACACATAATCATCAAATAAGGGATGTGGACCGCCGGCACAAGGCTGGGCAGCTATGAATGAGGTATCGTATGAGAGACGCAGAGGCCAGGAGCGGCCCCAGATAGCGAATTGGATGGCGGCGTCGTAGGTTAGTGGTTTTTTGCCTATTACATTTTTTCCTGGGGCTTGTTGAGAGGAGGGGGATTGAGAGGTGGATTGAGAGGAAGAGGGAGGTGGGGGGAGGGGAACGATGGGTTTCAGAGCGAGTTTCTCGATCCGGATGGTGTCGACTATGTCAGTGGGGTCCGGGATAGGGAGATGATATTCGGAGACTGGATACCCGGTGGAAGAGGGCGGACCGAGAGGATCGGAACGGAGAGACATGCTGGTCATATCGCTAGCTGTCAGATGGGGTAATGGGTATCTCGGCGGACGTCGTGAGCGGATGCGCGCGATCTGGATACGTGCCAGGTCGGGCGCGGGACGGGCAGGGCCGACCCAGCCGCAGATCTCGCGGCAGGTGGGCGCGAGCACTTTTCCTACGATGCAGGTCGAGGACCAGTAGGTGGTGCTCTTGTATTGGAAACCGCTGTGCGGATGCATGTGGGTGAGGGCGGCGAGGGCGCTGGTCCCTTGGTCGTCGTCGCAGTCGATGAGGGAGTTCATGACGAGGTAGGGAAGCGTGACGCCTGGGAGGATGACGCCTGTGAAGTAGGACATGGTGTCGGAACTTCGGTCTTCGAGGGGCGTGGCGTGAGGGTCTCGTTCTTTGAGCACGTTGTCGACCGTGGCGAGATTGGGCCATTTCATGGCGCGGGCGAACTTTCTCAGTGCTTTCACTTGGGCGTTTTTGACCTTGAGGTAGAACCTAACTGTTATATGGTTAGTAATGACACATCAAGGAAGAGTGCCCTGACTTACTCTGCTCAGGATCACCGCCCGTCTTGAACTTCTCGATAGACATGCATTCACGCCATTTCCGAGCAAGTGCCAGATCCCAAGCTATACACGGCGGGAGCTGCGACAACAGCTTCCCCTTTGCCCAGTCCGTATGCTGTTTCGAGTTAATCCTCAAGTCTAGCTCCATGCTCAAGAGAAGCTGGTGAAAGAAGGCTTTATACCGCCTGTGATCCGTATACGTTGCGCTTGCGTAGAACTTGGCCACGACTTGATTCTCGGGCCTGCTAAAATCGATCCACTCCTTCCTGGACAGGACGATGATCAGGTCGGCGATCTGTTTCTCCATAGCTTTATGCGGGCTGATGTATCTGTCGGGGTCCTTGAGAAGATTGCGGTAGAGGTTCTTGTACATCAGATTTGCGTCATCCTCCTCAAAGCCCCCCTGGAGATCTATCAAACGCTGCAGTATGGTCGAGAGCTCTACCTCTCTGGGCTTCACGTCCGGATCTCGTAGTTCGATGCGCGGGTTTGGTTTTCCTGACAAGCTCACCCAGTGATTCAGAGTAATCGTACCCGGTCTGTAACCATAGCAGAAGGAGAGACTAGGCTGCTCCAGCGTTTCCCACGGGTATAAAGTCGATCCAGAACCACCACGAAGTCGGAATGACATGGCAGTAAACGCTGCATTGTACGGCTCTGCGCCATCGTTTCCCGCACCTTCATTTCCCTCACACGTCGCGTAGAATGCGTAGTAGTCGTCCGACGCATGCGGTATTGCTCGTCGGTGCCCTTTGAATACGGGAGCCCCCGAGGCAATAATCTCTTCTGCCTCTCCCTGCGAAAGAATCCCATCAGGTGGGATATTCGCAGGAGGCCACGATGTCAGGACCTGCCGTGGGGCTGCTCTCGGTTTCTTACGCCGTCTCATATGAGAATGCGTGCTATGTGAACGTCCGAGACGGGTTGGAGTGGATGATCGTCCGTCCTCTCGATGACTACTGATATGTTCTGCATCCTATCAAAAAATGAGAAAGTCAATCAAGACAAAGTTCGGGGCTCGAGTATACCGTACCGGCGGCGGGAAGTCTCTAGACTTCTTCTCTGAGACCGAGCGGCTCCTAAAGAGCCCGAATAGCTTCTTCTTAGTATCGCTCATGATTATGGTATCGCTCATGATTATCTGGCCAGGACATGCCGCGACAGTTGTAGCTCGACATTTGTTCTTGGTCGTCGCAAGGCTGAGGAGGGGCTGAGGCGGCGGAGGGGTTACCGATCCGCCAGAAATAGAGTGGGAGCCGCCGATCTCATACGTCTCTGTGGAGGATTACTTGCGGGTCGGGCTTCTTGTCAAATCCTGGGCCAATTATCAATACCGAAGACCAGCGCAACAAGTTCAAGGATATCAAGTAAGACAAGGCCCTGAAGCCTTGCTTGTCGCCCACGTGTACGAGCCTTCGCTTCTAGCACGTGATGCCCCACCGGCTACTTGCCTTGTGATTGTTGTAAGGAGTTTTAGAATCCAACCTCACAGATATCGGGGATGGGCTCTATAGGTAAGTAGAAATATGGATATAGACTCGAAGATCGATTTTTGACTAGACTCGAAACTCCATTTCATGCTAACATCCTGAATATTCACCTGTCTTGGATCTACTATGTTTCGTTCATACCTACACCAACATCCCAACGCCGCCATACCCAAGGAATCTATAAATCAATCCTCGCTGATTCGGGCCAGGCTTGATCCACATTCAGGGCCGTCGTCGAATTGGCATCATAGGGGGTGTCCACAGTGCTCAAAGCTGCTCGGTACTATACAAGATTCTGATTAGCATCGATCGAAACAGAGGGGATGAATGGCCCGCTTACCTTGAAGATAAAGTTCAGTACCAGAGCAATCATCAGCGCGAAGCTGACAATCATCGGCCCCACCATATTGTCAAAATCCTTGCCGCTCCTTGCGATGATCATCTTCCGCCGTGTGTGGTATGTATAATAACCCCATAATCCGGCAAACATCGCAATGCCAATATATGCGATGCCCATGATCTCCGCCACGAGATCCTCTCCGGCCGCGCTGTAAAGACCAACGGCAAGTCCGCCTAGCAATATACAGATATGTTGCCACTTCAAGAAGGTTCGTTCGTTTGCCAACCATACCTTGGGCTCTACTTGCAACGGCCCCGAGTCCTTGATGAGCTGTGCGGGCTTCGTAATTCCAGGCGGGAGCTGAACGCTACGCCTCTCTCTGCGCGATTGCGCATATTTGGAGATCGAGAAGGACGGCAGGACGGAAGATAATGCACCATATCTGCCGCTCGGTCCTCCCCCTTCCTCCTCGTCTTCCTGGTCATGTGATGTGATTTGACGCATATTGGCATCTGACTGACTCCTAGCCCTGTCCTCTGCAGAGAGCCTCTCCTGCAGGTACGACTTGCTAAGTGGCGAGCTGACAGCCGCCTTGTAACTCGTGCTTGGCTTCGACGTGCCTAGAAGGCTACCAACCATAAGCCCATCTTCAGCCTCCTTCGCTTTCCTCTCTTCCTCCTCCTCGAATGCCGCTTGCGGATCTTTGCGAATGTCCGTCTCAACTTCACTCAGCCAGAATGGTAGACTGTTCACATGGTCTTCGAATAGTGACGCCACACCATGGACGAATTTTGAGAATCGTGGTGCTTTGTGAACGAGGTGTGAGGACATCAGGTCCTCAATCCACTGCGGGTGCTTCTTGGTCCCATCCTCCCTGACTTTGATTTCCAGTATCGAGTAGGGGAACAGAGAGACCTCGCCCTGGTTAATGTTGGGAAATGGATAGACCATTGAACTGTTGTCAATGTCAAGTCTATGCCAACTCTGGGGGTTTCTGCACGGCCGCTCCGGATCCAAGGCATCCTCCCGAATGAAGGCCACTTGTGTATCGATGGAAATCCTGATCTTGTCATCTAGGGGTTTCTGAAAGGCCGTCCGGGTGTAATTGGCTCGCAAGACCGGCTGCAAGTCGTTTGCCCGGATGAATTCCTGGATGTCATTGACGGTGTTCTTGAACTCCTCAACCTTGGCTTCAGGCTGCCCCTGACGTTCCATCTTTTGTATGCTTTTCTCCATCTTATATTCGCCCTTGATAAATGGCTGCAGATACTTCTCTTTAATGGGAAATCGCTTCTCTTCATTACTACCATTCTCATGTGTGATCTTTTGCTCGATAACGAGCTCGGGATTGGCGCTCAACTGCCCATACCATCGAACGCGCAGTGACGCAGCCTCCACCTGGCGAGCGACCTTTTCCGAGTACAGCGAGAAATCTCGATTATCGAAGTAGAGAGAGTTAAGAGTCGGATCTCCTTGAGCCTCAAGGCCCTTGGAAGATTGCTCGCTGTAGACAAGAACAGGAAGTCGGCGAAGTATGTAGGTCTTGACCTCGAGAAGGTTATCTTGATGGATCCAGACTAAATCAAAAAAGTTTCAGCGCAGGCCAAATTTTGTCACTCGCGCATCAAGGTACTCACATTTATAAGCCGTGTATTTCTCGCCGTTCAGCGTTTGCGATTGCGCATCGGAAGACGGGGCGACTACTGGCTGGTCCGGACCCTCATCAAGCTGCTGACGAACCACAAAATACATCATAGACAACTTGTTCAACAGCGGAGAATAGCCCTGTTCGGAGTTGAAAGGCCTCTTCGATAAGGTCATCTGCAACATCGGCCTCATCTTATAATTATTGCCCCGTTTCCGATCATGTTTCTTAACGATCTTCAAGAATCCGGTATAGTTGATATTACTATACTTCTTCAACTCCTTCGTCTCATTAATGATATTGTCAAGCTCCTCCTCAATCTCCTTGAGCCGACCCGTCGTGATATCTCCCTTGGCCTTCCTGTCCCCCTCCCCCTCGGGCAAGAGATCGCGCAGCTTCTCACCCGCCTCGTTGGCCCGCTGCTCCAGCTTCTGAAACGTCGCCGCCTGGAAGGCTGCCACCTTCTCAAGCTGCACGTTCAAGATCTCGTCGCTGAACCGGTTCTCGTCATCGGCTGTCCACGCCCCGTCGTTTTCCTCCTCGTCCTCCCGCAATAGGCTCTTGAGCTTGCCGTAATCCATGTACTGATCTTTCCATGGCGGATAGATGGAATTCCGCAGCGTCTTGCCGAATCGCATATCGACGAAGAATCAGGAAACGTATTTCCACTGCGTAGGTCGAGATTGGTGGAGAGGGAGAGAGCTGGATGGATGTTCGAGCGTGGGATGTTGATTGATTGATCGAAGGCGAACGAGTCGGCTCCTCCTTCACCAGTAAGCGTAATTGTATACCAAAAATTCCGTTAGAGCGTCAATCCTTCAACTAATCAAAAAATCCTGCGTGCTTCGTCCGAATCTTAATCTGTCATGCGAGGAAGAATAAACATGAATTATTGACGTTAGACGGACGAGCGACCACAAATACAAACTAATAATATAGCTAGCAACCGGGTAGCGCTCACGAGCAGAGAGGTCGTCCCCCGCCCCACGCTTGGAGCTCCAGAAAACGTGCGTCGAAAGGTGATCTTTGATTGGTCAATGGACGAGTGTGGAAGCTAGGATCGGGAAGATAGATAATCCGCTCCCACGCCTCGCTCACTTCTTTCTGGGCAACTATTGCCGGGTCACTGGACTGTACCATATCAAGATCTGCTGCTCTTCCTCAGGATGAAATCTCCTTACTATGGGAAATCTCTAGTCAGTAGCTTATCTATTCACAGAGCAGAGCAAGTTCCAAGTATTATGTGCATATGTGCATATATGTATATGTATATTTTTCATCGCATAAAGTCATCTATTTACAAACAAACGGCCGACGCCCAACAAAACCGTGCAAGAACCAAGACCCGGAAAAGCATTCGCTAGTATCGTCAAGCATAAGCATTCAGGATCATATAATGTGCAAGCTCAGATGACCCCTCCCCGGACGCTGGTATATTTTGTAAATGCTTGGCCGCCTCCCACAACCATTTGCTTTTTTTACCCAGCCCCTCATGCATGCGCCTGCGCCAAACTCTGCTGACCCGTACATATCACTCACTCTAGGTTCGCTTTCTGTTTTTCAGTTCGCCGCCGCAACTACCTGGAGGGGAGCACGCTCGGCGCGGCCTTGGACCTCACGGGCAGGTCCTCTCCCCAAGATCTCTTGAGCGGTGCGCTTGACAATGCCTCCAGTGACTGGCAAGCTGGTGGATTTCTCAAGGTAGAGATCCACCTCTCTAGCAGACTGTCTGCCCTCGTTGATACCCCTGTAGAAGTCACACGTTAGCGTTGGTTCAAATCAGCGCGAAGATCATCAAAGCTTACCAGACGATGAGGGATTGGCCACGGCGGCAATCACCAGCCGCGAAGATGCCCTCGACGTTAGTGTGGTATTTTCCAGGGGGCGTCTTGATGTTCTTGCGAGCATCCTTCTCAATGTCATCGCCCAACACACGGTCCTCAGGACCCAAGAATCCCATGGACAAGAGGACTAGATCAGCGGGGAAGAATTGCTGCGAGCCCTCAATCTTCTTCATGTCCCAACCACCGGTGGCGGACTTGGTCCATTCAACGCGGATGGTGTTGATTCCCTTGACCTTTCCACTTCCATCATCCACAAACTCCTCGGACATGACGCAGTACTCACGGGGATCATTGCCCATGTGCTGCTTGACTTCGGTGTGACCGTAGTCCACACGGTAGATCCTTGGCCATTGTGGCCATGGGTTGTCACGGGCTCGCTCATTTGGTGGCTGTGGTAGCAGCTCAAAGTTTGTCACAGACTTGGCACCGTGACGAACCGAAGTACCAATACAGTCGTTACCAGTGTCACCTCCTCCAATAACCACAACGTCCTTGCCCTTTGCTGAGATGTACGCGCCATCTGCAAGTTCAGAGTCAAGGAGCGACTTGGTGTTCCGGTGCAAGAATTCCATGGCGAAGTGGATACCCTCGAGGTTGCGGTTCTTGATAGGGAGGTCTCGCGCCACAGTAGCACCAGTAGCAATGACAACAGCATCATTCTCGGCCTTGAGGTCCATGAGCTGGACGTCCTGTCCCACTGCTACGCCAGTCTTGAATATGATACCCTCAGCAGCCATGAAGTCAGTTCGTCGCTTGACGATCTTCTTGTCAAGCTTCATGTTAGGAATACCATACATGAGAAGTCCACCGGGACGATCAGCACGTTCGTAAACAGTCACGAGATGTCCGGCTTTGTTGAGCTGGTCGGCACAGGCAAGACCGGCTGGTCCAGATCCAATGATGGCCACCTTCTTGCCAGTGCGGATCTTGGGTGGTTGTGGAACCATCCAACCCATGTCAAATCCACGGTCGATGATAGCGCACTCGATCGACTTGATGCCAACAGGGTCCTCGTTAATACCGAGGACGCATGCACCCTCGCAGGGCGCAGGGCACACTCGTCCAGTGAACTCTGGGAAGTTGTTGGTCATGAGCAGACGGTTCAGGGCGTCTCTCCACTGGTTCTGGAAAACAAGCTCATTCCACTTTGGAATGATGTTCGAGATTGGGCAGCCAGAGTCAGATTGGCAGAAGGGAACACCGCAGTCCATGCAGCGTGCAGACTGGTACTTGAGCTCGTCCTCATCAAGACGCTTTGAAAGCTCGGCCCAGTCACGAATTCTAGTCTTTGCAGGGCGGTACTTCTCAGAACGGCGCTGGTACTTCATGAAACCCCTGGTCTTGTCCAAGACCAGCGATCTCTTCTTCTCAACGGCAGCATCGCCAATGGTCTCTTCGATATCCTGAAGGTCCGACTTCTTCGCATGGGCATGCTTGTCCTTCTTCTCTTGAAGTTCACGCACCGGGGTGCCGGGGAGAAGTGGGAGCTGATACTCAGCACGCTTCGCCTCTGCTGCCTTGGCGGCCTCTTCCTCCAGAACGCGCTTGTAATCAATGGGCAAGACCTTCACGAAACGAGGCAGGGCTCGGTTGAAGTCGAGGAGAATGCGGGCGGCAAGTTCAGAGCCAGTGTAGTGGTGATGATCTTCAATCAGACCTCGCACGAAGGCAATTTCAGTTGGGTCATCAATGCCGGATGCTTCAACCATCTCGGTGTTCAATTTGGACATGAAGGTTCCGTGGATATCGAGGATGTACGCAATACCACCAGACATACCCGCGGCGAAGTTGCGGCCAGTGTCTCCAAGGATGAGCACACGACCACCAGTCATGTACTCACATCCGTGATCTCCAACACCTTCAACAACAGCGGTAGCACCGGAGTTGCGGACCGCGAATCGCTCTGCGGCCACACCACGGAAGAAGACCGTTCCACTGGTGGCACCATACAAGCAGACATTGCCGACGATAACGTTGTCCTCAGCCTTGAAAACAGCCGCACGGGGTGGGTAGATGATCAAACGACCACCAGAAAGACCCTTTCCGACGTAGTCATTTGCGTCACCCTCTAGCTCCAAAGTGATACCAGGAGCCAGGAAGGCACCGAACGACTGGCCTGCCGAACCCTTGATATTGACATGAACGGTGTCCATTGGCAGACCATCCTCGCCATATCTCTTCGAGACCTGGTATGAAAGGGAGGTACCCATAGCACGGTCAGTGTTGACAACGTCACACTCGATTCTCGATGGGAGACCTTTGTCGAGGGTCAATTCGGCCTCGGAGATCAGCTTGTTGTCAAGTCTGACATAGAGACGGTGGTCCTGCTTTCGTACGTTGAAAGTAGCCACTCCTGGTCTCAGCTTGTGGGCGGGTGTCAGGATCAAAGACAAATCGATATTGGCAGTCTTGTTTGTTCGAAGATCCTCTCTGACTCTCAAGACCTCAGCATGACCAACCATTTCGTTGATGGTTCTGAAGCCAAGCTTTGCCATAATGGCTCGGAGTTCGTTGGCGATGTAGTAGAAGAAGTTGATCACGTGCTCAGGAGTACCCTTGAACTTCTTGCGAAGTTCTGGATCTTGAGTAGCAATACCAACAGGACACGTGTTAAGGTGACACTTCCGCATCATGATACAGCCCATGGCGATGAGAGGCGTGGTAGCAAAGCCCCATTCCTCAGCACCAAGCAGACAGGCGATGGCAACATCGCGTCCAGTGCGCAGCTGTCCATCAGTTTGAACAACAACACGACCTCGGAGGTCGTTAAGGACCAAGGTCTGGTGGGTCTCGGCAAGACCGAGCTCCCAAGGCAGACCGGCGTATTTGATACCTGTCCATCGAGAAGCGCCAGTTCCACCATCGTGTCCAGAGATCAAGATATGGTCAGCTTTCGCCTTGGCTACACCAGAGGCCACGATTCCGACACCGGTCTCGGAGACGAGCTTCACGGAGACGCGAGCGCGGGGGTTGGAGCACTTGAGATCATAGATCAACTGTTTCAGATCCTCGATAGAGTAGATATCGTGGTGGGGTGGTGGCGAGATCAGACCGACACCAGGAGTAGAGTGACGAGTCCGAGCGATAGACTTGGAGACCTTATGTCCTGGAAGCTCACCACCTTCTCCGGGCTTGGCACCCTGGGCCATCTTGATCTGAAGCTCATCGGAATCGGCGAGGTAGTTGGAAGTGACACCGAAACGACCTGATGCAACTTGCTTGATGGCAGATCTCATAGTATCGCCGTTTGCCATTCTCTCAGATCTCTCTGGGTCCTCACCACCTTCACCAGTGTTAGACTTTCCTCCGAGGCGGTTCATGGCAACAGCAAGGGTAGAGTGAGATTCCATGGAGATAGAGCCGTACGACATGGCCCCAGTACAGAACCGCCGAACAATTTCGGTCCAGGGTTCCACTTGATCGATCGGCACGGGGGTACACTCATCAAACTTGAAGTCCAGCATGCCTCGAAGTGTGCAGGACTTGATCTGCTCGTATTCCGAGAGTGAGTAAGCCTCGTAGGACTTGTCGTTCTTCGTGCGGACAGCGTCTTGGATGTTGGCAATGGAGGTTGGGTCGTTGATGTGAGGCTCTCCGCCATCTCTCCAATGGTATTCGCCGGATTCAACCAGGCCGGGAATGCTGACTGTGTATCGCGAGGGGAAGCCCTTCTCGTGGAATCTGAAGGCATCCTCTGCAATGAGCTCAAAGGTGACACCCTTGATTCTGGTGGCTGTGCCCTTGAAGCATCGGTCCACGACGGTGTCATCGATTCCGAGTGCTTCGAAAATCTGAGCACCCTTGTAACTGGCCAGGGTCGAGATACCCATCTTGCTCATAACCTTCAAGATACCACCATCAGCAGAGTACTTGTAGTTTCGGATGAGCTCGTCATCAGTGAGCTTCTTCCGGATCAAACCCTCGCGGTTGAGCTTCAGGATACACTCCATGGCAAGGTATGGGTTGATGGCATCAACACCATATCCGACAAGGACACACATGTGGTGAACTTCACGGGCTTCGGCAGTCTCAACAACCAAAGCGGCCAGGGATCGCCACTTGTTGTTGACCAGGTGGTGATGAACCATACCCGAAGCCAGGAGGGCAGAAACTGGAACACGGTCGGCAGAGGTTGCGCGGTCTGACAGGATGATGATGCGGTCCTTGTTCTCAATTGCAGCCGTCGCCTGGTCACAGATGTAGTCGAGGTGCTTAATGTAGCCTTGGACACCTTCGGATTTGGGGAAGGTGAGGTCGATGACTTTGACGGTCCAAGCAGGGTGCAGCTTGCTGATGTTCTTCAGAGCGTTGAGTTCGTTGATGGACAGAACAGGGGTGGGCAAGAGCAAGCGGCCGCACTGGGATGGGTCCATCTCGAGCAGGTTGCCCTGCGGACCAACGTAGCACTCCAAGGACATGACAATGGCCTCTCGAATAGGATCGATGGGAGGGTTAGTGACCTGTGCAAAGAGCTGTCGGAAGTACTCGTAGAGCAAGCGGGGGGCTTGGGCAAGGCATGCGAGCGGGGCATCGTTGCCCATGGACCCGAGAGCCTCCTTCTCGTCGGAGGCCATGGGAGCAAGGAGCAAGCTGACCTGCTCGAAGGAGTACCCAAAAGCTCTCAGCATCGGATCCTCCTGGATCGGGGCCGCGTCGGGCTTGGGAGACAGGTCGAGAGAGGTTTGGTTCATGAGGTCCTCGTGAATCTTGGGTAGGCTGATCAGCTCCTTGTCAAGCCATGCTCGGAAGTCGTGACGACCGGCAACAGTGTTCTTGAGCTCGGCATCGTCAATGATGCGACCTGCAAGGGTGTCGACAAGCAGCATCTTTCCGGGCTGCAAGCGACCCTTCTGGACCACGCGCTCGGGGTCGACCTGGATAGTACCGACCTCCGACGCGCAGATGATCCTATCATCGTCCATAATATAGTATCTGCAAGGACGGAGACCGTTTCTGTCGAGGTTGGCACCGCAGTATCTTCCATCAGCGAAGGTAAAGAGGGCCGGTCCGTCCCAAGGCTCCATCTGGCAAGCCGCCCACTCGTAGAAGGCAGCCTTCGCTGGATCCATGGCGGCGTTATCCTGCCATGCCTCCGGCACCATGAGCATCACCGCTTCCGGTAGAGACAGGACGCCATTGATGGTCAGCAATTCGAGCACGTTATCAAAAGCCGCCGAGTCGGAGCCACCATCCTCGACAATGGGGTAGAGCATTTCCAGCTCCTCGCCAAAGACGTCGGATTGCATGACGCCCTCACGAGCGCGCATCCAGTTCTTGTTGCCTCGCAGAGTGTTGATTTCACCTGGGTCGGACGTTAGTACGATGTTGCCGGCGGGGGTTTTACAACAGGCATACCATTGTGAGCAGCCCAGCGCAATGGCTGAGCACGGTCCCAGGACGGGAAGGTGTTGGTGGAGAAACGCGAGTGTACAAGAGCGAAATGGGCTTCGTAATCAGCGTTCACTAGATCATAGTAATACTGATAGACCTGGACTGGAGCGAGCTGGCCCTTGTAAACAATGTTCTTGTTGGAAAGGGAGCACAGGTAGAACCAGTTTTGCAGGCCAATGGTATGGGTCGCACGCTTTCGGAGCACGTAGAGTTGCCTCTCGAAGTATTTCTCATCAAATAGCTCAGGATCAGTAATCTCTGGCGCATTACCAGAGCCATACGCAGATGCTAATACCACGAATGGCTGCAGAATAATAGGCTCACGAGAAGCAGCAGCGGGACCAAGAAGAGTGGAATCTGTCGGAGGCTCTCGCCACCCCAACACCCTCAACCCCAGTGACTCGGAGATCTGTTCCAACTGTTTCTTTGATTCCTGCAAGGTCTCCTCATCCGGCTTGAAGAAAAGATTGCCCACTGCATATTGACCCAAAGGGGGGAGCTTGATATCCGTCTCGCGTTCGAAGTTCTTGACGAAGAACTTGTGGGGGATCGAGGTCATCACACCCGCACCATCTCCGTCTCGTGCATCGGAACCCACAGCACCCCGATGGGTCATGTTACAAAGCAAATTGCGCGCTGCAAGACGAAGAGGTCAGTATGCAGGGATGAAAACGGGGGGAACGGGGAAGAGCAGACCATCGCTGACAATTTTGTGGCTTGCCTTGCCCTTTATATGGCTGCATTCCATGTTAGTCTGAATTCTTGAGCGCTGGAACAGGGAGACCAACCAAGCAAACCCGACACCACAAGCATCCTTTTCCAAGCCTGGATCATACAATCCTCTATCGTATACTATTAGTCGCACATCGGATGTGAGGGGGAAAAGGTGGGGGCACTCACTGCTTCACGGGAAGTGCTCCGGCCCATGATCCGTTCTCTTCGGTCTGGTACGTGTATGGATGGTAAGGTTCGTTCTCAGCATCTATCTGGGTTTGTCTATCATCGAACTCGAGAGCGGCCATATCAGCCCTCTCAGCGTAGGATTCTCGAAGGTGCAGCTGTCTAGGCAATTGGGGGGGTAGTTGTGCGATATCTGCAAGATTTTTGAGCGGTTAGCGACAATTAAAAAAATCGGTTTGTGATGTGTTGTTGCAGATTTGATGCGGACGGAAGGACGTCGAGGGCGGGCCCTCCTGAATTTATGATTTTATTTTATGCAGAAGAAGAAAAGTGTTGAGGAAGACAGCCAAGAGTCCAAGACTGTCGATTGTGAGGTAGTATATGTCGTTCCGAGACACCTTGGACCCAGGCGGTCCTCGGTACTGGCGGAGGGTGAATAGCAGGACTGCTGCAGCCAAGAGGAAGATCCAATGCGACTGGGAATTTGTGACGGAGCGCACTGCGCAGTGAAAAATCGAAAAATCGAGGGCAGGCAGATTGAATGGTGTTCCATGACGACCCCCAGCAGGGCGCACGTTGCCACCGTGCGAGCTTTCGATAACTGTAATCGATTGGTTTGCGGGGTAACCCCATGCAAAAAAATACAGGTATTGGGTAACTGGGGGGGGTGTGTAGCTGGGCAACAGACAGAAGAGCAAGAAAGCAGCAGAGACATGGTGGCAGACAGGACAAGACAAGAGACTCACCTCTCGAGGGGGGACTGACGAAGGGGGGGGGAGCAGATCGAGAGTTGCAGAGGAGAGAGATGAGAAGAAGGGAGAAATGGAAAAGACGAGGGAGGAGGAGGGAACTTGAGGGGAGAAAAAAGCTGCGCGAGGTGCGATGGTGGGGTGGGGCTATCAGAGCGACGCACTCCGTAGTACGTAGGGAGGGGGGGGCAGTTCACAGGACTAGGGAAGACATCGGAGCCAGCCGCGCATGGGCGATTTTGATTATGATCTGATCGGGGACTGGGGGAAGGGCGGATTATGATCAGGGAGTCTGGGACCTCCTCGGTGAATTGGGAACAGCTGTGGGAATTTTTTTGTTTTTTTTTTCTTTCCTCTTTTCCTTTCTTTTCCCTTTTTTTCTTGTTAGGAGTAGTATCATCACCATGTATAGGTAAGTACCAGATACATGTATGGAACGTTACTGGGAGAGAGAGAAGAGCACTGTCCAGTCCAGATGGATAAGTAAGTTGGCCGAGGCACGACCTACCGAGATATGGAGAGACCCGCAGTCGGGATAAGGAAGATGGGGGTGGATCTATATCCACGCCACTGGCGCCCGGCCAATCAGACGGCGTATAATGACCATCATCGCAAAGCCGCACGCTTGTCGCAGAACTCGCAGCCAGAGGGAACAAGCAACATGTGCTGCTCTCCAGTACCCCGTCCCATGTCCCCCCGTCCCCTCGAAAAACCCTATGCACCTACGATTCTAGAAAAGGGAAGGGAGCAAAAAAAGATACCGGAGCCTGCGTCCACATCCGCAATCTGCATCTTGCATCTGCGAACGTGTCGGGGGGAGAAGAGAAGGTAGGGAGGGGGGGGGGGGGAGGTGGTAGGGTGGGTAGGGGGGGGTGGAAGGACATCTTATTGCTCCTTGCACATTTTTTTTGCATCTTTTTTTCCTTTTTTTTTGCTTTTTCGCTTTCTCCCCCTCCAGCGCCCCATGGCCAGGAATTGGATCTCTCCGGAGTGGGGCCCCTACGACGATGATGATGACGGGGAGTGTGCTCTCTTTCTCTCCTTCACAAGGGAAAGCAGCCAGCCAGCCCGCGAGCGAAAAAACAGACCCCGGCGGGCCAATCAGCGGGGCGGAATTGTCACGGCGGGACGTGCTCGTTCTGTCCCCGACCTTTTCCGCGCCGCGGGACAGGAAGGGACAGGAGAGAGGCGGAGGCTCCCAGAAGAAAGCATTCCCGATGACACATTTCATCGTGCCTGCTTTTGGGACAATCTGCGACCGGTGATTGGCTGGAGGGCGGGCATATAATGCAGAGTACGTATATACGTCGTATAGATAGTTTATACACCCGCTAGTAGCGATACGGGGAATACCTTACCTTACCTTATGTTGCGCAGTTCGGCGTTCACTGGCCTTATGGCTTATGCGTAGAATCAGATACCGATACGGCGATACCATGCCTGACATATAATCAATCAATCCCTTGAGACACCGGATTCAGTCAGGATACACAATACACAGCACATGACCATGAACAAGATCATCCAAAGACATAAAAACATCCAGACCGACAACGCCAAGAGACTCGAAAGACTTTACGATGGTCTTTACCAGAAACAACTGATTGTTTGATCCTGCCTCCGTAATTTCAATCCTCATCTGCGTATCGCCCTAGTCCCTATCTGCGCGCGATCTGAGCAGGGACACTGGCCACCACGCAGTCCCCGACTCTCCCCTCCCTACGGGCCACCGTCGACCGACGCCGCCTATTGGCCCGCCGCCCGCCGGCAGAAAGGGAGGAGTCGGGACAGCCTCAACTTAACTTTCTTAACTCCATCGCCCGGCCTTGCTCGCCGCTCGCCGCTCACCTCATGCTCATAGTGCGTGCCCTAACCATGCTGCTGCTGTCATCTCGCCGAGCCGTGTTGGATGAGCGAGGGAACGTGTGCGTGTAGTGAGTCCCTATCTAGGCTAGGATGCTTCTCGGGACCGTATTTCGTACGTATTATTATTTGCTCCGTCCGACAATGCTCAGTCCTTCACTCAGGCTGTCGTCCAAGATGCACTGTTCCTAGAACTGTAACCGGCTGCCTGGGAGCCTGAGAGCCCGTCTCCCGTTTGGGTTAAGCGCAGCCTCGGCGCAAAATCATGCCTCCCTGACCTCGCCTCACCTTGCCTACCTTACCTCAGCCTCCACCACATACATACAGTAGCACCGTGCTGCCATATCAAGATATCACCATGCTCTCTCTACCGACTCTAGCTCCCCAGGATGTATGTTGTTCCATCCCCTCTCCCAACCTGCCAATCCCTAGCTGATATCGGATGAACAACAGTCCTACACCCTCTGGTACACCACATCCGACAGCACTCCTCCCCAACACGCCGAATCCCCCTCCGGCAGCGCCTTCGACCACTTCACAGCCCCGGGCCCAGGGCAGAACAATGGCGGTCCCCAACCGCACCGCCGATCCCCAGGCGGTCTGCACCGCAGCCCTCTAGCGCGCCTCCGTCTCGACGAGGAATACATGGAGCGGCGCAAGCAGAACGTGCAGAACTACGGGCATTGCTGGATCAAGCCGCCGGGGATCCCCAAATCGCTGTACCAGCTGCGCGAGGAGAAGCGCGAGATGGAGGAGCATCAGGAGGTTTTGAGACGCGAGGCCCTGGCCCAGGAACTGGCCGAGGCCGAGGCCGAGGGCGCCGAGGAGCTGTTGATGTTGCAGGGCGAGGGCGGCGACGAGCTGGAAGAGCCGAGGGATCTGGATGACGAGGTGCCCGAGGCTGATATCACAGGCCTCGATGCGGAAGAATCGGAGCCCGACGAGGACGATGACGACGACAATGATGAGGTCGACATCGAGGAGGTGCCGCGCGGGCTCCTCGCTGGTCGCATGCCGGAAGACGCGTACCGCGAGGCGCTCGTGCGGGGAGAACAAGCGCGGACGTCTCGGTTTGGCGACGATGGCGGGTCGACGGTGGGTGACGAGGAGCAGTCGCAGATGCTGCAGGAGGAGGACCTAGTTCACGAATCTCGACTCGAGAACGCGGATCTCGATATGGACGAAGGTGTGAACCTGGATGATGAGATCCCGGAGGCCGAGGAGGAGACGGGAGGCTACGAGCATACGGATACGGAGGCGGAGTTGAGCAGCAGTGAAGATGAGAGCGTGGATGCTGGCGTCTTCCCGCCCCGGCGGGGCTATGCAGCAGCAGCAGCGGCCTCGAGCATGGTCAGGAGTGATGGCACGCAGAACAGCATGGATATCGGAAGCATGCTTTCGCAGAGTAGCAGTCAGATGGGAAGTAGTCCTCGGCGGAGATCAGATATCAGAGCTCGCTGAAGCGGCGCGGCGGCTAGAGGGGGGTTGAAATACAGCACAGTTGGGGGGAATAATGATCATTAGTTTAGCAACGCAACCGCGTGCCGGCTGCGCGCAATAAATATGAATATAAATATAAATAATGTGTAACATACAATCCCACCCGAACGCCATGATCATGATCATGATGATGATGCCAATGACTCGATGACTCCGAGCTTTTCTACTCTGAATCCTCCCGCACAACCACACACACAACAGCACACACAAGGGGTCAGTAGGTAGGTCGGTGTTGGTATACCAGTACCCTTCCTCCCCTCCCCTCCCACCCCAAGCTCAATCAAGCATCAAGCCATCCAAACATACAAAAACAAAACCACAACCGCAACAAAGAAAGCGCCCCAGACCTTCCAACCCACCCCGGTTCTCTCGGCCATCAACAACATTCGATTCATGGTCCCGCGTAACCGGAGTCTCGTGTTATCAAAGGAATCGTTCATTTTCTCGGCTAGCGCTGTCGAGTCGCGGATTTCGTCGCCGATTGCTATCGTCATCTGTTTTTTTTATATATGGGTTAGTTTGGGTTTTGGATTTGGAGGAAGGGGGGGGGAGGAGGGTGAATGGGGAGGGGGGGAGGAAAAGGGAGAGGGGAGAAATGGGGAGGGGGACATACATCTTTCAACTGCCTAACTTTCCCCATGATACCTTCCACCTGCCCATCATTCTGGCTCTCTAACTCGTTCAATACGGCATCACTATATTGACCTCTACCCCCAAAAAATAATCAGCCCATATCCCCCTATCCCATCCCCCCATCCCCCCATTCCTCCCCTCCCTCCCTTCCTTTCTTTCCCCCAGAACAAAAAAAAACATACCTAGAATTCGGCGTCGCAGGTCTATATCCACCATGTCCTTGCGGGACACCCAGCCCTCCTGCTGCTGCTTGTGGTGGATTATTATATCCATAATAACCGGTGCGACTAGGAGGAGGAGGAGGTGACGCGTGGTAGTTTTCGAAGAGCGCACTGCGTGGATCGCGTTGATGGAGCGAGGATGCTCCGAATCTATGTCGTTCCGTCACGTTGAGGATTAGCAACACATACGGCTAATATAATATGAATAATAATAACGAGGAGTTGGAAAAAGAGGGGGAGAGAAGAAGAGAGAGAGAGAGAGAGGAAAAATTGCTTCGTTGCGCGCATGTATGTATGTTGAAAACCAGACCGCGCATAGCCCATCCAGCCAGCCATTCATTCATTCATTCATCTCAGGGGCTGAGTGAGTGAGGGAGGGAGAGAAATACCGTGATGCCATGCTAGTTATTAGGATATGGAAAACATCGGGTTTAAGCTGATCTGCTTGCTTCAGGTCGGAGCTTTTCTTCTTGCGCCTGAAGGTTTGGTATGGTCGGGGAGTTAGGAGGTAGGTAAGGTTAAGGTAGTATAAGGTACCTTGGTGACGCTTTATTTATTTTGAAAGGTGTCGCTTCGGGGTTGATAACAAGTAGGCGGGAGATAGATATCACCAGAAAATGGCCAGACAAACTACGAATCGCGGCGTTTTCCTGCTGGAAAGTACACGACGAAATTCTAGCTGTATGGATGATGATTCACGTAGGTAAGGTTAAGTGTTCGAGAAAAAGCGGATTTCAGAAAGCGATTGTTCCTGGCATTTTCTTTCATGATTTAGACTAGGCGCCCCCCCTCCCTTTCTTCTCTCTGGGGCTGAAAAACAAGCAAAACTCAGAATGGCCTTCCCCAACGCTGCCAAATCACTCCTTGCCTCATATGTCCCGCGCCTCTAATACATGCAGTGGAAAAAACTTTTTTGTTGGCAACCGGTATATGCTAGACGAACGAGCTGTGATGCACAAGAAACCCAGTCGAGAATTGGAACTGTTCTGTGGAAGACCCAACGATCTGCAGCGAATGCGATTGTCCAGGATGCGCACTGTTGATCTACCCAGAGTAGTCCGGCCCTCAGCCAAGTTTACTCTTCCATCTTGTCGTCGTCAGCGGCCTCGAAGTCATCATCGTCGTCGTCTTCGTCGTCTTCTTCAGGCAACTCCTGTGCGGCCTTCGCGAAGTCGATCTTACGACCACGGGTGCGGCGACCATCACTAATGATGTTTTCGGGGTCAATTTCTTCCATGTTGTCGGCGTCTTCCTCGTCAACTGTCCTTCTATGTCAACAACAAGCGGCGCGCGATGCGATGCGATTCTTGAGGATGCTTACCAACGGGCGCGTCCTAATAATACGATCTGTTAGCCTCGACGTCTTCTTCTCAGCACGCGATTTTGCATTGCGCGACCTACCTCATCAACTTCCTCCTCGCTCGAACTGTCATCAGCCTCCTCCATGCTCGCATCGTGAGACTCAGGCTCCGTAGCTTTGCCCTTGCCCTTGGGGTCAGAAGGCTGCTGGGCAGAGCCCTGGGTAGTTGCGCTGTTATCCGCCATTTTGGATTGGTATCGAAAGCCGGCTTGCGTGCTGCGCGCTTCTGTCGTTGGGGCTGGTATTGGGGAGGTGGAGCTGTGTTGATGATGGAAGGAGGAGCCGGGGGTGGACGCGGGGAGCGGCGCCAGGTGGACTTTTCGCGTTTCGACACACGTGACTACATTTTAATGCGAGGGAAGGCGAAACTCGCAGCAAGCCATCTTCGTCTGCATGTCCAGTGCCAACGATGCTAGAGGGCGGGAATGGTCAAAGGTGAGTAGATGGTTTGGTTTTGAAGGGATTCGGGGTTCTCTACTTTTCTGCCTCTCGCCGTCGAATGAACGACCCTTGAGCAATTTCAGCACAGTCCAGATAGACATCAAGGCACGCTCGTAGGCGATAGGTTTGTGAAGCCCCGCAAAAGGAAACCTCGTATCCTATTGCCCAGTCTTTGCGCAATGTTGGTGCGGCTCGAGTAGAAAATCTGAGACGGCCAGCAAGTTGTGGTGACGAGCAACATTCTGGAGGACGAAGGGCTCTTGGGGATCTTTCGTTGATATAGCAAGGCGAATCTCTACAATCCTCCAATGCGTGCATGTCCGGGATTCGTGTCTGGGATACTTGGACATGATAACTGGCTTCAATCGGAACGAGTAATACTATCTTTAATACCATACACGTAGTCCATACGTTGTCATTATAAAACGAGCAGTCATTCGTCACCACCTCTTATTCCGCACCACCTCCGGATGTCATGAGCAACATCACCGCGCCGAGTATTGCCCACCAATACCTGTAAAATCCCTGATTAGCTTCTATCTCTTCAATTGGGTCTGGTGGAAGGCTCACTTCTGTAGAAACGTCTTCTCTGGGACGGCCTCCTCCACAGTCCCCTCGGGGGACAAGACCACAGGTCTATTCAAGTCCGGCTGTTTCCCCTTCACAGTCTTAACCACCTTGACTTTCGGTCCAAAATCCCTCGTCTGCCCAGCGTCAATCTTCCCACTCTTGCATGTAACTCCCAAGACTCCCCCTTGCGCATCGAGTGAGAGTACTAGCGTTGGCCGGAATCCTTTCGAGAAGCTATCCGCCGATGTCATGGAAGTCGAGGACTTCCACGTAGAGGTCGCGGCATCGTAGAGGCCTATCCGCACATGCTTGGCTTCGGGAGATATCTCGGGGGCTTCGAACGATACGAGCTCGGCGTCCAGCGTGGAAGGGTTGTATTTGATTTCGGCGAGCGGGCTGGCTGGAGATGAGGACCCATCAATGGGCTGTATGTAGACCGTGGTGCTGTCTATGAGTTCTGGCACCGCGAATGCCGCAGATAATAGGGCGCAGAGGCTAAGGAACAAGACAAGAGTCTTCATCTTGACGCTCGTCTTTCGCTCGTCGCAGTTGTATGATCGCGGAGGCAGAAAGCAGGGGACACTGAAGCGACTGCATGGGTCCTCTCGCGGTTCAGCCTTTCTGACCTAAGGCAACCGACGAGGCTGAGAATCCGCAAACTGCCTCTCAGGTAGCTACCTACTGATACGAACGTACAATAACACGGGATGATAGGATCTGGCTGCCAAGTATGCTTGTAGATTGACTGCTAAGGGTGTTCTATACTATTGGTCCGCTTCTGCTAATCGAGTACCCAACCTTAAGAAAGGCCTCGAAGCTTTATTCTCGAATGTACCTTTGAGATTCAGCACCAGATTTCCGGCCCACAGCGTACCAAACTTATAACCTTAGCAAACGTCCCCAAGCCCATCGGCATCGTCCATGCAGCGTGAGCCAACGGTGTCTTCTATCCATATAACACCTCGAAGTTCCTAATTGCTGAAGACAATCCTCCTAGATCATGCAATGGCGCCTCCCCGTCTATACGGTACCTACTGGCTGTCGACCGCGCATCCAAGCAAACCTAGAACGCCTATTTCCTCCGTATGCGCTAGAATGCAATGCAACCCTGGGTATACAATCCTCATAACTGCCGTTTCATGATTCACTTCTCCTTCTGCTCAGTAACGTCGCCTTCCCCCGCCTTCTCCTTAGAGACGTCTTCCATCCAAGCTTTCCACTTCAAGTCTGTCGCAACTCCCGTTTTGGTGTCCGAGGTATCGGCGATTTCATTATCAACCTCATCATCGACCTCATCTTCATCCGAGCTACTTTCTTCCTCCAGCGCGTAAAGCTCTGAACGCTCCACCAGCCCTCGGTAATAATCGACGAGCACCTCGGGGTTAGGCACAATTTTCCAATCCACTCGGTACAAGAAATCGAGCTCCAGCAGTCCAAGTTCGGCTATCTTGATGCCACCGACTCTCGCATATGTAGCATTGTTCCAGAATGAATCAGAAAGACCCTTCGCAGCGACAGTGGCAGCTGTGATGAGGAAGCGGTGGACGGTAAGGGTGGTTATGGTAAATGCGGGGTAGAGTGAACAAAGCCGGTCTATGTAGTAAACCATCGACAGGAGCAATGGGGGTGTGAGAGTCGCGTGCTTTGCAAGTCTCTGTAGATAGTCCAGGACAGAAATACCCGGCGGCGTCCTGAGACAGTGTTAGCTCAATGCCCGGTCAGACTATGGAAACCTCCTCACCTTGAATGGAAGCGCGTAAGAACACCACTCCGAAGAGGGAGTTCATCATTCGTCTCAATAAGCTCAGAAATCATGTTGGCAATAAGCACAACCATATCCTCAACCTCGCAGGCCTCATATTTTGCGGGAAGAATTTTGACGGCTTTCTGAGCTGCTTTGGCACGCTTTAGGGGCAAAGCTTGATTATTGCTAACGTTGGATGGAGGCTCATCTTGCGAGGCCCGCTTGTTCATGCTCGGAGACTCTACTTCCAAGCCAGGCTTTGCTGCGCTCGGGGGTGTAGCTACGGCAACAGTGGAGACGGAATTTTCGGGTTGTGAGGGCTTCTGAAGCTTTTCCAGCGTCGAATCTGCTGGGTGAGCATTCGTTTTCTGCATGAGTGAAGAGTGCATCAGCGGAGAGTACTGTGTGCCCCGGTCAACATACTGGACTGCTCGACGGGGAGGTGCTGGTGAGGGTTCGGGGACAATCGACTTTCTGCGTGGCGCTGTAGTGGTTGTGCGGAGTGACGGGGACCCATACTGATGCTGTTGAAACCTAGGGGATGAGGAAGCGGAGGGAGGGCTCGATCTAGGCTGATTCAACGACTTCAACATGATCCTAGGGTACAGCGATCATGGTCGACTCCTGTGACGGGGAATCCACGAGAGTGGGGTCGCGTTGATTGAGTGAAGGCTGCGCAGGGAGACGGGATCTGCGCACTCGGCGACGTGGTGAGGGACAATGGCGAGAAGATGTATTAGAAGAATGCTGCTCGCACAGATTCCATTGCTCGTGGGCCAGTCGTGCTGGATCGTGTTGTGTCGTTACGTCGTTGCGTCGTGTCGTATCGTAAGGCAGGTATTGTTCCGTGCATCGACTTTTGAGATGGGGAGGGAGGGGTTTTGCACGGCCGGGCTACATGGCGCTGCAGCGAATGAAAGACGCGCCAGGAACCGATTGTTCCGTTCCGACGCTGGCTTTTTCAGAGATCTGCTTGACAATGCCAGCAGAAGGGGAATAAGGGGCAGTGAATGGGCGGTTGGATAGAACAATTAAGTCAAGGCAGAAGAAAGGTGAAGGTCGAGAGAGCAGGCCACAACCGAGGCTCGTCGTGTTGGTGAGAGACACTTGTATGTATGTATGTCTTTAATAATATGTGCATCATCGCTTCGACACGGTAACTCTGCGAAGCACCTCCTCAGGAGCACCTCTTCTACCCTCGATTCAACGTCAACGCCCACCATCCTTGACTACCTCATAGACTGAGATCCATCTTGTCGCTGATAATACCGGCTAGACCTATCAACGACGCTTGCGGACTCGATTCCAGGTCAAAACGTAAAACGCCAGGCGACATTCATTCATCGCAACTCCATCCATCCCCAACCGCCACCCGCAATGGCCAGACAGGCCTGGCTTCCAAATATCCGCAATGCAAGGACTCCTGCTGAGCAGGTCGTTGCTTTGAGAGCCTTGAAGAATGAGATCATTGGCCATCCTCTCCGGAAGGAGAGGGCCGTCGCCATGGGGGTTCTGGATCCCGTCGTGCGCCTGACCTCGAACAAGACGGCGAACAGGAACGATGGCAAATCGCATGACCATACCTTCGCAGCCAGGCCTTTGGCCGAAGAGGAGATAGTCCGTCTACAGGGTCTGCAAGTGATCGCAAGCATCGCTCTAGGTAGGACTCTACCCTTTCCTCGACTATACACGGACATGGTTAACCACGCAGTATAGGCGGGCCCTCCTTTCCTGCTCCTCTGCAATCCGCATCCGTCTTGCCAGCCGTCCTGTCGAACCTCTGCCCGTCGAATAATCCGTCGCAGCTGGTGCTAGCTTCGTTACGGGCCCTGTCAAATCTGGCTGATTACGCTGCGTTGGCGCCAAGTGCATCCAAACTCAACACCAGCAGCCTTGCGGAAGCCCTTTTTGTCCGCCAACATCTCAGCTCCCTCCGCCGCATCCTATCGCAATCCTCCCCATCTACAATTGTTCAATGTCAAATATCCATAGCGGCCTCCTTGATCAGTCGGACCTGTCGAGAGGAACGTCACCAACAGGCGCTTGCGAATTCGGGCGTGCTGGATTCCCTTGCTACAAGATTGGCCAGCTTTGTTGTGGCAGAAGGCCTTGTATTACCAGGGGCAGAAGTCATAGCTCAGAGGGATGGCTTACTCGGATATATTCCCCCACCGGCCCCTTCAAACGCCAGTCTTTCGACAATATTAGAAGCAATTGCTGCTATCATTGCAGACTCCAAATTCCGTGCTTCTCAGCTCCTCTACTCCCCTTCCATTCTGGCCATATTTCCCATGTCTCAGTCGACTGAATTTGTCGCGAACCAGAACACACGCGCTGCTTGGAACACCTTCAACGCTTCCGGGTTGGGGGCACGGCAAAACCAACTTAACGCAGTAGATTTCCTTTTACCCTATGTACCTCTCCATCAAGGGAAGAATGCAACAGGCCAGGCGTCGGCCTTTCCGCCGTTAGGTACAAGTGGCTCTAGAGAGAACTTGACGCAAAACGGATCCAAGTTCAACGGTGCGTCTGGCTGGTCCGACTCATCCGGGTTAGAGACTGGCGTAACACCTGACGATGGCCCTATCTCAGAGACAGAACAGCCAGAACATCCTCTCATCGCATATCTCATTCTGCTGCTTAGATCAAGATCAGGAATGGAACGATTGATGGCCGCGTCTGTCTTGACAGTTCTATACCGAGCTGGACTGACAGATAAAACTAGAGAAACCGCCATCGGTTTACTGGTTGTGCCGTTGCTTGTAGATATGCTTGACAATACTGTCATGCCGTCAAAGAGCGTGGATAACTTCACTGAGACTGAGGCTACGTCCTTGGACTGGGCAGTGAAAGAACGTGCGCCTGCTATACTTGCTATGCTAATTACGGATAGCGAGTACTTACAAAAAGCCGCATTTGATGCTAATGTTGTCCCCAAGTTATCCAAGTTGCTAAAAGTCTCTTATGATCCTGTTCCCGAGACATCTCTTCCACATCAATGGTCTCCACATAGGGAAGAGAATGAGGAAGACATGGAGGGTTCTCTGCCATCTCGACCTAACCAACGAATTCCATCTCCTCTATTGGTTCACAAGATAAAGGTTCGAGAGAGTACTTTAAAGGCAATTGCGGCTCTTGTTCCTTTCAAGGATGAATATCGGAAGGCCATTGTAGACCAAGGCATGATCCCTTACATTGTGGAGTCGATGAGCTCCACCCCGGGCAAGCCGACTCCAAAAGGCGGAGAAAAGCCCGAGAAAACCAACAACGGATCCAAGGAAGAAGACGAAAGGCATGAATATGGAATTAACCCTATCAGTGTTCTCATTGCCGCATGTGGCGCTGTCCGAGCTCTTTCTCGCTCAGTCAGTATTCTGCGGACCACATTGATCGATAACGGTGTAGCCATGCCCGTCTTCTCTCTTCTCCGGCACCCAGATATTGAAGTCCAGATCGCTGCAACCGCCACTGTTTGTAATCTAGTGACTGACGTCAGTCCTATGCGCGATGTAGGTATTCTGCCTCCTAACGTGGTAGTTCTAGCTGATTTTGTCATAGATGATCACGGAAGCAGGAGTGCTAAAGATCTTGTGTGAGCATGCGCACTCTATGAACGCAAAGCTGAGGCTGAATGCTCTCTGGTCTCTGAAGCACTTTGTCCACGCGGTAAGCAATGATATGAAGAGGTTGTGCCTTGAAGAACTTGGACAAGGGTGGCTCGTGCAGCTTATATGTGACGATACCGAAGACGAGGCTCTTGTTACTGCTCAAGGCGGGAATGAAATACTAGGAGCTCCTGCCATGAGCGATGAAATGGATGAAGATGTGGAAATGGGCCAGTCTGAGGACCGCGTGGGCTCGACTCTTGGTGCTGACTCTATCGGTCAGTCGACTTCAAGGCCCAATAGCAGTCGTAGCATATCTGTCCAGCAGGCAGAAATGCGACTTGCTGCTCTAAGAGACGCAGAAACAAACCCTGCAAGGAAGGCCAGAAAGGATGATATTGCGGTCCAAGAGCAAGGCCTAGATTTTATAAGGAACCTGATAGGAGGAGCTGGTCAGGGTGGCACAGCAGAGACGACAGAGATGATTGATTTCCTTTTCAATGCCTTGGGTCAAGAAAGGGTCTTCGAGATCTTGACATCCAAACTTAGGCCAAAGGTGATCAACCCATACAACCGCCGTGGTTCTTCCTCAGAGACCAGAGTCATACCTCCGCAGTCCGAGATCATCACAGCTGTGGGTTACATCCTGGTGCACATGGCAGCAAGTGTGCCCCGCCACCGTCAACTTGTCATCGCGCAGACAGACCTCCTCAAACTTCTTGTCCAGCAGTTCGGCCACCCCAGCATCGAAGTCCGTCTGGCTCTCTGCTACCTAGTCACGAACCTCACGTGGAGGGACGATAGCAACGACAGCCAGGCTTGCGCACAGCGGGCCAACGAATTGAAGAAGCTGGGCTTCCTCGCCAAGCTTGAGATGCTGGAACATGATCCTGAACTCAATGTTAGGCAGCAAGCAAAGTCGGCTTTGTGGCAGATGAGACAGGGATATTAAGGGGGTGGGATATCAGAGAGCACCTTTGCAAATAATTGGTTCTTAACAGTGCCTTGTAGTATAGTTATTGTATATACTATTAGCTGTCTTGGAATCTATAACCATTCTATTATTGTAACGTGGTGCCCTCAAGCTCTGTGGTTTTATATTAAAGTGGAAGAATGACCACGTATGCTCTAGAACGCTCTCCCCTTCTCGCCTTGCCTTGTTACTGAAGTTTCTGGGACGCTCCCGAGTGTAGTGCTATAAGGGCACTCTAAGGAGGGAATTGTAGAGGGATCGGGAAGGAAGAGTGGAGAGAAGGATTGAGGCTGATAGGTAAGGCTGAGGCTGATGGGGAAGAAAGAGAGTACGGGATAAATATCGGGCCGTGATAAGGTAAGTGGAGATGGACGCTAAACTCGAAGAGGCAGGGCGAGATGTGTGATGAGCCAACGTCGAGTGAGAGCAGTATTCATTCCCTGACACAAATATCCTTATATTGCAAGGCTAATAATAAGTCCAGAGTAACAGGCTATCAGCCACTCAGAATCAACAGAATCAAAATCCTCTCTGGGTAAACGTTAGTAAGACTATCAACGTACGTCCGTAGCGACCATCCAGGGGGAGCGCGGGGAGGAGAATCTGAGCAGAAGTACAGAAGTCTATCCCCGCGTTTTCGGTCTTCGGCATTCACAGTTATCCGGGTGGCCAGGTCTATGGTCTCGTGGATGTCAATATGTAGGTGGTATTATATACAAGGTACTGTATAAATAGGTATGTTATATACTTCTATAACTCTTCTCTTTTACTGTTCCTTGTCGATCGCATCCTTTGCAGAACCGCTTGTTTATCGACAACCACAACCGCAATACAATTGCCAGTCACCTGCACAACCTTTGTTTAGTTACAAAGCAGAAAGCCAACAAGAGATATGGCGGGCCATTTTCGTACCCTGCCGCCTCAGAAGAAGAGCTTCCCAGCGCAGCCACAGTTCTCGGGGTTCATGAGGCCCTGTCGCTATGAAGGTGGCATCGAGAATCTTGAGATCATTGGAGAAATCCCGCATGAGATAGATGGCACGTTCTATCGAGTTATGCCAGACCCTCATCTCCCTCCAATGTTCGAGGATGACCCAGTACGTCTCCGGTATCATCTCAGGGGAATACAACGTTGCTCACCTGAAATAGTGGTTCAACGGAGATGGGACTATCAGTGCCTTTCGAATCAAAGACGGACATGTAGATTTCAAACAACGATATGTCCGAACAGAGAAGTTTGTCAGGGAGGCAGAAGCACGACGAGCTTTGCTGGGTGATTAGAAACGCAAATTTCGAGTCTGGCAAACCACTGATATGAGAAAACAGGTCGGTACCGGAACAGATACACAGATGCTGTGGAATTCCAAGTCCGCTCCACCGCCAACACCAACATAGTTTATTTCCAAGGCAAGTTGCTGGCCCTGAAAGAAGACTCGCCACCATATGCAATGGACCCGGAGACCTTGGAAACGATCGGTCTATGGGACTTTGATGGGCAACTTCCCAGCGTGACATTCACGGCTCATCCAAAGTTTGATCCTGTGACGCGGGAAATGGTCTGTTTTGGTTATGAGGCAAAAGGGGACGGGACACCAGACGTATGCTACTGGACTGTTCGTCCTGACGGGACATTCGGCGAGACTGTCTGGTTGGTTGCGCCGGTAGTCGCTATGATCCACGACTTTGCCGTGACAGAAAACTATGTGAGTTAAAGATTACCGTAAGAGAACTTGGAAGTTGAGGGGGGGAAGCTGATGATGAACCAGGTAATATTCCCAATCATACCTCAAACATGTGATCTGGAGCGGATGAAGAAAGGTGGAGAGCACTGGCAGTGGGATCCCACGATTCCAATGTACCTAGGTGTCCTACCACGATATGGAGCGAAGGGCTCAGATGTTAAGGTATATATATATCTATTCCAGAGCCAATAATGACATTCTGCCTCAAGCAAAGACTAACAACCCTCCCCAAGTGGTTTCGCGCTCCCCACGGGTTCCCTGGGCACGTCAGCAACGCATACGAGGACTCCTCCGGCCAAATCATCATCGACTTCCCCGTATCATCGCAAAACGTATTCTTCTGGTGGCCCGACAAAGACGGGCACTCGCCCGACCCACGAACGATAACCAACCAGCTGCGTCGCTTCATCATCGACTACAAATCCGAGACTCTTGATCTTCCGCCCGGCAAGATCCTCTTCGACGCCGATGTCGAGTTCCCCCGTATCGACGATCGTCTTGCTATGCATCGGTACAATATCGCGTTTACGTGCCTTATGGATCACACGCTAGGCACGGACTGGCCGTACATCAGCCAAGTAATGGGCGGGGGCTTCCCCCCCTACAACTCCCTCGCCAAGTTCAACATCGAGCAAGGCACGCAAGAGACATGGTTCCCTGGTCCCCGCCACCTAGTTCAAGAATGCGTCTTCATCCCCCGGAAGAACAACAGCACCGAAGAGGGCGATGGCTACGTGATGGCCCTCGTAAATAATTATCATGAGATGATTAGTGAGTTGATCGTCCTGGATACCAAGGATTTTGGAAATACTTTGGCGCGTATTAGGTTGCCTCTTAGATTAAGAGCCGGCTTTCATGGGAATTGGGTTGATGCGGAGGATGTCGATGGACATCCGGCTCCTGCCGCAAACTAGCAAGTGTTCCTGTCACATCTCGTCATCGTTGGTGTCTTTGTCTTGTCTTGTCTATATAGCTTGGAAATCCAATTGCTGTAATATAGCAGCATGTTTTTTATATTCTTCAATATTCCCTCCTATCCATATCCGATGACCAAAATTTCTAGGAAATGACCATATATTTCATGAATCTCGGTCGTTGTTGTCGACTCCTGAGGGACTATGCATAGAGAGAGCTTGATGAACAAATGCTTAGACTTTTGATACGGACCATATCTGACTACGGGAAATATGAGGCTTCGCGCCGGCCCCGCAACGGGACTCTACCCTTCTCATAATGTGGAGAGTGCACGCCCTACGTGTTTTTTTTGGGGGGGGGGGGCTTGTCATCTATCTCAACGGCAACCTGAGCACACTCATTGAAGTCATGGGATTCGTAGGGCTATCACCAGAGCCTCCTAGTCAAACAGTCCTCTATACCTATATACCTACTTGAGAATAGATACTCTAGTTTACATTTCGTATGCCTCTGAACGCCGCGCTTGAAACCCCAATGATACCGAAACCAAACCAAACCATACATCAGTAGTGATAATACCCGACTCATACATTTAAAGATAGAAAGAGAGCAAAGCCCAAACATCGAGGGTAATGATGCTGAGGACAGTCTAGGAAAGCAGGTTTCGCAACGATGGGCTCGCACTGGCCCCACCGTTGACTCGACCATCGTTTGGTCGAGTGCCGTTTTGCTGACTGCCTAGATCCCGTCCCTGTGGATGCGATTCGTGAAGCATCGGAGGACTGCCCTGCAGCGGCGGTCCGAAGGAGGCACGGTGATGCATATGCGCATTGCCCTGCGAGAATGGATGCTCAGGGGCACGCGGTGGGGGGCCACCATTGGTCAAGTGCTGTGGAGTTGGTCGTGTAGAAGCAAATGAGGAGTAAGGCCCGTTCTGCATGTGTAGTGTTGTAGGACCTATACTATGATGTGGCGATGGAGGGTAACCGTTAGGGGTCTGCGTTATGTGTCCGTTCTGGTGCGGAGAGTGCGACACTGGCTGAACAGGTGGAACCGGCTGCCGCAGTGGGGGTTGACCGTTGAGTTGTGGAACGGTTCCGGTACCGATACGTGGTGAGCGATTGCCGTTGAGCTGATTGACCAGTGCGACACCTTGAGGAGCAGGCGATTGACGCGACCAGTTGTTATAGGGACCATTCGATTGATATGGAGGTGGATGCGGCCACGCGTAAGGAGGATGCACCACATCTGCGTCGGGACTGGAAGCACTGGCTGACGACGGAGGAATCAGAGGCCGAGAAGTATCTCGCGGTGGGAGCGCCGCAGGAATTGGAGTGGGCTCTTTTCGTATCTTCTTCCAATGGCACTTATGACACTGGAACTCGGTTGAGGTCGGTGCGGGCTGATGTCCGTTTTGGTGAAGGGCAGCAGCTGCAAGAGCTACATGGCCACTGCCATTCTCCGCACCGGGGGGTTGAAGTACGGATCCTCCGGCCACCGATGGCTCATTTTCATGAGCATAATCTCCATTGCAAAGGCTACCGGGAGCTGCCGGGGTACTGTCACGCGGAGACGGAGAGCATGGCCACCACTTTGGACTCACATCAACGCCACAAGTAACACATATTTTCTCGGCTTCCCCACCAACCGCCAGTCCTACCTCCCCTCGTCCTTCCTCAACCTTGACATGCGAGACAGATCCTCGGCCAGGGAGAGAAGGGCCACTGCTTGCCGCTGTTGTGGAGGTTCTGCGATTTGCAGGCAAAGCACTGCTGGGAACCGGATTGACGGCCTTGGTCGACTGATTGACAAGAGTAGCTTTGCGAACCGTACCCGTTAGAGTCAGATCCGCCTGTTTGAAGTTCTGGACATAAAGCTGCAGCGCGTTGAGACCTGTATCGTCTACGACGTCATGCATCCGATGCACAACAGTCTTTGCCGGGAGATGCTCTTTGCACCATATTGCAGCGGTCATAGTACCGACTTCGCCATTGATATTGACGATGTTAAATTGGTCTCGGCGAGATCCTTTTACCGGAATTATGTCGAAACCCAGAATATAGCCAGCTTGGTGGGCGCATTCGACGTGCACTGCATAATTTTAGTAGCTGTTAGAGCATTGATAGGTCGCGTTGCTTACCTGGGGCACGACACGAGTGACAACCCACACATGCGCCACCTTTCTGTTTGCAGACCTTGCATATCTCATCATATCTTGCAGAAGGGATTAACGGAATTCCTTCGGAAGGCTCCAACGCCTTAGCATTGCCGAATTTGACTTCTGGTGTGAAGACAGCACAGGTAACGTGGACCCAATTGTTGTTTGCGGTGCGTTTCAATGGTTCCCTCGGGTTGACTGGCTTGTTCATTTCTTCTTGTTTCTTTCGGAAGTAGTCAGCGGCCTTCTGAGCATTCTCACGCTCCACACGATCTCGTTCTCGGTCTTTGTCGTTCCTCTTCTTGTGGGCGTGTTTTGGCGGCTCGACGAAGTCCTGTTCTGTGTACTCTACAGGACAGAGCATGCATTTGTATTGCTGAGTATGTTAGCACCGAAAGGAAGACTGACATTGAGAGATTCCTTACCACTGAGACCTGAGGATTTTTATCATTTGAGCACATGTCACAAACCCATTTGTTGGGACTTCGATTCTCACCGACGACACCATAGCAGTTTCGATGAACCGTCATCCGGCAATCCCTGCATGACAGGTGTTGATCGCCCATGGGTTCCATCTCGCCACATATTGCGCATGGTAAGATCTTGGGTTTAGGTAGCTCTGGTGCTGGGGGTGGCGCACTGGGCTTCTCGACCGAAGCCTTCTTCTTTTGCGGTCCCGTCGTTGCCACAACGCCAGAGTCCGTTTGGGGTTCTGCAAATTCTATTTCAAGTGTACCCTTTATCTTCTTTCTGGGTGGCTCAGCTCCGGCGGGAATATTCTGGGGCGTGGGAACTGGGGTACCACCTGCAGGTGTGGAACCTATCGATGGACCATTGGCCGCTTGGTTCATGACTTCATTTGCAGCCACAAGCTCTTTCAGCAGTTCCTCGTCGATCTTCCGTTTCCAAGCCCGCCCTCCGGCCTGGGCAACTTTCTTCGCTACTTCTTCAATGTCTTCCCACTGGATAGCATAGCGCCGCCAGAGTTCTGCACATCTCCAACACAATGCCACCATCAATTGAGGCCCCTTCTCTTTCCCAGATGACTTGCCGTTTGTATTCTCCGTGACCATCATCCCGGCGGGTGTATTTGGAGCTCGTCTCCATTGTCTCGAATTTCTGGTATTGCAGAACTTGCATTGAAAACCCCTCTTCTTCTCAAAGGCCTTCTCATTGTCAAATGCCGAATCGTCGTGTTCATCAGCAACATCATCCTGCAATTTGCCGGTACTTGCTTCAGCTTTCTTTGCTTCCTTCTTGCCCTTCCGGCCCGAATAATTACCCCATACTTGCTTTCCTCGCTCGGTCTTTTTCCAAGTGTAGTAGAACCGGACAATGTCACCCGCGCTGACAGACTTGACATGCTTTTTGATACTATGCACTTCGGAACCGTATTTTGCTACTCCATCCTCGAATCTTTTCAGTTCCGCAGGGCTCAGTTCCGGTTCCTTGAACGTTTTCTTGTCAACTGCCTGCAACGCTTGGAGCGCCTTCTCGGGATCGAATCCGTGAGTACGGAGCATCTGAAGACCTACGTCTAGGAGATTGGTTGAAAATTCCGGTAAACCTAGTGGCTTCGCCAACTTCTTCACGCGTGCCATATAGTCATGGACAAGCTTCTCACGGCTAGAGAAGTCGAGATGCTCAGAGCCACCATCATCGGCATCTTGCCCGCGATCAACAGACTTTTCACCAACTTCAGGAAGTTGGAATAGCAATTTTGAAGTACTATTCGGGTCATCGCTGTCGTAATCTTCTCCTCGGTGAACATAGCCCGGCGGCTCATCCATCACCCACTTGGGACGTTTCTCCCGTGCAACCTTTTCAGCTTCCAAAGCAGCGATGGTCTCTTTCGAAAGTTTTGTATCCTTCTTATAAGCTCCCCCCTTTGCGTACTTCCTTTTAACATCCGCTGACTTGACATACTCCACAGGTCTGCCCGGCCATTGCGTGATATTGGCTTGGTGTCGCGGCCCGAGACGAGAACTTGCTCTTGGGTAAATTCGATCATCATAATCCAACGCATCCTCAACTCTGCAGTGTATTCCTAGATAACGGAATAGCCACAGGCTTGCCTGGTGTACTTGTTCCGCTGTGCCGGGGTGTATGGATACCTCTACTTCGCTAGACCTTGTGGGGCTTGTTTGTTCCGTTTCAGGGGGATCTTCGGGGACGGAAGGGAGATCATCATCTTCATCCATAAGGTCGTCGTCGTCCGGATCCGCGACAGAGTCGGTCATATTTGGTGTATTGCGTGCCTCGAGCTTCTTTTCCTGAGCCTTGCTACATGGACCGCAAGCCCAAGCGAATCCTCGCGAGGGTTTCTTGAGCAATGGCGGGTTCACGCAACTCATGTGATAAGTGTTTCGACACACCGCACAATCGACCGAGTCATTGCTACCAAAGAGTCAGCAGGTCGAAAAGACATCGGGAAAAAGGACAAACCTTGCACAATATTTGTTGCATCTTTTACAGGATTTAACCGCACTTGTCAACTCTTTCCCACGGCCCGGCTCCACCACAATATACCTCCAGCGCTCATCAAGGACTTTCTTGACTTCCACTGGCACATTGATAACCTGGCTAGTCGGGATCACGTCGTAGAAGCGATGTATGTAACGATCATACAGCTTTTCGTACCAAAAGCAGTCTTGAGTCTTTCTTAGCTCATCTAACTTCTCAACTTCGCTCTTGTGTTTGATTTGGCATTTCCCGCGAAGGGCCGTAAGCGGACTGATATCCGAATGCATGGACGCAAATACTTGACGAGTATCATTGACTTTACGACCGATATCTTTTGGACGATAATACCAGTTAAGCCGTAACGCATCAATGGGCTGCGTATTGTCATTGTTGATATGTAAAAATTCCATAATTCGGCCAAGGTAGTATGGTTCGCCCGGTGGTTCGCAGACAAGGTAGACATGGTCTAATAATTAATCAGTCCCCAGTGACCTGCTTTCTCACTGCACATATATCACTTACCGTTAACCTCGAGTATAGTCCCATCATCTGCTCTAAGCTTTCCGCCCTCGAGCCGAGCACCACAATTGTCGAAGCTGAGCATATTTGTCGCTCGAAATCCAGCCATGACCTGAGTGGCCATACTGGCCTTGCGCGCTGCTGCGTGATCCGCGGATGCACCATGATTAGATAACTGAGCCTGGCTGTGAGCCGCGGGCGTGCTGGACTGACTGGCTGCCTTTCGTTTCTTCGAGGGTTGGGTGGTGACAGTGGTTACGGTCGGGTTGGCGGAGAAGGTAGAAGTGCCGGGGATGGGGTCCTTATAGTGGCTTTGGACGGTCACAAAGTGACCTGCATCGGGTCCGGTCTTTCGAGTAGTACCTACAGCTCGCCCAGTCTCCAGAGAGGCCGAACCTATATCGCTGCCCCCTCTTGTCGTTTTGCGCCCATTGCTCTCCTTGTTTTCCTTCGCAGGTACCGTAACCTCAAAGTCTACATCCAATTCCTTGTCTTCCGCATAGTTCGGCCGCGATGTTCCAGTTCTGTTACGGGAACGCGTTCCGTATGGGACGGCGGCACCTGTGCCGCTTCCGGCCACATCATTTGCAGGTGTATTTGAGGAGTTGGAATTGGAGGCCGTCATAGGTTGCGACTCCGCTGCACTCGCGACCGGGGCATCAGTATCGGCCGGCTTGCCAGAATCTCTTCCCAACGACGGGGACCGACGGATACTCGATGAGGTCTCGCCCAGTTGTTGCGGATGCGATGGTGGTGGAGCGACGCCATTCCCACGAGGCGATGGAGCATGCGCCGAGGCCGTAACGCTGGAACGGCGGGAGAGGTCGGTAGTCATTTCGAGTATCCTGTCAACGGGCCCTTCGACAACAGGCTCTGTGGCGAGGATGGATTGGAAGCGCTTCCCGCAAGAGCGTCGTGCGAGAAGCGCCGGGGTGCAAGGCTATCGAACGATTGCTGCAAGACTTCAACCCATCAGAATATGGAGATGGGCTGGACCAGCGTTTGCAGTGGAGAGCAAAATCACTTGCACTGTCGCGTAGATGTGTTTGTAGATCTATGGTATGCGTTGCGCAGTGCTGGGACGCACACAACCAGCCCAATGATATGGGTATGGAAACAAGGCTATTGGGGGGCTGGCCGTCCGTTTCGGCGTCGAGCAGATGGATTCCCGCGGCTGTTCCAGACTCGGGCTATTGTATTCGTTCGAGGGTCGTCGTGGGATGGTCGGGAAGGCGGACGGAGCAGAACTGGGGGGATGTGACGGGATGGCGGAGGAGGGAGAGAGTTGGTACCCAGATGCAGCTATTCCAGTCCATTCGGTAAATGCAAAGAAGAGTGCTCCATGGGAAATACGAAATATTATACAGCGCGGTAGAGGGAGATGGCCCGCGCTAGCGAGCGGCAAGGTTAAAAGGAAACCAGCCCAAGTACCTAGGTACCTCTACCATCGATCAACAGGCAACAAGGTCAAGGGATCAGAACAGACAAACGCGAAGATAGACTAGCAAGCAAGGAAAGAAATAGGCAATAATCACCAGATAACCACAGAGACACACAAGAGGATTTATATATAATACGCGGACAGTGAATACCAAGCACAGAGGGAGGGATACCGGGTACTCTACAAAGCATCCAGTATTGCTCCTGTTTCGGGGAGTTTGGCCGCTGCTTTAGGGCCTCGGCGAAAGTCCTGCCGCCGCTTTAACCTCTCGCGTAAAAGCTGCTAAGGCTTCCCCAAACAGGGATCTGCTGTATGTCATATCACTGCCAGGCACACAGAAAGCTTATTGTTACCTACCTATCTCCAAGAGTGATGGATGAACCCACCCCAACCCCTTTCGCAACGCTCTACGTTCTTTCTCCCTTTCTGACAATGATTCCGTTGTTCTATTCCTCCTCTCTATAAGCTCCATGCCTTCTTGATAACTAACCATATCTGCCTAGCTTCCGCCCCGGCGCCCTCTTCTTTTCAACCCTCCTCTCACACCTGTTGCCAGGAGCCTCCTGTTTCTCCTACTCCCTCTAACCCTCCTTGCTATCAATCAACACCCCGTGTGAGCAAGCTCGTTTCGGGGCGAGATCAGTTTCAGCGCCAGTTCGATCGCAATGTTACGGAAAAGCGTCTGGACGCTCCCCCACGAGATGCCAATAACCCGAAAGCGACGGGGCGTGCCCTATTGAAGGCTACTCGAAACAAATAGGGCCTGGGTAAACCCGGGGCTAGACACTGAGATATATAATGATATAATGATGAGGGGGATAGCGACAGGTGGCAGAATAGGAGAGACAGGGATGCTCTAGTCCTATACAAGTGGTGAAAGAAAAGACAAGTTACGAAAACTCGACTTTGCCAATGCCTAACATGATGATAGTTACTAGGATAAACAGCACATGCATCAATAGGAACTGGGAGAGATCCGCATCGAGATTTAATATGAGACTGCAATTTCATAGTCTCTCTACTTAATTTATTGAAGTTGGAGGTTCCTAAGCTCCGAGATTCTTATGGAATCAAGTGCAAGTATCGACGAATACCAAGTCAATCACAAGAGCTTCGATGGCAGACGACACAAGGCTGCCTAGGTAGGTGTGTAAGATTTCATGCCTTGATCAACCCCCCCCCCCCCCCCCCTCCCCCTCTCTCTCCTCTCCTAAACACCCCTCTATCTCTCCTCAACTGTTATATCCACGTATATCCAGGCGTCTTGAGATCCTGGCATGTTATAGAACATTTGTAAGGTACCTTTCCCTTATGGACCTCATCCCTAAGAACATTATTTTAGGTTTCAATATACATAAGAACATCGTTTTTATACCAGCTTTGAAATCGGCACATATATTTCGATCCACACTAGCCATCTCATGCCAGTGACTTTAAGTATATTTAGCTACTGTCAAAAGGATAAGAGGATCATGCAGATATAAGGAAACCAGCATTCTGATACTGTGTGCAGTACAGTAGCCTATCTGCTGCTGATGCGATGTAGTGTCGTGAATGCGGCTCTGTCGACCCATGCCATCCGTGGATCGGAATCGGGAATCGGGTGGCACGTTGCGTAACGGTGGTGGTTTATCCCTGATTAGGTAAGGTAAGGAAAGGTACCTGGTACCTCTGTGGATATGCCGCACGTGATATGGCTCCGCAATGAAACCTTACTACTTTCGGCAAGTACCCAGGTACTCCAGGTACCCAAGCATATAAACACCTCCACAGGTGCCTACAATAACCAACTTCACCTCTTTGCCTCTTTTGCTCTTCCTGTCTCTCTCTTTTACCTATCTGTCTCTCTCTCTTCTCTTTTCGCTCTCTTCTCATTCGTACCGCCATGACCAAGCCATAAAGTATCACGTGTGGCTTCTTTCTCTTGCTGAGCAAGCTTCGAGCATATTTCTATCAAAACCGTCTTTCTGCTGCCTTCTCCTACAAACCGCCATATTCCTCATGGAAGTCAACAAGAGGTCTGGCGTTTATCATAGAACCACTATAGATGATGCAAAGTCAGCCTACACCGTCTCACGTGCCGGCCAGAAGAGGACGTTGGACGAACTCCAGGAGAGGCAGACCGGCGCCAATATTCCTGTGCTTGGCAACGTCAGCAACAATATAGATTTCCGTCGGCCGTCCCTCAGTGATAGCTGCTATCCGGCTCTTAGGGCGGGTGAAATTCGCGATGTATCAAGCCGGGGTATTTCGGAATACACACAAAGGAGGACCCTTGCACTGACACCTACTCCGACGTCAAATCCTTTACTCGAACTATCACATCCTTCCTACGGCCTTCCAGAAGAGCTCGTTCATAACTTTGCAACTCTCGGCATCAGATCCATCTACCCGTGGCAGGCGGAGTGTCTGTTACGTAGCGGAGCCCTTAACGGCGAGCGGAATCTCGTCTATAGCGCGCCGACTGGAGGCGGAAAATCCCTTGTGGCCGACATATTAATGCTCAAGAAAGTGATCGAGACGCCGGAAAAGAAGGCTTTGCTGGTCCTGCCATACGTGGCACTCGTTCAGGAGAAAGTACGCTGGCTAAGGCGGGTAGTCGAGGGCATCACGAAGAAGCCTGCAGACTCTGACAACAAGCAGCGAAATTCATTATGGCGCAAACGTGGAGACGAGGAGAATGTGAGGGTGGTGGGCTTCTTTGGTGGAAGCAAATCCAAAGCAACTTGGGCAGACTTGGATATTGCGGTTTGCACAATTGAAAAGGTCTGTTCTCAACCAGAAAAAGAGGCACTTGTGTGCTAATTGGTACAGGCCAACTCGCTCGTGAACTCAGCTATTGAGGATCTCACGGTTGGGAAGCTCGGTGTGGTTGTCATTGACGAGTTACACATCATAAACGATGACAGCCGTGGGTATATACTGGAGCTGATGGCCACTAAGCTTCTCAGCCTAGAACAGAACATCCAACTGGTTGGCATGAGCGCCACTCTTAATGTGAGTCTCGTCAGATCAGCACGAATCCTCATTTCAAAGCTAAAAGTTCACAGAACCCCGAAGTCCTAGCCAGGTGGCTTGACAATGCACGGTTCTACATATCCAAATACCAGCCTGTTCCAATTGAGGAACATCTTGTCTTTGACAACACTGTATATCCAGCCGCATCATCGAGCAGGTTTTACAAGACTGCGACCCAGCTCAATGCGCAAACACAAACACAGATCCAAATGTCATCACAACCTAGACCAGAACCATGTAGAATCATTCTACCGTCGCCAAACAAGGAATTTAAGGACCCGTTAATTAATGCCGTTGTGTCTCTCGCGAACGAAACTGCAAGGGCAGGCCATGGGGCACTCGTCTTCTGCAGTAGTCGTGCCGGCTGTGAGAGGGATGCAATATTAATCAGCCAGGTTCTGCCCCGAGTCGAGGAAGTCGATGCCGGGACCATGGATAGGCGGAGAGACTTGTTAAGTGATTTGAGAAGCACGAGTACAGGTCTGGATCCTGTCTTGGAGAAAACTGTGCCTGTTGGGGTAGCGTTCCATCGTGAGTCGTTCCCACTCGAAAGCCGCAGCCTCTTGCTGATGATTAGACGCTGGTCTGACTATTGAGGAGCGTGATCTGATCGCAACTGCTTATGACAATGGGGTGATTAAGGTAATTGTGGCGACATGTAGTCTAGCAGCTGGGATCAATCTTCCAGCACGAAGGGTCATCTTGCATGGCGCAAGAATGGGTGCAGATTTGGTTGGGCCCTCTATGTTGTGAGTTCTCAATCCTGTATTATGGTTAGCTTACTGACTATAAAGGCGACAAATGAAGGGAAGGGCCGGCCGGAAAGGGAAAGATGAGATTGGGGAAACCTATCTCTGCTGCCAGAAAAGTGATCTTGAGGCAGTTACCGAGCTTATGGAAGCAGATATACCCACGGTTGAGAGCGGTCTAATGCCGGGGAAGCGGGGAATCAAAAGGTAAGGCAGTCTCTATTATGTGTCATGTTGTGACGTACCGTATACTGAAGTTTGCAGGGCGTTGCTGGAGGCAATTGCTACGGGGCTTGTGACGACCGTTGAGGCTGTACACGATTACATGGAGAAGACCCTCCTCTACCACTTCATTGACAACGACGAGCTCGACAATATGGTTAAAGAGACCCTACACGATCTGGAAGAGACCGGTCTGACCAGAACGGATGACTGCACCTTGCATGCTACTCTTCTTGGTCAGGCTACCGTGGCATCCTCATTGACCCCTGAAGATGGCCTATTTGTGCACAAAGAACTTCGAAAAGCTCTCGAAGCCTTTGTGATGGACGGCGAAATGCATGTTCTCTATTCCTTCACACCAATCCAAGCTGTACAGGGGAATGTCAACTGGCAGATGTTTCGAAATGAGGTTGAAACATTCGATGAGAGTAATTTAAGGGCACTGAATCTCATAGGGCTGAAGCCAGCTGTAATCAACAGAATGTTAGTGGTTCAAACAAGAAGCACGATGTTTGGTGTCTAATCTTCTTTAGGGCACAAGGCGGTTCGTTGAAGGAATCCACACCAGAGGAGAGACAGATCGCGCAGGTATACAGACGTTTTTACGCTGCGCTACAGCTCCGCGATCTTTGCAACGAAATGCCCATTTATGCCATTGCTCGGAAATACGACATCCCGAGGGGTCACGTCCAGAATCTTGCACAGACTTGCCACGGATTTGCGGCCGGTATGATAAAATTCTGCGAACGGATGAACTGGGGGGCCCTTGCTGCGGTTCTTGACCACTTTTCTGACAGGCTGAAGGCTGGTATGTGCACCAGAGGCATCAATTCATTTCTCCTGTCCCATTATTTGCTCGCCCAAATTGCATTGCTAATTAAACCTATCGCAGGAGCCAAAGCGGACCTCCTCGCCTTAACTAAAATCCCATATGTCAAGAGCCGCACTGCACGGATCTTCTGGGAAAATGGATTCAAAACGGTGGCAGCCGTTGCAATGGCTGATACGAAGGATTTACTACCCGTGCTATTGATCGTATGCCTAATCCAAATTATCCTCTCGTACCTTTCAAACCACTAATTTGAATCGTAGGCACAGCCAAGGAAACCGAGACTGGACCCCGTGAATGAGAAGAAATACCATGATAAGCTTCTGGCCAAAGCAGGCATAATCTCGGAGTACGCCAATAAAATCTGGGGTACGTGGATCTGGCTCCCGGCTACCAAAAGGGGGCCTCGCTCATTCTCTCTTATACAGAACGTCAAATGCAGCTGGAACTTGACGAGGAATGAAAGAATCGATGAAAGTATTATTGATTTGACATCCATACTGGAATATAGCCGCTTGAGTCCCCGACCGCCGCCAACCAGGGGTCCATACTATGTTCTAGACTCACTAGTGACCTTGAGTTTGGGGCTTGAGGTCATGCGAAATGTTTATTCGTGCCACAACGCTCGGCAAGAGTCTCACATAATAGGGGTCGTCGGCCAAGCAGCAACACGCCGGCACGCGATCACTACAAGCTGAAAAGCGAAAGAATGTTTGGTCAACTTTACTATTTGGGGAGACTAACATAGACCTAAGCGGATAGACAACGTTCACGAGGACCTCCTCTGTTTTTTAGCCTCCGGGTCTCTTTCGTTTCTTGATATGCCTTTCATGTTTGTTAGCGCCTTGCTGCTCATTCCTGTTCCGCCAATATCATCTCTCGCCGCTATGTCGATCTTTGCTGCGCCTAGCTTTGTTCTCAGCGAACGAATCCGGCCCACGGATCCATCAGCTTAGAAGTTGACCTTCTTGATAGCCGTGGCAAAAGCCTCGCCGTGGACGGTTGCAAGCTCGATTTCCAGAGGAGTTGGTTGGCGGGATCCATCTCCACCCTAATGAAACAGAGTAAGATACATAGCTTGTGCGAAGTGGGACGAACCAACTTACGGCGTAGGTACCAGCACCCCATGGAGAGCCACCTCGGACTTCTGAGAGGTTGGCAAGGATAGGGAATGCGGTCTTGTAGCCCAATGGGACGTAGATGAAGCCGTGGTGGGCCAAGGTCGACAAAGCGTTGATGACCGTGGTCTCTTGGCCACCGCCTGGGGTGCCAGTGGAAACAAAGACGCCGGCGTATTTGCCCCAGTAAGCTCCAGAAGCCCATTGTTTTCCGGTGGTGTCCCAGAAGGCCTTCCACTGAGCAGGGAAGTTCCCATAACGAGTTGGGATACCGAAGAGGAAAGCATCGTATTTCTCGAGGGTTGCCGCATCAGCGATTGGGATGTTGGATTTGGCAGGGGCGTGCATCTGAGGGAGGGTGATTAGCACAACTCTTATCGGGACAGTAAGGAGCACGGGGAAGAATGAAATACATACCTTTCCGAGAACTTCATCAGATAGGGTCTCGGGGATTCTGTGAACTTGTCAGTAGCAGAACACGGATGTAGCTGCTAAAGAAGAGCGCAGCTTACTGGTAGAGATCGGCCTCGATGCCGGCCTTCTTGAGACCTTCCTTCTCAGCCTCAGCCAACTTCTGAATGTGGCCGTACATGGAATACTTGAGAGAGGGGGGGCGTTAGCATGAGGGGAGACTAGCTAGCTGTAGGAAGCGGGGGAGGGGACATACAAAGACGATAGCTACTTTGGGGGGAGCCATTGTGACGAGAATATGTTGTTGTGTGTGTTTTTCTAGAGTTGATGGGAGGGACTGAAGTTGATTTGATTCAAGAGCAAGGAGAGAGAGAGAGTTATAGGTATATATATATATATATATATATATATATATTGTGGGGATGATGCTACAATATGCAGCTATATAAGGGGATAGCTAAGGTGAGGTAAGTTTAGCTTTATATGACATATACAGCGCTGGTACTGCTATCTCCTGAATATTATCCCATATATCTCCAATAACATTTGTCCAAAGTGGTCGTCCTACAAGGTAAGTTCCCCACACCACTGCGTAACTGAAAAGGGGGACGGGGAGGGGAAGGAGGCCTGACCAAGGGGAGCTGATTCAGGATTACTTGATTTCTTAGGGGATAATAACATAATTCCTTTGCGGTTCTTTCAAATCATCAGCCGTGTAGTGGTGGGGCTGCTCTTACAAGAGAGATGCATCATCATCTGTAATGATGGTATTCTTAAGTAAGCCTGACGGATCCTGAGTCAGGCACGGGGACGGGAGGGGTTGATCCGTTTGCCGATAAACTAGGCCTATTCCAGCTAGCACTAGATTAAGCCACTCCAATCCCGCTTTCCAGGTTGGTCACGTGGCGGTGAGACGAGATATCCCAGGCAACACCGATCAAACAATAGGACCCTCGTAAAGTACCTACCTTAGCTAAGGTAGGTAGCTTATACTCGAATGATTGATAAATCTGTGCGCCGGCCTCACCTAGTCGCTTATCATAATGGTAGATGTATATAACTCCGCTTGATCCCAGCTTCTTCTCAATTCTGACCTTGGAGCAATCCCTCAGACGCTGGACGTGGTCCTTGACTCTTTGAACATAGCATGCGCCATTTGCAACGGATTCCAGGGGAAATGGAAAGCTGGGACCGTGGCTGAATCGCAGAGACGGCGTGGAAACCGAAACCACATTATCCCTAGATTCACATGGGATGAGTTGCAGAGTTCAGCAAAGTCGTGTTACTGCTGTAGCATCCTTGAATCTGGGTGCCGCGGGTGCTTTGATCAGCACGGGATCAGAGAGTCAGATATACTCCACGGAAGCCTCAGATTCATCTACCCTTTCTTTTCTGACACAGCGGATGAAGAGGATGCGGACAAGGAATTGACCTTTCTGTTGGCAGATGGGCGGCGTTTTGAAATTGAACTGTTTGCTACCGAGAGTGATGATTGTCCCATTCCAGATTCCTGGGACTACCTACCTGTCTCAAGGAGAACGTCGCCGCGGACTGATTCTACGATAGCACTAGCCACCATAAAGGACTGGATCGAAGATTGTATCACCACACACACATTTCCAGATGAAGGCCTCTGTGACCCTCCTACGTCTTCACATCTTCCAACACGAGTGGTAGACGTTGGCCTCGATGACGGGGTAGTGAAGCTGGTTGAAACGAAAGCGGCAGAGGGCACTTATCTCTGTCTTAGCCACTGCTGGGGGCTCACTGAAATCATTACAACTACTAGGTCAACATACGAAGAACGCAAAAGGAGGATAGCCTGGGAAGACTTGTCGAATACTTTTCGGGATGCCATTTCCCTGACAAGGACCCTCGGCTTCAAATACATTTGGATAGATTCTCTTTGCATCGTTCAAGATGATTATAGAGATTGGGAGATTGAATCGGCTAACATGGCTTCCGTGTACAGAAACAGTCACTTGACGATTGCTGCAACACGTTCTGCCAACGGTCATGGGGGTCTTTTCTCACGCACGGAAGATTTTGAAGTCTTCGGCAAGACTCCAGATGGGGAGGACTACTTTCTTTACTTCCGAGAACGGATTGATCACCACATTGAGAACTCTGAATCTGACGAGTTTCCGGGGTATCCAACCTTGACCTACCATCCTCTCCTAACCAGAGCATGGGTCTACCAAGAGCGCATGCTTTCGCCTCGTGTTCTCCACTTTGGCCGGTACGAAGTGTCATTTGAATGCAGATCACTCATTCAATGTGAGTGTGGGTCCATCCCGTTTTACGGTATATCTAAGGTATCCCCCGTGCCTCTGATCAAATTAGAGCACGCCACTTCGCTCTGGGACTATCGTCACTATCGTGAAGTCTACGGAGACCAATACCGAGCCGAGGTCGAGTATCAAGGCGCACGCTTGTGGCGCACCATGATCTGCTCCTATACGGCACTTCTCCTGACGAAATCAAAGGATAGATTGCCTGCCATCGGTGGCTTGGCTAAAGAAATGGCTGCTGTGAGGAAGTCGAGATACCTGGCTGGTCTTTGGGAAGACGCGCTTAATGACGATCTTCTCTGGACAATCAATGCGACATCGAAGTATAAGAAACCAAGACCTTTTCCTCGAAATGCCCCAACATGGTCTTGGGCGAGTGTGGAGACGTGGACTTCGTACTGGGACGAGATCAGTTTTAGCACTATAGAAGAGGGGAACTTCGAAGAACGATTACCTTATGAACATTTCAGCAAGATTGAACATTGTGAAGTCAACTGGTCGGCGATCGACGAGTTCGGATCGATCGCTCACGGATCTCTGACGATATCTGGTCTGGTAGCGAAGGGTATACTTGAACGCGAAGTAGAGATACAGGACGGTGCAGAAAGCATCGTCCACTATGTATCTTTTCCAAACACGCGATTGGCTATGAAGTCGGATTATCTTCTAGATTTTGAAGGTCCCGGTCAGACGAGCCCTATGATCTCGGTTTTTTGTCTTCGCATGAGCCTCATACAAGAAGGTCCAACAGACAACTTGATATCCCTCGTTTTGAAGAGGTCCCCTGAATTCCCTAATTGTTTCGAGCGGATTGGTACTATGACAATCTCGGGTAGTCGACGCTCTGTGGATTCGAAAGGAGGAGTGTTTGAAACAGCAGAGTTACAGACCATAGTCATCGTTTGACTTCTAACGGCCCGAACTGTGTAGAGTATATATTCCACTGTCTGGCCGTTCCGTCAGTTGAAGCCCTCCTTCATGGGTCATGTAGAAGGGAACCGTATCTATGCTACTGAGCTGGGGCAGAATGGAGAGATGTAGGTAGGTACAGTATTGTTGATAAGGCGCAGACTAACTTAGGTACTTATTCTGTGTCGTCTTCAGAGAATGGCATCTTGATGATCCAAAACTTGCCCTATGAAATCTGTGTGCTGGTTCGCGCCGTTGCTAGCCAAGATAAATCTGAGGCAAATAATAGTCTGCTTTGGGCGACTGACAACCGTAAGGTACTGCAGGAGTCAGGACCAAGGGCGGCGCCGCATTTAGCACGGTGCTAGCTAAAAATCCTCTAGTACTAGTGTATCAGCAAAGTGTGGGGTAAACTTTAAAACATTGAGTTCTGTGACAGGCCGACACTGATTACTGTATTGATCATCTTTTACTACGCTTCCGGGCTCCGGCTTTTTGGCTTTAACATCTGATTTTGTTCTCTTTATCCTTTTTATTCAGCAACATCAACAGCACCGCCTCGGCATTATGCGTTATCACGTGATAACATGCGACATGGCTGTGTCTATGACTAAGCATTTACCCCCCAATCCAATCACATCAATCAGACATTCAAGTCACGTTACACATTCCCAGCGAATCGAATCTTGCAAGTCACGTTCTCCCTTAACAGGTTCTTGGGTCTTTGTTTCTTTCGCCCTGCTCTTTCGCGGGCTCCCCCTTAATGCTTAATGCCTAGCTATGGACGAATGCCCTTGCTCACCCATTCCTTCTACCGCACATCCCTCCCAGTCCTAGTCTCTCGTCGAATTCTTTCTTGCTGTCAGATTCCTTCTTCGCATCCGCATCCCCTCGTTCAACATGCCTTCAGTCGGCGTCAAGTCTGCTCAAGACAGCAAAAGAGGGGCAAGAGGACCAAGGTCTCGGTCAACCTCGATGAGTTACCCCAGGGGCTCATTCCTCTAGATCCGCTGCCCCTGGAGGATGAGGCTCCCGCATACCCCACCGTCGTGCTACAAGCCCGCGACAATATGCGGCGGTTCGAAAATTGCGTCCTCCTGACCCGCGTAGGCGGCTTCTACGAACTCTATTTCGAGCATGCAGAGGAGTTCGGCCCTCTCCTGAACCTGAAGGTGGCTCAGAAAAGAACGAACGCAGGGCCTGTCTCCATGGTATGTATATATGCCTTCGGTACCCGCTCGCTGTCGAAGCGTTCTCAGGTGCTGATGCGTGGATAATAAATAGGCTGGATTTCCTTTCTTTCAACTGGATCGCTATCTCAAGGTACTAGTCCAGGACTTCAATCGCTATGTTGCGATTGCTGAAGAGTTCCCAAATGACCCTTCTAGTAAAGTCAGAGCGGGTGGGCTGATGCACGATCGAAAAGTTTCACGGATTGTCACCCCTGGGACCTTGATCGATGAGAACTTTGTAGATCCTTTCACCAATAATTATGTACTTGCGCTTCATACAGAAACTCACGGCAAAAGTCTTGCTGCAGATCTGGATGCTGGGGATGAAGTCGACCATCCTAGCCATCTCAGCGAGCGCTCTTCCCTGCCGATTGGACTTGCATGGTTGGATTTATCTACTGGCCACTTCTTCACCCAATCCACCACATTATCGACCCTGCCGTCTCTCCTGGCTCGTATCGGGCCTCGGGAAATAGTGCTGGATGAAGATCTCAAGACCTCTAATGATCGTGGCATGTTCTCTATCCTCAAGGAGGACGATTATCTTATTACCTATATGAGCACCCCCGAAATCAAACCCATGTCCGAATGGACGCCTATGCTAGAGTCACCTGTGCCAATCCAAATGGCGAATGAATTCACGCCGCTGGAGATCGCAGCCGGTAGTGCCTTGCTTCAATATATCGAAACCCGATTACAGGGTTCGACTATGAAGCTCCAGCCTCCATCACGACAGTTGGACGTGATGGGGATCGACAAAAACACTATGAGAGCCTTGGAGATCAAGACTACGATAAGAGACGACCTCTTCGCTGGTAGTCTATTACATACCGTTCGACGAACCGTCACGAAAGGCGGGGCCAGATTATTAGACAGCTGGCTGAGTACGTAGACACAGGAGAGAGAAGAGCTCCAACCCGATTATAGCGGAATCAAGCTAGTACTGACTGAAAGCCAGCTTCCCCATCAACCTCTCTGGATGTGATCAAGTCTCGGCTGGACCTGGTGACGCACTTTCTGAATGACGAGACCCTGCGAGAACGCCTCACTATTCTTCTACGACGAAGCCACGACTCTCATCGCCTGCTGCAAAAATTCGCCTTCGGAAGAGGCGATGCCGATGACTTGCTAGCAATAGCAACCACGGTGTATGCAACTCAGGATCTGGTCTCTACATTAGTCAAAGACAGCCGACCAGAAGACTGCGTCCAAGCCATGGTAGCGCGCATCCATCTCGATGGACCAAGTGTGCTTGCGAGCCGCATCAAAGAAGCGATAGACGAGGAAGGGATCGTGCAACAGCATCGGATCGAAGAGCGGGAAGTCGAAGAGATCCAAGCCCTAGCACAAGCAGTGGTCACTTCCGAAGGATCCCAAGAAGATTCCAAGATCCTGCCCCGAGGCGCGCGGAAGAAGAAACCCACCAGCATCCGAGAACATTATATCGACAGCGAAGCCTGGATCATGAAGCCCGCAGCCAGCGAGACTCTCCAGACACTCCACCGAGACCTCGCCATCTTATCAGACGAGCGCGATCTCCTCGCAAAAGATCTAAGTGCTCGTCTAGGCGTCACCAGTCTAACACTCCGCTTCACCCCCGGCCTGGGCCACATCTGCCACGTCAAGGGGAAAGATATGAAGAAGGACCTACTATCATCAGAAATCAAGAGCGTCAGCTCCAGCAAAAGCACCCGCTCCTTCCACCATCCCGAATGGACCCATCTCGGCCAACGCATCGACCAATGTAAAATCCATATCCGCGCCGAAGAACAACGCGTGTTCAACGATCTGCGCCAGCAAGTAATAGCCAGTATCGTGAAGCTTCGCCGGAACGCCGCCGTCCTCGACGAGCTCGACGTCGCTTGTTCCTTCGCCGCCCTCGCCGCGGAAAAGAACTGGACCCGCCCGATCCTGACCCAGACAACCTCCCACAAAATCATAGCGGGACGCCATCCGACGGTGGAAGGGGGACTCGAAGAACAAGGGCGGAGCTTCGTCACGAACGATTGTTTTGTGGGCGATGGGCATCGCAGCTGGGTTATCACGGGGCCGAATATGGCCGGCAAGAGTACGTTCTTGAGACAGAATGCGCTCATTACGATACTGGCGCAGGTCGGCTCTTACGTCCCCGCTCAATATGCCGAGTTGGGCATCGTGGATCAGATATTTAGTCGCGTGGGCTCGGCGGATAGCCTGTATCGGGACCAGTCGACGTTCATGGTTGAGATGCTGGAGACGGCCACGATATTGAGGAATGCGACGTCGAGGTCGTTTGTCATCATGGATGAGATTGGCAGGGGTACGACTCCAAAGGATGGGGTTGCCGTGGCTTTTGCATGTTTACATCACCTCTATCACGTGAACAAGAGCAGGACATTATTTGCGACGCATTTTCATGATTTGGCCGAGATGGTCAAGGAAGATGGGGCGATGGAGGGAGTGGGCTTCTACTGTACGGATGTTGAGGAGGGCATTGGTGGCGAGGGATTCAGATACGTGCATCGATTGAGAGAGGGGGTCAACAGGCAAAGTCACGCTCTGAAAGTTGCCAGGTTGGCGGGACTTCCAGAGGGGGCTATTACTATTGCGAAGAGGGTGTTGGAGAACAATGCGGGATCTGAATGAGATAGATAGTCAGCTTCAGGCCTCACTAAATGTATTGTATGACATAAATGTATATATTAAGGAAGCATTCAGGAAAAAATTAGAGTTGTTGTTTTTTGGTCTTCAAGGTGTTGTGAGCACCAATCAGGGTTAAAAAGCTATGATTTGCTCATCACAATGCTTGTATTGTTTTTTTGGGGGAATTTCAAATGAAAATAGAAATTGGAGGACTGACCTTTTGCTTCCCATGGTGCCGGTGCGTCGTCATCTCTGCCTGCATTGTATTTCATGCGTATCACTGTTGCTGAGCCCGGGGTTCCTATTTGTGTCTTGCGAGTTCCATTGGAGTACCTGCAAATGATCTATGTGATTTCATGATCCGTGTCATCGCACTTCCCAAGGCCCACAAACCGAAGATGGTCCGCTTAGTCGAACAATCCTCCGAATCCTTCATCTCCGGACTCCTCAGCTTCTTCCTCCTTCTTCTCCTCCTCGGCAGCGGCAGCGGCGGGGGCAGCCTCGGTAGAGACGGCCGCAACTGCAGCACCTGCGTATGCGTCAGGGTTGGCAATGCGGTCCTTCAACTCCTCAATCTCAGGCCAGCTGTACTCAGTCTCGACAGCGACGGCCAAGACCTTCTTGTAGCTGTTGACGATGGAGTGCATGACTGAAGGAAGGGTTGGGAAGTTGGCAGCCAAGGAGATGGCAGCAATGGTGGAGATAGCGCTCGAGAAAGCCTTGAGAAGTTGAGACTCCTCAATGTCAAGGACGCTAGGGTGGAAAGTGTTGCCATTGTCGTACACCTGGGTGATACCCATACCGTAGGTGAAGGGAGAGATGTTCAGCATGTTGAGCAGGGTAGCCTCGGAAGCTCCGACCTTGGAACCAGCATCGACGAGCTTGAGATCGGTGGTAATTTCAATGGTACCACGGGCAATCTTGGTTGGGACACCGAGAGCCTGGAAGAAAGAGGTCTTTCCGGGTTCCATACCAGTGTTACCAGCGGGGACGTAGACATCGGCCGGAGCAATGGCACCAGCACGAGCGGGCGCAGCGACCTTGTTGGCAAGAATCTTGTCACGGACTTCTTTAAGGTCGCCGTTGGTGAAAACGAAACCGACATTTCCCTTGACGAAAGGAAGGAGACGCTCATACTCTGGGGACTCGGCGATGAAGCCCTTGATGGCACGACGAACCTTTGAGGGGACAAATTAGCTGTGCATATGCCAATAATTGTGAGGATTCTCACCATAGTGTTCTTGCCCATCAGGACGACACCTTGGCCTCGGAGAGCATGTCGGATCTCGTGCATCTGCTGGGAGCTGACATTGTCAACACCGACGATGAAGATCGACTTGTACTCTTCGAGGAGGCCCTTGAGCTTGTCGAAGTAGCCGGCCTTGTTGTCTGATCTGCCCCCCATATCTTCTTATGATGAAGGTAGGATGTTTAAGGGTCAGGTCTTAATGAATTGGAATGGGATTGTCCTCGTTGGTTGTGAGGGAAGTGTTGATGTCTCGAGGCAAACGAAGATGAAGTTCACGACAATTTCTTGAATTTTGTCGTTTGTGGGCTTAGCGAGAGGCTAGCAAAACCTCGTCGATTCTGATTGGCTGGCTGGACGACGACCCAAGGATCATCCCCTAAGGCATTAGGTATTTACGCATGATTTAGGCATTTTTATGTATTTTCTCGTATTCAAGAGGAACATCGTACGAATCTGCGCCAATTTATAGGTAAAATTACAAATTTACCATGCGTATGGTACGCCTAAAATAAATAAAATAAATATATCTTCACTTTTTCTACTGGCCTGACAATAGGTGATCCGCGAACGCGGATGAACGCACCCTTTCCTTCATACTCTGCGTAACGAAGGGAGAAGCCATGTCGAAGCTACGGATGCCGTACCAGTGCCTCCAGAGATCTGGAAATCTCCTGGTTGCGGCTCGGGGATCAAGCATTGATTCCTTCAGTCTCCAGGACTACTCACTGTTGTCCACATGGCGATTCCCACCTGCACAAGAGCCCAGCAATGGAAGGACAAGCCAAGAACCCACCAACAAGCTGCCGGCCGAAAATTCAGAGTCTTCGGTCGACATTGCTGTCGGCGCCGCGTCGTCCCCGCCAGCGAAGAGAAGAAAGCTCTCCGATAGTGAGGGCTCTCAGAAGCCCGGCGATGAGGGAAAGGGAAAGAAAAAGGCGAACAACCGGTCAGATGCTGTGGCCAGTGGTCTTGATGCTCCCGCCATCACTGCTTTGGCTGCCACCAAAGGAGGTCGGCACGTGATTGCTGCCACAAATGAGGACAAGAGTATCCGGGTCTTTGAGCATGTGTTCAAACAGGATGGGACACATCAACTACGGAGTCTCAGTCAGCGGTCAGTCAGGATGATGGGGATTACCCAAAATGATGAACTAGGAATTTGAATCTAATTTTGAGCCAGCATTATGCCAAAACGCCCCTGTGCCCTAGCACTTACAGAAGACGACGCAACCATAATCGCCGCGGACAAATTTGGGGATGTCTATTCTCTCCCATTGTTGTTTTCAGAATCGGAGAATCAGACAGCAGCCAATGGCTCCAGCCCGTCTTCTCAAGCTAGCGGCACCACGGCCCCCAAGCCTTTTGTACCAGCAGCCAGCGACCTCACTGTACATTCGCAGCGGAATCTCAAAGCCCTTGAGAATCAGAAGAGACAGACGAATCAACCCCCTGAGAAGTCAGAGCCCACCTTTGAGCATAAGCTATTGCTTGGCCATGTCTCGATGCTTACGGATGTTGTACGCGTTTCTTTTCAAGGACGAAGTTACATCATCTCTGCAGATAGAGACGAACATATTCGCGTCTCCCGAGGCATTCCCCAGGCTCATATCATTGAGGGGTTTTGTCTTGGCCACACAGAGTTCGTCAGCCGGTTATGCGTTCCAGACGAAAGATCCAACTTGTTGATCTCCGGTGGAGGGGATGACTATCTGTTCGTCTGGAACTGGTTATCAGGCACATTGGTATCAAAAGTCGATCTTAAAGCCGCTGTTGAAGTTGTGATGCGTGATTTAGAGACGGAAAATCACAGCAGTGGACCAGCAGATCACGTGAAAGTTGCCGTGTCTGGTATTTCACACGTCAGGTTACCTGGGGAAAATGGAGTTGAAGACATTATCATAGCTATCTCTGAGGGGTGAGTTTTCCATCCCCTTCGTCCGTATTCACATTTTACTGACCCCTATACAGTGTCCCAGCTCTCTTCGTCTTCCTCCTGACACCGGAAAGCCATCTCAACCACATTCAAACCATTAGATTACCCGGCAATGCCCTTGCAGTTGTCAGCATTTCAAGCACAAGCAGCTCAACCCCCAGTAATGACATCGTAGTATCGATAGATAGCATCCACAAGCCCGGCTCAACAACGGATCGCAGGTCTGATACCGACGAACCAGTTGATCCTCTGCGTTTATATAGATTCCAGGGGAGGGAGTTAGTTCCAGTCTCGACATTGCAGTCGGGGGATGGAGACGAAGCTCTTGAAAACGAGAATCAACCTGGGAGACTGACAAATTTGTTGTATAACCTTGAGAATTTGAGGAAGAGAGATGGAGAGGCGAAGGAAGTTGAGTAGAATAGGAAATATATTATTCAACTCTGCCTTTAAAGTAAAGAGGAGATTGGACTTAACTCATCGTCTGCGAACTTGCTGTGTATGAAAAACCAATGGAAACGAGCGGCGCCGGTTGCCTACCTGTTAGCTATCATGAGCCCGTAATGACTATCCGTTGGCCAGCGCCTCTGACTGAAGCTGAGAATATGTGAAACTTGATATTTATTTGGATTTCCCTAATCTATCGGACCCACACGTAGTACATTCCCCTCTCTCGCGCGGCGAGCTTGTTTCTCAGACAAGTGTTGCCTCCAATTTAGAACAGTTGCATCTACCTTATCCGCAACCTCCTTTCCCTCTAACTCATCAATCAAAACAAGGGTATAATGTAATCTATCCTCACGAATCCACTGCCCAGCGATAATCTCCCTGGTAATTCCTGCAGAGCTCATTGCTCTGGCCAGTTCTGGACTTATTGGCGCACGATGAAGGCGCAGGTGGTACAGACATTGAAGAACATTTCGAACGGCGACACGGGTAGGTCGGGCCGGTGATTGCGCAAACGCCAGAGCCATCCTGTGCAAAAGATCTATCATGGTCTGAGGCAAAGCCCTGGGCTGAAAATGTCGCTGAGAACGTGGACGGTTTTCATATATAGGTATCCCCAAAATTTCCCAGATCCGTTTTGGTTCGACAGAGCGGTCATTGATAAGCGCAATTATGAAATCAGGAATCCAATCCAATCTGAATCGCCTGTCGCCAAGTAGCATAACTGTGCGAAGATGGAAGATCTTTAGAGCAAGGCGGACGTCATGGTTGCTCATCGTATCGATAGATCGAGCAAGGCAAGTCGCTGGGACCTTGAGACCAAGGTCGTTCATTCGAGACAGGATCTTATATACCATCTTATACCTTCCAAGCTCTTCTAGCAGGAGAAACAGATCCCTTGTTCGTGTCAAGGAATTCTCCCTGTGCTTGTCAAGGGCAAAAAGTAATGAGGCAAAGTCCTTCTTCTCAGGGCGTGGTGCAGACGCCTCAAAACTGTTCCTAACACCATCTATATTCTTCACATATCCTTGACTCATCCATAGGCTAAGTATGAGGTCGCTAGCATCATTTTCGAGTATGGTATCCTGACTCTCTAATTTGCGCCAGTTCTGAAGAAAGAGCTCCGTGTCGACATTTGATAACTGTGCTATCGTGGAGAGCCAGTAGTAGCGCACCGTTTGAAAAGATTTCCGGCGCCCCTTGCAAGCCATCATAATGTGCTCCGAACAAGAAGGAACAATGCTTGAAAGCAGATCGTAAGGTAGCTTCTGAAGAGCATCAGCGAGGAGCTTGGCGGATGCTTTGAATGGCGATATAGATTGATCGGCCTTAGCGATGGCACCCAGAGCTCGAGAGATAGCCATATGAACATCAGATACTGCTTCCCTAACCAAGGAAATATCTGTCATAGCGTTTGACCCTTCCTCTAAAGCCATGACAAGTCGTTGGACATTCCCGAGCTTGCTCCCTGTCTCCATAACATACTCCTCTGCTGCTCTGATTTCAAGTTGGCTATCACCAATCCGTGATACTTCAAGCCAGCTATGCAGCCAGGATTTCACTAACGAAATTATACCCTGCTCCAGGCATCGAAGCTGGACAACAGACATCGAGCAAAGAATCCTATGAGCCAAGATCTGTACTTCTCGGGTAGAAGGCAGACGCGAAAGGAGAGACAAGAATTCATTGATGACTTTCCCATCGAAATCGATAGGCCGAAGAACTCGCGAGGCCGTGATTCCATCCCAGATGGCATTGTAGAACGCGAGGCATCGAGCTCGAGCAACTTTATGATTTTTAGATACCTCTTGTAGATCCTCGGTAACCTGTTGGATTATATGTTCGAGAAGTTCGCTAGAGACCAAACCAAGAGTAAGGCTTTGCTTGAGACTTTGATTAAAGTCGGCGATGTGACTGTCGAGATCCGATTTGCTTCTGAGTGTTTCTCGAAAGCGGCATACATCCTCTTCCACAGTTGGTATACCCTCAACCAAGGTTCTCTCTTCCGTCATCTCAGGCCATAGGATTTCATTGGAATCTTCTTGGGGCGTAGTATCCCATTCTGACAACCAAGCTGGCAATGCGGCCGTATCATCGTTCTTCGAGAGGCGCGGCGTGGGGGCTTCCCACCGCCATTGGGTTCTGCCAGCGTTTCCAAACAAGCCCCATATGTGCACTGGGTTCGGAGCAGACGTGGGAATTGCTTCTGAAAGATGCGTCATGCGTCTCTTCCCCAATCTTCTCCTACTCTCCATTGGACCAGGGACGGAGCTTCCATAGCGTCTCGCGGTCCTTGACAGGGCACAAAACTGCCGAAACACAGTGCACAGAATCTCGTCAGAAACCCATATTGAATCGACAGGCGTGGCTAGCGGACGCTGTGCCAATCGACAGCAGGCAGGAGGGCGAGGGGGCATGGAGCTTGATCAAGTTGAAGCATCTGGGGAAGCCGCAGAAAAGTCGTATTCCAAAGTGGTTCGGGATGTAATAATGCAGATGGAGCAATGATGCTCCTTGATGAACTCTTAAAATATCAATTGAACCCCGTGGTTCATCATTATCAAGACGCGTAGAGAGCGCTCGAGCGAACAGTGTCGAACGGATGGAAGATGCTTGAGGTTCGACGGGCTCGCGGAGTTTGTATTGGTGCCTCGAAAGTAAGGTGGAAGTACAGTAATACCTGAGGCATGAAACCAAACTCGCCTGTGCTTCCCGGTCGTCTTTAACACGGTCCGGCACTCAGCGGGGTCAGGAGCAATTACTACATTATTGCCTTACGGAGTAATTATTAGGGTCATTCTTGCAGGGAGTCGGTGGGGTGATTATAAGAATTATACCTCCGTATTTACGGTTTACGGAGCCCGTTCCCCTGAGATTTTACCCCACTTTGTCGTCGGGTTTTATAGCAGAAGATAGCCGCACTTCCACATGTGATCTCACAGGAACTTTCAAGTGGGGGTGTGCCATCACCATCCTCGTTATTCTGAAGACCATCATGGGCCATAATTTCGAACCGCTGCAGAATGATCTGATCCTCAGAGCCGCATGGGGTACAGTTCTCCAGCTACTGATCAATGCAACTTACTGATACGTCCCAGGCCAGAAAGTCGAGAGACCCCCGGTGTGGGTTATGCGTCAGGGTACATCACATCCATTCTGCCCCCTCTCTGCTCAAGATCTTCCTTCTGACAATTGCTATAGCTGGACGGTATCTCCCCGAATATCATGAAGCCAAAGGCAATCATGACTTCTTCGAATGCTGCCGCTCGCCGGAAATTGCTTCGACCCTAACTCTCCAGCCCATTGATCGATTCGCGGGTTTAATCGACGCAGCCATCATTTTCTCCGACATCTTAGTGATCCCCCAGGCTCTTGGGATGACTGTTGAGATGGTGGACAAGAAAGGTCCGCATTTTCCGAATCCTCTGAAATCGCCCAGCGACGGTCAATACGAGGAAATTCTCAAAAAGAAAGTTGATGTCGCTGCTGAGCTGGATTACGTATACAAGGCCATTACTATGACGAGACATAAGCTGAAGGGGAGAGTTCCATTGTTTGGCTTCTGCGGAGCTCCATGGACTCTACTCTGTTACATGGTGGAGGGCGGCGGTAGCAAACTTTTCATCCAAACGAAGACGTGGATATACAAATATCCGCAGGCTAGCAAAGATCTCCTGCAGAAGATTGCTGAAGTCTGTGTGGAATATCTGGCGCTGCAGGTCCAGGCAGGTGCACAGGTGCGTACTTGGCGGTGATGGTTTGGAGAGAGATTTACTAAAATCATACAGCTGGTGCAAGTGTTTGATTCGTGGGCTGCTGAATTGTCACCCGCGTCCTTCAAGGAGTTCTCTCAGCCATACCTTGCATATATCTCCAAACATTTGCCGGCACGATTAAAGGAGTTGAAACTTGATCCAGTCCCGATGGTCGTCTTCGCAAAAGGCGCATGGTATGCATTGGATTCCCTTTGCGATCTGGGATATCAGGTCGTTGGACTCGACTGGCTGCAAGATCCAGCAGAGGCTGTTAAGATTAGGGGAAATAGGCCTGTGGTGTTCCAAGGGAATGCAGACCCGGGCGTGTTATATGGATCAAGAGAAGCAATAACTGCCGCTGTAGAGGAGATGGTGAAGGGATTTGGCGGAGGAAAGCAAGGCTGGATTGCTAATCTTGGCCATGGTAGGCTGTTCTCGGATTTTGGCAGAACCTTTCACTAATGTCTTCCAGGAATCACACCATTCGTTGACCCCGAGGACTTGAGATTCTACTTCCAGGAGATCCATCGATTGGCCGGTAGCTAGTCTCAATAATAACAAGTTCCCGTGATGCCCCCTTACCCACTCATTGTCACGTGTGCTCACTTCTTCTCTTTGGAGTGGACTCTCTCCTCTTCACCAATATCCTCGTTCCTAGGTAAACTCAGTATCAACCCTCCAGGTATATTAAGAAGCGTCCACTTACCAGACCTCTGGCTTCTCTTTAATGAATTGTTCCATCAGATCCTGACACTCCTTGCTTTGCATGTTCACGACCTCGATACCTCTCTGTTTTAAGTATGCCTCTCCGCCTAGGAAAGTGTTGTTCTCCCCAATTACAACACGAGAAACGCCGTAAAGAATACAGGCACCAGTACTGTATGTTGTGAGCATTAGGCGCATACAAGAGCCATAGATCGTCTTCTAGTTACCACATATCACAAGGAGAAAGTCTGTACTGCTTCAGCAAATCAAAGCTACCAAGTCTTGAGCGGGGGGTTCTCATACGTCGTGTACATGGTCGCGCCCCGGTATGCCGAAGCAGGGAGACGTCCTGAGTTCTCTAATGCTGCGGTCTCACCCTGTCTCGAACTCAGCCTGGATTCCTATACGATGGGTGGGTAGCTGAGCTTGCGCACGTGGTGAATGGCAGAGCCTTTCTGGACCCGCATATTGTGACCGCGTCCAAGTAGCTTGCCATCTCTAGAGACCAAGGCGGCACCTATCTATTGCATGTCTGAGCTACTTCCTCTCCGCGCCGGACTTCTGAGGCCGGCGTGTGGGGGAATATGCTCACAGGAACCCCGCCTTCTTTGTAACTAATCTTTGCTTCCTCGACGGCGATCGCGAAGGCCTCCTGGTCGTTCATTGTGTACTGTTGGATATTCGGGAGTCGGACCTGGGAGGAAATGGAAGAGGTGAAGTCGATATTGTATATAAAGATACTTCTGCAGCAACAGAGCAACAGAGCAAACTAATACCTTATGTACCTTAGGTACCTAGGAGGAAGAGACTTCGACCCACCATCACCACCACTATCGCTATCGCTCCACTCTTGAAAGGGTTGATAACTTGATAAGAATGAATGACTACGTTAAATGAGACCACTCCGTAAAACCAGGGCAGACAAGTGGAAATAGAAGAGGGCGGTGAGACAAGATGCAGCTCTACATGGATACTGTAGCGAGTTATATTGCCTTACCTAGATAGTAGATCCTGTATACAAGATGTAGTTGTTTCTCATCGCCCATCGGACAGAACTCGCCATCTCTCTGTGCGCAGAGCCCTACCCATGTCCGATGTCCGAAAGGAGCCGCGCCTTACGTAAGACAAGCGGGCCTACGCCCTTTTACTAGATTTACGGTAATTTGCAGGTCTTCAAAATATACAGTACCTCAGATCGGCTTAGCTCGGGATTAAACCAGGTAATATTCCCTTATCAGGCAAATATCCGCAAATACTGCGCTGGATACACGGCAGAACATGCCCCTCTCGCCCCTCCGAATCCCAGAAAGTTCCATGGCCGTCTAAAGCATTCTCTAAGCGAATTTTGGCCCCGTCCTCCCTCCAACTGTCCTTGGGAACAACATACTTCCTTCCTACCAAGACCTCAAGTACTTCAATCCACATCTTTCTCCGTAAACTAATTTTTCTTCATTCTTGTCACAGTCTCTCTTCCTCCCCTCTCCTCTCCTCTCCTCTCATTCCGACGCGGCTTCTGCCTCTTCTCGCTGAGACGAAGATAACTGCCATTCAACATCCAGCTTTGATTTCCCAACTGCCAAGGCTTCGGCACAACAACAGAGCGCTCTTTCAGCGCCCGCGCCCTCGCAAGGCCCAAGCCTCCACGCGACCTGTGAGTGCGATTCCCTGCTGCATGGCTTTATCGAGATGTCTTGCCAATGGGACAAGACATGATCGCGAGGCCTGGTGATTTCTCGGTTTTCCAAATTCACTGCTGACTTTGTTGACGCGATATAGAAACGGCGCCGATCTACCCCCTTTCGAAGAGAACTTCGAGACAGACCCAGCGACAGCTTGACACATATTTTTACGCTCTCCCCTCGTTAGAGTTGAAGCCGACACGATGGTGAAAGATACCAAGTTTTATGATTTGCTGGGGGTAAGTGGCAGGTGATCTGGTTGAAAATTCAATGCTTACAGTCTTTTCAGGTTTCCCCAAGCGCTACTGAGGCAGAACTTAAGAAGGCATACAAAGTCGGTGCTCTGAAGCATCATCCAGGTAGGTTTCTCCCAAAAACATCGCGCTGGTCGCTCGCAATTCTACGGTAAACCCAACGTATTACGGCTCATACGGCCATTCATACTGGGTGGGCATCTGCTTCCCAAATAATTCGAGGATGCGTGGTCCAGACGCAAATGTCCTGCCTAGTCTCCCTTTTTTCGCGATCTTTATTAACGGTCTACTCGCAATATAGACAAAAATGCCCACGACCCCAATGCCGCAGAAAAGTTCAAGGACCTGTCCCACGCGTACGAAATCCTCTCTGACCCGCAGAAGCGTCAAATCTATGATCAATATGGTGAAGAGGGATTGGAGGGTGGCGCCGGTGCTGGTGGTATGAATGCGGAGGACCTATTCTCACAATTCTTCGGCGGAGGATCTGCATTTGGCGGTGGCGGTCTTGGCGGCATGTTTGGTGGAGGTATGCCACAGCGTGGTCCACCTAAGGCTCGTACGATCCACCATGTTCACAAGGTCTCACTGGAGGACATCTACAAGGGCAAGGTCTCAAAACTCGCTCTGCAGAAGTCCGTTATCTGCCCTAAGTGTGACGGACGCGGTGGAAAGGAGGGTGCTGTGAAGAAGTGCGCTGGATGCGATGGACACGGTATGAAGACTATGATGCGCCAGATGGGGCCAATGATTCAGCGGTTTCAGACTGTCTGTCCCGACTGCAATGGAGAAGGCGAGATCATCCGCGAGAAGGATAGGTGCAAGACTTGCAACGGCAAAAAGACAATTGTGGAAAGAAAGGTCCTTCACGTACACGTGGACAGGGGTGTCCGATCAGGCCACAAGATCGAATTCAGGGGAGAAGGAGACCAAACACCCGGGGTCCAGCCAGGCGATGTCATCTTTGAAATCGAGCAAAAGCCACATCCTAGATTCCAGCGGAAAGACGACGACCTCTTCTACCACGCGGAAATCGACCTGGTTACGGCTCTTGCTGGAGGTACGATTTATATCGAGCATCTGGATGATCGCTGGCTTAGTGTTGAGATCATCCCTGGAGAAGTCATCAGCCCAGGTACGTCCGCATTCTAACCTATCTCTTCCACATCGTACTAATAATTCCATTAGGTGCAGTCAAGATGATTCGTGGCCAGGGAATGCCTTCGTACCGCCACCACGATTTCGGAAATATGTACGTTCAGTTTGATGTGAAATTCCCACAAAACAACTGGACCTCCGATCCCGCAGCTTTCGATGCTCTAAAGGCTATCCTGCCAGTCCAACTCCCCCCCATTCCTCCTCCTGAGGAGACAATGACGGAGCCAGCCGACCTCGAAGAAGTTGACGCCAGCCAGCAAGCTCGAGCCGCGGGTGCCAGCTCGATGGACGAGGATGACGAGGATGGACACCCAGGAGGTGAGCGAGTCCAGTGTGCTTCACAGTAAGGTAGAGGATCAGAGAACGGCCTTCTACGGAGTTGGGATTTCGTTGAGCATCATTCCGCCAATCATGCATATGTCTGCTATGGGCGAGTAGCATCTCATTATGACTTATGTCCACATGGCTTCATGAGTGGGAAGTTGGTGAGCCGGTTGCTCGGGCTTGTAAAGCGACTACGTTCATGCATTTTCCTTTGTTTCTTTTTCCTTCAATAGGGTCGACGGTGACTCGTGAGACTATTCAGATGGCGTTTAGGCGGATAGATAGCAAGAAGAAGATTTATTTAAACTTGAAACTTATGCCCTGTGGATGTATAATCTGGTGCTGTTGAGAACGTGATTAGAAGCCCTCGACCTATTTGCTACATACTGACTCCTACCACCAATCACTGGTGCACCCTTGCTTTGTTCATGCCATTGGTGAATTCTGCCCTCTCGCTGAGCTAATAAATTCTCGTCGATCCCACGGAGCAGCGCTCGCCTTCTTACCTCCGCCTTCTTACGGACGTAAATCCCGCCAATTCCTTTCTTCGAGATGGATCCCGCCCGCGGTACAAGCAATCAGAGACCCGGTCTGGAGCCTCATATCCGACCCTCGCCCTCTTATTCTAGAACACCTCCTCAAGTCCCAGCTCAAGGGGGTTCATTGCTGCCAACAGGCGCAAGTACGGGATCTGGCACATCCTCGTCAGCGCCCCGGATACGGAGAAGGAACCGCATGATAACGAGCTGTCTCGAGTGTCGACGTCGCAAGTTGAAGTGCGATAAATCGCATCCTTGTACTAACTGCGTGAAGTCCAATCGCGATTGTGTCTTTCTGGCACCGGCTCTGGACCAGGCCAGCCAGCTCAAGCTCACGGAAATCAAAGAGAAAGTGGGGTCGTTGGAACGGCTGCTGGAGAGAGATATTGCCAAGTCCTCGGCATCGACAGCGACGGCCCCTCACCTGGAGAGGGCTGTACCTGACGATGTGGAGGATGGCCTGCCACCGAACGAAGATGAGAAGGACTTGGAGCCAACGCCGTTGGCTACTGTAGATGCGGCTTTTGAGATCGACGGCGAAGATGATGATCTGCTGGATCTGGGAGTCCAACTAGGGAAGATGCGAATCACTGAACGAATTGGAGGCTTCGTCAGACCCAAGATTACTCAAGAGGTTTGTTACTCGGCTTTCTTGTCAATTGTTATATTGTCATGCTCTTTCTGCAGCGAGAATGCCGCTCGATTTCCAAACGAGAGAAATAGGAACTTCACCATGGTAGTTCCTTGTCTTCCCTCGTAACTGAAGTAAAGTACTGAGGTGGTCCCTATCAATCGTTGCAAATGGTCGAACTGACCCAAGCGGGATGGAACGTATTTATAAATCCCCATGATTGTCAGAGAAGTCTCTGTGGTTGTATTAGTATTGAGGCACGCATGCATCTAGGGACTTTTGTACTGTTAGAAATAAGGCTCAACCTCTGAAATTGTCTTGGTTTCTTTGACCGGTGTAAAGAAACTCTTCTGATGTGACATCTCCAAAGCTGGATGGTGGGGATGTAAGAATATGCTTAATTCTGCTGCTGGAGTGCGCCTTTATCAGTCCTATTGCAACATTCGGATGACTTGCTCTCAGGCTGGCTTTACCTGCTGACTGGCCTCTGCAGCTCCAATCTACTATCGCGAGCAGAGGACATAAAGGCCCCGGCCCCGGCCCCTTAGAACCACCACCTGTCCCACCACCTGTTACTCTTCCACCTGCAAGCGAATGGCTGAAACCTGGACCTGCGTATATCGCTCCCTCGTCTGGCTTCTTCTTTGGGACAGCGGTTCATCAGGCGTCCCTAATTGATTACTTGCCATCAAGACTAGCTGCAGATAGGCTCATCAAGCAATACTTCCTTGCTGTTCACCATATTGCTAAGGTCCTACATCGACCAACATTTGAGAGAGAATATGATACCTTCTGGGATGAGGTCTCTCTCGGAATTGAACGTAAGAACCCCATGGGGCGAGCCCCTTTCTGACTGATTCGTGAGATATTGTATCCGTTATCACAGCCTACAGCTCATGCTTTTCCAAAAATCCTATTTCCATCCTCCTTAAGCCATTGCTGACTTCCCCGTTATCTAGCTCCACCCTCGGTACAAACAGTAGTGTTCGCTGCAATGTTCTCCGGGGTTGTCAGTATGGATGAAGCCGATGTCATTCGCGACTTTGGAGTGTCTAAAGCCAGCTTGGTCGAGAATTTCAAGCTCGGCACAGAAACTGCATTGTCCAGAGCGAACTTCCTACGAACAACTAAGATTGAGACGTTACAAGGATTTGTGATGTATCTGGTTGGTTGATCGAACTTGACTCCTCAGTTATATCAAGCTAACCATTGCAAAGATTCCGCTTTGTAGAGGAGAGATATCACGGGCTCATTCAGTTCTAGTCGGAGCTGCAATAAGAATGGCCGAGTGCATGGGTCTTCACCGTGACGGTGAAACTTATGGGATGAGCCCTCTTGAGACCAACTTGCGCCGCCTAATCTGGCACCAACTTTGCTTCCTGGATATTCGAACTTGTGAAGCAACAGGTCCACGCCCCATAATCCGACGAGAAGATTTTGACACAAGATTTCCTCTAAACGTTGACGATATTGACCTCCATGCCTCCGGGGACCCACCTGTCACAGAAAATCGATGGACAGATGCTACCTTCAGTCTAATTCGAATGGAGATCAATGAAATGATTAGAACGATCTGGGTTGACAGAACCCGTTTGGAACGCCGGAAGGTAACTCTCACGGCGGTCTTGTCCAAAATCGAGACATTTAAAGCGAACATGGCCGCCAGATATGACCATTTAATGGATGACAGGATACCTGTCCAGAAATGTGCCAGAGTTGTGAAGGCACTCCTCCTATCTCGGCTGCTTACTATGGTACTTCATCGTTACCATAACTCTGTTGCGTCTCCAATGCCAGATCGACTCCGTAAACTCATGATCTCAGGAGGAATTATAACACTGGAGACAGCGATCACCTTAGAGACGAGTCCTGATCTGAGAAGCTGGACATGGTACAGCGGAGCACTTCAGCAGTACCACACAGCCGTTCTATTCCTCATGGAAATAGTGATCTACCCCGATCGTAAGGAGGCGGCTCGCATTTGGCCCTTGTGTAAGGAAACCAGCTCTTTGTCTGAAATACTTGCGATTCCTTTCCAATCCCCCTCTTGCTCACAACAATTTCCTGAATATTACGTTTACTCTATCTTTTTTCCAGAAACCGGAAATGCTGCATTGCTGACCTTTTTATCTTCCAGTGGCCTACATCTTCGAGTGCGATCCGTCAGAGGATCCGGTGATGCAAGCCCAGAAGGTACTTTCTGAGCTACAGCATAAAATCGCGGTATATCAAAGCATGCGTGGCATGCGCGTACCAGTCGTCATGGAGAAACACGTTGGGCAACGAGCACCACCTATCCCCGAAACCGACAACAAGACAGCTGCTTCTCAACATCCCCCTCCGTCAACAAGCCGGGAGCCCCTTGGGCCTCCCCAACGCATTCCCGAGGTACCACCGTCTATAGGCAAAGCGCAAGTCCCCGAAGTCGCCTTCGCCGGCGTCGCAAACCAAGAAGTCCTCTGGGCGCTCCCCAAACATCAAAGTCCCGAAGCAAGCAGTGATTCCAGCAGCGTGGTTGAGAAACCGAAAATGCCCCCCGTGTCTGGGGCTGGTAATGATCTGATGACGGAGATTGATTGGGTAAGTGGCCCATCTATCTATCTATCTATATTATTTTGTGTCCCCGCAGGAGGAGCGAGGAAAGATGCTAAATTCCTTTGTAGGATGCTTTCGACGCTTTGTTCCCACCGGATCAACAAAATGACGTCTTGAATCAGCCCGGTCCCCAGTTCCTGAATATGCCAGGTGGGATGCGTCGCTATTAACCTAGTCTATGTGTGTATCTGCGATGCACCGCAGTGATTACGATGAGTGTTTTATTCCTGAAAGAAGAATCTGAGGTCATGGATTAGGTAGGGATATGGAGGTCAAGATGTGGTCTGGTTCTGTCCCTATAGTTGAAGGAGGGGTTGGTTATATATAGGAAGTGGCTATTCCCACTTTCATTCATAATGATAAAAAATAGGAGAAGAGCTTTATCTTCTAACATAAATAGAAATAATTTGCTGCAATGGCAATACATATATATACAGGGAGCTGAGCCGTCCCATAATTCTCAAGTTTTTTTCGAGTGATCAGTACTGTTGAAGGGATCTAAAGTTCTACTATGTAAAGTATGTAAGGTAAGTTGTGCAATCTATGTGAAAGGGGGAGGGTGGTCTCAACCGTGGTACCGATCTCCTATAATGTTGCTCTTGTACGATGCGTAGAATAATCACTGCTTGAAGGTCTGCTTTGGGTAATTTGGTCCGGCCAATCGAGAGCTCCATGGGGAACGGACAACGATACGTTTAGCGCTGGGGATGTCGAATGGTCGCAGATAAGCTTCTTCTAAGGAAAAAAGTGCATTCGCAAGCTGCTACACAGAGACTTAATGCGCCATTCCATCCGAGTAGCATACTGATACATGTTTGATGTCCCTACAACCCGCATTCCTCGTGTCTAAGCATCTATATCCATCTTCTCTCCCGCTGCAGCCTCACCCTCTAGTTCGTGTACCGTTACATACTTGCTTATGTCCTCCCTCGTGATGATCTTCTCGTTGAGAACGGCTGTGGTGCCTCTCTTGAAAACATAGCTCTTCTGCTTCTTACTTCGCTGGTTCGGCTTGACGAAGCCTCTCTTTAGCGTCGTCTTATCCTTCGTTATGATCGCAACATCCACATTTGATCCGGACCCCAAATCATTGAAGATACCAGCCTGGATTGCGTTGGATGCCAGGGTTACGGCCTCCTCTTCCGTCATCTTCGCCTTCCATTGCGTCTCGAATACAGACATAGCTGCCAGCGAACCACTGCCCATGGTGACATAAGGAAGCTTATCAGTGCTACCGTGGGCGTGAACGGTAAACAATCCAACACCAGTCGGGTCAACGCCTGCCACAACAAGATACGCTCCGATGTGACCTTGATATCTGAACAGATGTTGTTTGAGCATTGTCATGCAGGTAACGACCCGGGGTTTGCGGCCGGTCGAGAGGGAGTGAAGCTCGAGTTGTGAGGAGATGAGGGATGTAGTAAATTCGGTATCAGCTGCGGTACCCGCTCCAGCACACCAGATTTGGGGTGCGATGTAATGAAGCTTCTCGCAGTTCTAGAACGACGTATAGTCAGCGCTCTGCTCCATGAGTGACGAGTGATACGAACGAACCTTGTCAGCCACTATTGGTCCACTTGTTGCTCTGGTATCCGCAGCGATCTGGTAGAGGCATAGTTAGCATACTGTGATTATGACAAGCTTGATAGAGCGAGAATCAAGAGCCGGGGGGTCAAGTCCCCCAGACGGAGCGGACGCTCAAAAGGAGTTGTGGAAGCTGAGCTCTACTTACGACAACACCCCCTTCGAATATGCATCCCACAATCGTAGTACCCGTACTCGTCGCCTTTGGCAATGGCACACCTCGTGCGTGCAGGGCCGCATTGCGGGTATGGTTGGAGAAGTCGAATCCAGGCATGATGATGCGAGCTCGACAGCTCTAGGTCAAATCGGCTTGAGGGGGACGTATGTGTTTATGGCTTCCGGGGTAATGGCTGGAAAACTGGCAACTTCCAGGAGCGCGGCGATCGTGAAGAGATGATGGTGTGTTTAGTGGAGGAGCTGAGCTGGTTGGGGCGTGGAAGTGGGAAGCTCTCTCGACAGTCGGTATTTACTAGGCAGAGCTGCTTTCGTGGACGTTCAACTCGCGTGGCTGCGATGGGTTGGAGCGCGAGCTTTGCGAATTACCGCTGTACCTTGCATTGCGGAGAAATCCGTGCGTATAAATACCTATCTAGGCAATTATACGCGTATACTAGGACTGAATACGTATTTAGGCGATATTCGCTATACTCAGAGCAAATATTTACAATATTTGTTTATACGCGATCAGAGCTTCACCACTTCCTTGCATATCGATTCGACTTGCTTTACCTTGCGCAACCTTCGAACTCTGCTGCAGACGTACTCACTTCTTCTTCACATCCTCGTACTGCTTTGTCTCTTTGTCCCTCTCAGAGATCTCGGGATATTTGAGCTATCTTTCGGCTTTCTTTGCTGGAAAAGCTCCTGTCGAAAAATACGCCTCGCCAGCCTGATCACCTCACCTCACCTTCGCCTTCGCCTTCGTTTTCTTGCCAGTCTCAAATCGCCTTCGGTCATTCAAATGCGCAGGAATATCTCGTGAATCGCTGGACCGCTCAACGAAGCCGGTTACCTTGCTACCGTCATGTCGTTCAGTAGCTTTGGTAACCCTGGCGCAGCCATGGGCGGGGCAACTCCAGGTGTACAATCAGGACCTGATCTTCAGGACATACAAACAGAGGTACGTCGGTTTGTTGTCAGAGCCAAGCTACGTCTGCGCTCAATACTAATGTCTTTGCACAGGCTCTCGGGTTTCTAGCTCTCTCGGGAGAATCTAAAGTTCAATTACTTCCATCACCATGGCCGGCCGACAATCTGCCTCCTCCTACTTCCTCTCTCATGAGCGTGGCCTCGCGCAAAGGTCTTCTGGCCGCAGCAGGACCGGATGCGATTGTCGTGGCAACTACGGAGTCGGTACGAAAAGCCTTCGAGGGACCGGGTACTGGAGATGGGAATTTCAAACCCTTCCAACCTCAATTGAAGCTCCCAATGCCGATGAGGATCTCGCAACTTGCATTCTCGGCAGATGAGTCGTACTTAGTATTAGCTGCTGAGGTTGGAGGGGGGCTGGCTGTTTATGATGTCAACGCGCTCTTACAGGGCTCCACGCAGTCGGCATTCGAGTTATCTACAAATGGTCAGGCACTGAGAGCCCTTATCCCGAACCCAACACCAGAGAAGGGCGAACTTTTTGCCGTGGTTACAGTAGATGGCAATCTCCTGATAGCCAACCTCAAGGAGAGGGCGTTCATATCAGGACCTTCGGGTCAGGTCTTGAAAGATGGTGTTAGCTGCCTTTCATGGAGCACAAAAGGAAAACAATTAGTAGCCGGTCTTGGAAATGGAGCTGCCTATCAAATGACTCCCGAAGGAGTGGGCAAGGGGGATATCCCTAAGCCGCCGGGTGTGGGTGACAACCATCACGGTATGTGCTCAGCATCTCATTGATGATGCGGAAACTAACTCTTGCAGTATCTTCGATTACCTGGCTCGAAAACAACGTATTCCTCTTGGTCCATACCCCGTCGAATTTCGACAGTGGCGAGGCCCCATCCTCTGTATTCCACATCGCAACCCGTAACCCACCTTCTAGCTTCGTTTTTCAGAAGGTCTCGGAGCCTGTGGGACCTTTTGGCCTCAATCGGTCACCACCCCACCACTTCTTTCTTCGTTTGAGAGATTTCCCCCCTAATCTACAGGATCTTATCATTGTCGCTTCAACCGCATCGACTGATATCGGACTTTTCAGTCGATCCAAAGTTCCATTGGCTAGTGACAAGCCTGCCGGGGTCTTTACAATGACAGAAATGTCAGATGACTCGCGCCGAGCCCAGCTTCCCATGACGGGTGAGCTAAATGATACGTCTCCAATTGGTCTCGCGCTTGATCTCTCCAGCAAAGAAAAAGTCACGAAACCTATTCCGAGTGACGAGATGGACGAATCGCCGACTCCCTTACCTGCTCTCATGGTTCTGAACAACGAAGGGGTGCTAGCTTCATGGTGGATTGTCTATTCGGATTCGATACGTCAAGGCACAATTTATCCAGGCCTCGTCGCAGCTGAAGGTGTTCAACAACAACAATCATCTCCTGCCCCAGTACAAGCCCCAGCGTCAGCCTTTGGCGGCGCTCCAAAGGTAGCGTTTGGAGCACCTTCAATTCAAGGCCCCACTTCCACAGGCGCCTTCGGCTCTACATCTAGCCTTGGTCAGCGGCAATCACCTTGGTCTACATCGGCGTCCTCAACCGCGGCGCCAACTAGTGCCCCAGCTTTCGGAGCCCCAGCTTTTGGAACTCCATCTTTTGGAACTCCATCTTTTGGTTCCACATCCACGCCTTCCGCCGCCAAGCCAGCATTTGGGACTCCTGCTTTTGGTACAACCAGCACTCCGGCATTCGGAGCTTCCGGGTTTGCTGGTCCTAAACAATCTCCCTGGGCATCGGCGGCGTCTACAACCACGGGCGTAGCTTTTGGTCAGACAGCTGGGCTGGGTAAGCCCGCTGGGGTCTTTGGGTCGACGGCGCCAACCGCTGGTATTACTATTCCATCGAGTGGAGGATTTGCTTCCTTTGCTTCCAAGGGAGGGTTTGCTGCTGCCGCCCCTCCTGCCGGTGGAAGCATTTTTGGATCAAAGCCAGCTTCAAATCCATTTGGCACGCCCAATTCGAGTTTCGGGATGGATACGAATACATCCTTCGGCGGAACACCAAAAGTTCCAGATGAGAAGCCAGCGAATCCTTTTGGTGGTGGCTCGGGTGGTTTCGTTCTCGGTTCTACATTCAAAGCTGACCCAACTGCCAAGGACGAAGCGTCGGAGCCGTCAACTGAACCCAAAAGCTCATTCTTTGGAGGAGCATTCGGGAGTGCCCTTGGAGAGGCTGCCAAGGCGCCACCTGCGGATAATTCTGAATCAAATGACGCTGACATGGACTCGACTGAAGATACAACTAAGCCGGAAGAACCCACTAAACCAGATTCAACGACACCTGCCTCTACACCAGCTCCAGCTAAGTCATCTTTCTTTTCCTCAGCTCAACCAGTCAGCAGTGGGCTTTTCGGGAGTGCCAGTCCAACCCCATCATCTGCTACCACCAAGCCTGCGGCATCGGCCGGCTTTAGTTTTGGCACACCGGCTACAGAAGGGCCTAAACCAGGTGGCTTCAGTTTCGCAAATTTGAACACGGCTGAGGCAAAGCCTTCAAGTCCTGCCGCTCAGACCCCAACCGCGTTGAGCCCCCCTTCTCCTGTCAAGGTCAAAGAAGAGCCAGTTTCAGATGGGGAAAATGAAAAGTTGAAAGATAACGCTCCTGAACCTCCACTGCCACCCGAATCTACGAGTAAGACTTCTCATGCGGCTGGCGATACTTCTGTTTCGTCAACGGAAACGAAAGCTCCATCACCCCCAGCTTCCATTCCCAAAAGCGCACCAAAATCAGTCCCATCAGCACCATCTCCTGTTTCTAACCCCTTCTTGGGAAAGCCTATTTCTGCCAATCTAATCCCTCCCAGCGATGTCCCAGGAGGACCGGAGGATGAAGGTGATGAGACTGACGTCTCAGCAAAAGAAACTAAAACTACACCCAAATCTGTGCTATCGCCGCCATCCCCTGTCTCTAAGCCAACACTCGGAAAGCCTATCTCTGCCGATCTGATTCCCCCCAGTGATGTTCCACTAGGTCCGGAGGACGAGGATAATGACTCTGATTTTCTGACCGAAGAAGACGACGATGAGAACGATCACAGTGAGGGTTCCCGCGAGGAAGAGAGTGAAGATCATAGTGAGGAAGAAGGGAGCGGCGAAGATGTTGCGAAGGATCTTAGCCCCACTTCGGAGGCAAATCAAACACCGGGACTTACACCTCAAAGCTCTTTTGGGGCCTACAATAATCGCAGCCCCGAGAGTAGTGTCTTTACCAAAATACAGAAGCCTGGCCAGCCAAATCAGCCCAGGTCTCTGTTCGGTGAGATTAACATTTCAGCGCCTGTGCTTCCTCCTCCAAAATTACAGTCTAGTCCTCGTTCACCAAGCCCCATACGGTCTGCTGTACCAGGCAGGATGCTACGACCTGATGCTCTCCGATCTGTCAGCGCTCCCGGGGTTGGTTCCCATATGCTAGGAACTCAGAGGTTACCTGGGCGATCAGCCGCTCCGGCTCAAAGCACTTTCCAACTCTCCCTAGAACAACGAAATGCTGAAGAAAAACGTCGAGCTGAGGCCAAAGCCAACAAAGAAGCAGCCGAGAAGAAGGCCCTCGTCGACGATGAAGATGAGGAGATGCAGAAGTTTCTTGCCTCCGAAATTACTGGGACAACAATACTCGATGAATTTGTGGCTCACACAGACTATATTGGCCCACCATCAGTGGACAGTATCCCAGCTCAAGTTGAGACTGTATACCGAGATATCAATTCCATGATAGATACTCTGGGTATCAACGCACGAGCCTTGAAGTCCTTCATCAAAGGTCATACAGAACAATACAAAGAAGGGGGCCGAAATAGGGAAGATCTGGAGAGTGACGAATCTTGGTGCTTGGTAGAAATCGAGGACCTTTCCACGATCGTGGAGGATACACTCACGCGCGAGCTCGAAAATGGTCGTGTGAAAGACGTTGCCGATAAATTGGAGACTTGCAATGAACTTCAAAAGGATCTGATCAGGCTGCGCGCAAGACTTGAAGACATAAAAAAGATTCATGCCTCGTTTTCCGATCCTGAGCATCTTGCTATCACCCGGGCGCAACCTCTGAGTGCTGAGCAAGCAGCCCAACAGCATGATCTTCGGAGAGATTTTCACAAGTTCCAAAACCTACTCTCCGAAGCTGAGGAAGGGTTGACCATTCTCAAGGCTAAGATTGTATCTCAAGCGACCTCCAATGGAAAATCTAGTGGTACCGGTCCGACCGTCGAAGCTGTGATGAGAACCATCACGAAGATGACAAGCATGGCGGAGAAGAGAAGCGGGGATATTGATGTTCTGGAAGGGGAGATGCGAAAGCTCCGATTTGACCCTGCCGCAAGCACAGGCAGTCGAGAGGGATCGCCATTTGCAACACCGCAAAAGAATAGAGCGTCCTTGCGGAACCCAGCAACATCCAGCACATACGGTCTGTTCTACACGCCAGAAAGCGTCAAAGAAGCCCCGCGGGGATTTCAGAGTTCTTTGATGTCGTCGACTAATTCTTTGAGTCGAAGCTCTCCTCCCCGAAAGAAACTGAGTGGCTACACGCCAGATGAAAAGGCTCAAATCAAGGCGAAGTTGGCGAGGAAAAAGGAAGTGACGGATCGCTTGAGAACAGCTTTACAGAAGGCTGGTACGAATGTCCGACTTATGGATGATGATGACGAAAAGTAATTGGGTTAGAAGTGGATTCCTTGTATACTGGAGTCAACGGAAGGAGGTTCAAGGCTAGCATTGATCAGTATGTTTATATATGTTGTATCAGTATTAGGCATAGTGATTAGAGCGAGGCACTGATAGTGAAAAATAATAAAATTAAGCATGCGCCATTACCATTGCTTCCAGTTATCCTGACACTGTTAAGAAACATGGCGCAGGTAGCCTTCTCAAGTCTCTTGCAATAACTGCTTGCTAAGGCACCTAGAAAGAAAGTGTATATTGAACAAATCCATACGCCATCGCATTCCCATATATCAAGGTACCATTAATCGGAGCACTTCCTGGTACCACAGACGCCGCATAAACCCACATCTCCTGCATTTAGGTAACTGTTTTCTCTACATGTTGCGCTATCGCACCTCCACGAACCAGGAACAAATTCGGGTTGGAGAACGTTCGAACAGACAATGCAAGTTAAAGCCGTCGGTTCGTTTTCAACGGAACAGACGGGACAAGATGGTACGCTGCTACTCTGCTGGTTCTCCTTGGCTTTGGAAATGCCTTCTTGTATGTCCGGTTCTGGTCCCTTCGGCGGCTTGCCCCTCATTGTGGGTTCTGACTTAGGTGGTGGTTCTGATTTTGATTCTGGTGGCAGGATTTTTATTTGCCTTTTTTTTGATTGCTGAGGAGGGTTCGACGGGTGGTCTGGCATGGTATGAGGAGGCAAGGGGGGACGAGAAAGCCTACTACTATGACCATCAATCTTCTTCATATTCTGAAGTTCCAATAACTCCAGTTTAGCATCCTCGTCATCGTTTCCCTCCTCTTCGCATACTTTCACCATACCTCGACCTTTAGCATCGAGGATTCTGTTCCCTTTGCTGTCGACAAGATCGTCGGGGTCGGGTTTGATGAACTTGTCCTCATCTTCTGTTTCGCTGTCGGTCACCAGATCTTCGTCGTTATGCTTCGATTCTTCTTCTTCCTTCTTGACTTCAAACCTTGCTAGCGCGGCAGCAGCACGAAGTTCCCTTCCTCTCGCACTACTCGCAACCCTGGGTTTACCTACTGGTCTTTTCCCCTTCTCCAACTTTGCTTTCGTTTCTTCATCCGCGCCTACTGTCATTCCGGAGCCGAACTTTGCCTTGATTTTCTGTTCCTTCCGCTCTTTCCGCTCTTTGTAGGTTATCTTCGGTTTCAACTTCCTCTTTCTACCTCGTGATCGGAATCCACCCCCGCACAGATGCTCGGGCAACGCCTCGCCTTCGTCAAGTTCCTCACGGGCAAAAGCACCATTTTCCAAGAGGATTCCTCTGCCCCAGAGCCCTTCACCAGTATATTCTCTCTCCCATAAAGCTTTCATTTCCGTGGAGAACTCGTTCCGGACAGCCCAGAAATGCTTGGAATGATTCATTTGTTTGTTATGCGCAAGTTCGTGCATCATGACCATCTGCACAAACTTAAATGGTAGCCAGCGGCCAGTCGACGGTGATTTAAGAACGAGTTGTATGACTTCTCCACCATTGAAGTTGCGACCTATATATATGTCAGTTAGCACTTGAAACGAAAATCGAAAGAAATATCTACATACCCCAGAACTCCAAGTTTGGCTCATACTCTTCAAGAGAGACGACGGCAAGGTGATGCTTGTTCATTATGGGGAGACACTGGGCGGCGATCCGCTCCAGGAAATCCTTCGCCGTGCTTTCATCTGGACCAGGGCGGGGCTTGATGAAGACTATGTTCTTGTTTGGTGTTGAGCGTTTGACATTGATCCTCTCCCAGCCTAGAGGCATGATAACACGCAGATTGTAAGGTGCAACACCGAAGACTCGTACGACGCTTCTGCTGGGGTAAAGCCTTATACCTTTTTCTTTTGAGAGATGAAGATGAGTGTTTGATAACCGGTTCACTTATCGCGCGGGAGTGGTTCATTGCTGTATTATGTAATCAACGCGATCTGTCTGAACGCGATATCACGTGGCTGGGTTATGTATAGGGGTAAGGTGGGTAAGTGCTGTAGATTCTAGGTATCATCAACATCTACCTACTATGGTACCCACAAGATATCTATACTGTCCTTAGATACTCTTCTGTGACTAGTGATTCTATTGTCAAAGGGGCAGACCTCCTCATAAATCTATTTGAATCCCCCCCCCCAATAAAATGAAATTATCAAAAGATTTTAGGTATCTACCTTTGGTAATTAAGGACAACTTAGAGTAGACTTGATAATTATGTGTCTGAGTGGAGAATTAAAAGTGCTCCTTGTTTCTCTCCTAGACCAGGAATCATCAATGCTGCGATAAGTGAAAACGGTTATCAACTACCCATATTCATCTTGCTGAACTAAAGTCTGGTGGTCAAAGACGGAGATCTCATCTGGCTAACGCTACATCTATTAAAGATAGTAGCAGGATTCTCCCCATGTTTCTGTAACAATTTCTACCCCATTGAGGAGTTGTCTCGTCCGCGAGACTTAACAACAAAGAAAATACAGAAAGGAGAACGGGAACGGGATGCCGCTTATCAAAGGGGTTCCTCCTCAGATAGTGAAAGTGAACAAACCACTCTAACTCCTCTATGCCCCTCTAGAGGTGACCCTACCTTTGTCCTAACGTCTCAGCTTAAGAAAATATAGGCTTGCGAGAACCCATGCTGAATTCACGATCCTCGTAAACAACCAAGGTATGTGTTATCAATCATGGCTTCGGTTCCAAACATGAGGAAAAGATAGAGAGCTCATAAGCTATAAAACTGTTCCCAATAGCCAGATTTTGTCTTTCGGACAGCCATTCTGATAGGTTAGCAGGCAGACAGAAAATAGAGCCAGGACGACTAATCCCTTCGGCCATTCAGAACACGAACATTCAGCCGGGGAAAGAAGCATCGTACGAGAATATAAAGGGACAGATAGGGCAGGGAAATAATAAGATCCTTTATACCTTTTTTTGCGAGAGTTCTGACGTTGGTGATACTGAGGATAATGATGGAGGGACCCGGAGTTCGAGGCTCGTCTATTATACGCTTCTCATTGGAAGTCTCGGGACATGGGTCGGGAAAAGTGCCGGAAAGCTTAAATTCAGACACATGGATATACAAAACCGACCAAACAAGTGACAAGTGCAACTAAAATTACCCATTTTAAATGCGTACGAGCAAGTGCACGTACAGTCTCAGGTCGGATAAGAGTGCCGGTAGGGGAGCTAGGCGGTTTTTACGGGATATGGAAATAATCTACCCCGCTTATTACCCCGATATTTATCGTCCCATTTAGTCCTCCCCTCGTTTCTTGACCACGAAGCTTTTGAAGTATCTGACTCTCGATTGATTCTCTTGTTGCTGTTTTGTCTCGCTTTATGCCATTTATACATTCCTATATATACATCATTCACCATGGCTCCAACAAACACGCCCAAGAAGCCCTTCCACGTTGCCGTTTGTGGTAAGTATCTCATCCGAGCTCGTGCAGCTACATCAACTGATGCACATTGCTGGTGGTGGAATTGGAGGCCTATGCATGACAATCGGACTTTTACACCAAAACATCCCGTGCACTCTCTATGAAAGCGCTCCCGCATTTGCAGAGATCGGGGCCGGTGTAGCTTTTGGACCCAATGCTACTGCAGCCATGTCCTTGATCGATCCAGACATCAAGACTGGCTACGACAGACAGGAGACGGTGAACGCTTTCCCAGAGAAGCTCCACTCGTGGTTCGATTTCAGGATTGGGATGAGGGAGGATGCCTGGAAGGAGATGAAAGCCCCAGCCCCGGAAGGGCAGAAGATAGCTCAGGTGTGGACCGGAGGCTCGGGCCAATCTTCTGTTCACCGAGCTCACTTCCTGGACGAGTTAATCAAGCTGGTACCGGATGGAGTGGCCAAGTTTGGCAAGAGAGTGGAGAACGTGGAGAAGGTTGACGGCAAGATGCGTCTAACATTCCACGACGGCTCAACGGCGGAGGCAGATGCAGTCATCGGCTGTGATGGGGTAAAATCACGGACGAGGCAAATATTGCTGGGAGAGAATCACCCGGCCGCTCATCCCGTTTTTACAGGAAAATATGCATACCGAGGTCTAATTCCAATGGAGAAGGCAGTGAAAGTAATCGGGGACGAATTAGCACGAAATAGCCAGATGTATATGGGGCATCATGGTCACCTGCTAACATTTCCAATCGAGAAAGGGCAAACTATGAATGTTGTCGCATTTCAGACGAAGAAGGACGGAAAGTGGGAAAACGAGAAGTGGGTGCTACCCATGAAGAAGGAAGATATGTTCCGTGATTTTGACGGATGGGGCGACAGCGTCAGGGAACTCCTTTCTGTGAGGTCCCGATTGCCTAAAACCACAGTAATCTTTTGCTCACATCTCATTACAGTTGATGGAAAAGCCTGACGTATGGGCATTGTTTGACCATCCTCCAGCCCCAACATATTACAAGGGCAATCTTGCGTTATTGGGAGATGCTGCTCATGCCTCCACACCTCACCAAGGCGCTGGTGCTGGTCAAGCTATTGAAGATGCATTCATTCTATCCAATCTACTTGGAAAAGTAGATTCGGTAGAGGGTATCGAGAGCGCGTTCAAAGCCTACGATGCGGTAAGGCGCCCCAGAAGTCAGCGAGTCGTGACGACGAGCCGTGAAGCTGCAAGTATCTACGAATTCGAGGATGAAAAGCTTGGGGGAGATGTGGATTTGATTCGACGGACCTTGGAAAAACGATACGATTGGATCTGGAATGAAGATCTTCACCAGCAGCTGAAGAAAGCTGAAGAATTTATGGAATTGAAGGCCAACTTGTAGGTCAGCTTCTAATTCTGCTACCTCAGCAACCTCCTGGCTGCTGGTTGACTATATCTCACTATGGATGTACAGCCATAACACTAGGCCATCAGAGTAACCTAGCGAAAACCAAGCGCCCCTATCTTCTTCTGCCCGCACCTCCAGTTGCTTCACCCCTATCTGCTAACGTGACTACCTCTCCGATACCCGCCGCTTCTTGTTCATCTTCAAGTGCAGTAATCTCCTCACGGCAATCCCACCACTTTTCCTCACTCATCTCGAAAGCCCTGGTCTTTATCTCCTTTACAGTCAGGGTCTCTGGCTGTATACCTTTCCATCTCAGACTAGTCATCAACAGCTCTTGCCACTCATTACCCGTCCGCTGGAAGAATTCTCTCCGAGACTCGAATGGTCGAGGATGTGGTAGGTCGTCAGTTGTAGTTGCACTTGCCGTTTCTTCCGGAGTGTCATCGAATACAGTAGAAGGTGCGGCCGATGTTGCATCGCCGTCCAATTCTCCAGCTGCTTCGGCCTTCTCCTTGCGTTTAGACTTCTTGGCATTTTCCGGGTACGATGGCTTTTCATCAACCATTTTAACGTCCCCATCTTCATCCTCAAACTCATCGTCTTCGTCAGACTCATCACTTCCTCCCTCATCCTCACTGTCTTCATCATCACTGCCAAGCCAATTTTCGGGCTCCCGGCGGAAAATCTGCTTCACTCCGTCCATCTTACCCAAGTCGATTGCATACATCTCATCGAATGTATATTCGCGATCCCCATTTTCGTAGGTACCTCCATAGATAAAGAGAATATCATCCTGCACCGTTAACTGGGCATTGAATCTCGGATGGGGGAATTCCATTAGAACTTCCTTGGCTGGTAATTCCTCCTCAGCGGGAACGTCATTTGGTTTCTCAACGTCAATATCATCCATATCTGCTAGAGATTTTCCTACTTCGAGTGCCGCCAGATTACGTAGAAGCTCGTCCTCGTTCGCCTGGCCTCTTCCGCGACGACCTCCTCGTTCGTTCGCTTGAGGTTTACGTTGGCTGGTGCGAGGCTTTCGCAATGAAAGTGGGAAATATCGATTCCGCTCGATGTTCCAGGCAAATAAACCATTGAAGAACTCGCTCTTTATTCCTTCCTCACTCTCCTCCACGTCGTACACGCCGCCGAATAATATGCCTCGACCCCTATGATACGCCATCGTAGCTCCTGCGCGGGCAGGATTCGGGGAGTTTGCAGGTCTCTTCCTGCGTTCCCATCTCACAGCTGGCGGTTTATTGGGTGGTGCATCTGCATCGGGCTGGACGATGCGTAGGAAGAAGCAATCTTGGTGGACCATGGGCTTCAGAACATTTCTCTGAGACTGCCCGCCACCCTTTGTTTGCTTGCCCGTCACTGTGGCTTTAACTCGTGAGTATCCGCCATATAGCACAGCCCCAGACTCATGTGGCAGAAAAGAAAACGAGGAGCGAGCGTCTGGCTTTAATGTTGCCAGGGGTAGTACAGGATTGTGCCAAACGAAATTCTGGGTATCATAGATCCAGAGATCTGCTAGATATTTCGTCTGCTGTGATGTATCCTGGAAGCCACCAAACAGAATGATATAGTTCTTGTAATATGTCATTCGGTGGCCACTTCTTGCTGGAGGAGTTTTGCCCTTGGTCTCTATTCGAGTCCATTCTCTAGTGGAAGGTTCGAAGCGCCAGAACTGTTTCATGCGTCAGTATTTTCAATATATATACCTGTTTGGACGAGCTCACATCATTGTAGTGGTAAAAGGTGCCTTGCTTTGGGCTAGAAAACTCGCCGCCAAAAAGATAGATTCCTCCTGCGTTGCCTCCACGACACCATGCATGCCCTGATCTGGGCAATGGGGTATTTGGCGACGTAATGAGGCGCCATTCGTCTCGATTGATGAGATAGACATAAAGGTCATTGAAGAAAGTCGCAATAGCCCCGTCATAGTATTCGCCCCCAAACAAGAAAATCTCGTTGGTGTTTGACGGTGATGCTATGATCGTGGAAGACGCTCGAGCTCTAGGCGGATCGCAAGGCGTTTCTGTAACTTTGAGAAACTGTTCCTGTTTCTTGGCGTACTCGGCGAGGACCTCATCCAGGTCAACATCCTCAGCATCGCTACTGTTGTTGAAGTCAGCTGCGGAGTCCCTTGGCTGAAGACATTGCGAGTCTTGAAAAGGGGTCCTTGCAGACCCCGCTCAAGACAAGCTCTGAAGTACCAATCTGAGGAGATGTTTCCTCTAGCAAAACTACGTACTCGTTGGCCTTTGCATTTCTAGCCTTCTCCTTTTTCTCTCCCTTTTTCTCTTGCTTTAGTTTCTTCTCCGCTAACTTCGCTTTCTTGCTCTCGCTCTTAGATTTCTTATCCTTCGCCATCTTCGAAAATCCGGGCCAGACTTATGACTTTACTAGCTCTAGCAACGGATTGACAATGGATGGAAGCAATGTGGGCCCAGACTACCTAGGTATGGGTCCCCGGAGTAGAGTGTGAAATCTTCGAAGCTTTCCAAAGACAGAAAAGAGCTTTTCTCTACTTTTCAAACGTTAAAGCGTCAACTGCAAGTCTGCAACTGCAACTTGAGCCTGAGGCACAATCAAACCTCTCTTTGAATCTGATTCAACGGTTTCTGAGCCTCAAAGCGAGCATACTTCACCAGTATTGTCGTAGAAGGTCCTAGTCATCGAGTAGGAGGTTTGCTGAATAGATAGATGCTGATGTCCCGATAGCACATGGATTGTGCGCTTCGCTTCGTTTTCCTTTTCCACGCCTTCTCCACCCCCTGCGAGGCCCGCTACCTGACTAAGATACCTGTCGTCTTTCGACCAGCGATCAAACCTCCTTATTTTACACCGAAGAAAATACGATCATTGAAGATGTTTAATCTGTTAGATCTCGTCAATAGGAAATGCTACATTAAATCATTTTCATTTTGCAATTCCTGCAATTCCATACCCAAACGGACTAACCCCTTTCAGTTCGCTTCGCTAAGCTTCCACTCTCCAACGTCCTTCATCCCTTTTCCCTCTCTCCAAGCGAACTTCATATGTCTTCTACCACTTAAGTCTGCGGAGTCTTCGTCTCAACCAACAAACTGAAAGCCCTGCGTACTAGTTACCGTCTGCAAAATGGCCTTTGCCCGGCTGCTGGAGAAGAAGACACACCTCATCCCTGGTAACATGCTGTCTTGTTTCGTTTGTTTCAATCCAGGGGAACAGCATTGGCTGAAGCGCCCTCTAGATACGGGCGTGGAGCTTACTTTCCTCTGTAAATTTATTGCCTTTTTCCCTACAGGACTATACAGCTATAGTACTGCCAGGTCCTGTCTCTCTGTTTTGCTTCTCTTTCTACTCTATCCGATATATTCCCATATAAGCATTCACGTCAGCACGAAGAACAGTCCGCTGACTCATTCTTTCTAAAGGAAAGCTCAAAGTCTCTGAGCTGTTATTTGAGGTCCCAAAGGACTATTCAAATACATCGTTAGGAAGCCTACAGCTCTTTGCTCGGTCGGTTACAAGACACGAGACACCAGCTGCAAGTCTCACCGATGAGGAACGTCGCAGCAAATCTCAGAAACCATGGTTTGTTTATCTACAAGGCGGGCCAGGTAAGTGAACCCGATTCTTATAATGGAACCGAGGACTCAAACCCAATGTCAGGTTGTCCCTGCGCTCCTCCTCAGGATTCATACATCACCAACGCGGTGCTTGATAAGGGCTACCAAATGCTGTATCTGGACCAGAGAGGAACCGGACTCAGCACGCCCATCTCAGCTGCAACTCTAGCCCTGCAAGGAGACATTAACAGGCAGGCCGACTACCTTAAGCTCTTCAGGGCAGATAGCATTGTCAAAGACTGTGAGGCAATCCGGAAGACACTCACAGAAGACTATCCTACCGAGCTCAAGAAATGGTCGATCTTCGGTCAATCCTTTGGAGGATTTTGTGTACTCACATACCTCTCAAAGTTCCCGCAGGGTCTCCGTGAAGCATTTATAACTGGCGGATTGGCACCCATTGGCCGATCTGCAGACCAAGTTTACCAGGCTACCTACCAAAAAGTTATGGAACGCAACAAAGCTTATTACTCAAAGTACCCTGAGGATGTCGACACTGTGCATAGTAAGTCTCACGCAGTATTTCATTTGATCAGAGCTATCCCATCCCCTCTTCTACCGTACCAAATCAGGGGTTGAAAGTCAACCCTCGAAGTATGCCATTGAAGTTATATAATGTAACAATTACTGTATTCTCTACACCTCTCCATCAGCGAAAAGAATGCAGGAATTCCAAAGTTGACAAGTCAACAGGTCTAGCCCTCCACATCAAGAGCAAAGGTGGTTTGCCCCTTCCATCCGGCGGTGTCCTAACCGTCCGCGGACTCCTACTCCTCGGACGACACTTCGGATTCCACGGCGGTCTCGACACAGTTCACAACCTCATCCTCCGCATGAAGACTGACCTCTCCCAATTCCAATTCATAACCCGTCCCACGCTCATCGCTGTCGAAAACGCCCTCACCTTTGACGACATCGTGCTGTATGCCGTTCTCCACGAGGCCATCTACTGCGAGGGCGCCGCCTCCAACTGGGCCGCGGAGCGCGTGGGAAAGACGCTCCGCGAATTCCAGTGGCTGACCGGCACGCCGCAATCTGCCGCCGCCGTAAGGGAGCAGCCGCTGTATTTCGCCGGCGAGATGATCTACCCTTTCATGTTCGACAATTCGCCGGAGCTGGAGAAGCTGGGTGCAGTGGCGGACGTTATTGCCAAATACACTGACTGGCCGAAGCTATATGATGAGTGGCAGCTGGCGCGTAACGAGGTTCCGCTGTACGCGGCGACTTTCGTGGATGATATGGTAGGTGACTCCTGGCTAGAAAGTCCTCGATTTCTTCATACACACGAGCGTGAATCTGCTGTTTTCATCTTATCTCATCTCATCCTGCATTCTTCTCTTGTATCATTGGGAGCTTGATACTGACCGGCGCGAGCAGTACGTGGATTTCGGACTGGCGCAGGATACGGCCAAGTTGGTCAAGAACTGCAAACAGTATATCACGAACGGGATGTACCATAATGCGATCCGGGCCAAGACGGATGAGATTATGGAGAAGCTGTTCGCACTGAGAGATGACTCTATTGATTGAGTGATGGGAGAGTGGATGACAGGGAAAGCTCTAGGGAGTGAGGAGTTGAAGCGATTGACGCGCAGGGAATCAAGGTCTTAATTATGGACCAGGACGGGACAATAGCTAGCACAGTGAAGAGCTGATTATTATTTTGGTAGGGAATCTTCTGAATGGACAATCCATGCAGACCTATCCACAGGCAATTGAGAGCCTACTTCACTTGAAGATAAACCCTTTTGCTCATTCTCAACCTTGCACCCTCTCCCTTTTGGACGCCACTTTATATACCCAAGAGAGAAACAGAATTGCATAGGGTATAACGCGCCCCTCCAAATATATTCCCAAGTTCCAATATACTGAAACGCCAACACGAATTTCCTATCAAATAGCTCTTCAAGCGCCATACCTCGTAAAGCACTCCTCCTGATGCACGCCCAAACACTCCAAAGCACAGACCCGTCCTCCACACCTCATACACCTAACCCTGCCCCAATAACCACAGACATCACAGAAATGCCTAACCGGCTTCCTCATATCATCAGGGATCCAGGGGCCCCTCGCATCATTATAACTCAACGGCGGCGCGGCCAGCAGCTTCTCCATCTCTTCCTGGGTCGGCAGCTGCGGGATCCAAGACACCAGGAGCGGGTTGTTGTCTTCTGGATGCGGTGGCGGCTCAGCGGTGCTGTTCAGGGAGAGGATAGGTGCATCCTTCATGGGCGTGTCGTGGCTAATCTCGGATTTTATGGGGGCGGGCGTCGCTGCTTCCGAGGCGGCTGAGACTCTCCTGAGAGGTGTGGGAGCTGGGCCGGCACCAGCGTCTTTCTTTCTGTGAGTGCGTTTTGAAGTGCTGGGAGGATGGGGCGTCGAGGGGGTTGCTGGGGATGGGACGACGGGTTGGTTGGAGGGAGGGAGAGAGGAGTTGATCACCGAAAGCGCTTCATAGTCAGCGAGGTGGTTGGCGAACGTCTTCTGTGATTGTAGGATCTTGCGGACTGCAGGCGTGACTTTGCCATGGCTCACTATGTTCCTCTATCTTAGCACATACCATCTTCTTCCATCGAGAAGGCCGGGGCGGGTGGAGGACGAGAGAGGGAAAGGGAGAGAGAAATCCTTCACGTACCTCGCCCCGCATTATCACGATGCCGCACAGGCACGGGAATCGATACATCGCGGTGGTTCTCGCGGTCCAGAGCAGTCAGCTCGCGGAGGATCTTGGCATCTTGCTTCGCCGTCGTCTCGTGCGGGCTGGCGGCGATTTGGGCGCGCATGCGTTTACTACGAGAAGGCTGCAAGGCTGACATGGAGGCGTTGGCTCCGACATCTGGGACATATGCCCAGCCCGGCGCGGCGGGCACCGTGGAATTTGCGACTTCCAGCACGCCGAAGTTGAGCATGGTGTTGGGAGCGTGATGGGGGAGGTGATGCGGTGGAAGGAGATGTGGTAGCAAGCCCGCGTCGTCTATAAATTCCAGTGTCCGCGAGGCTAAATATGTTCGCCACGGGATTGAACGAGGTGAGAGGAAAACAGGGTAGTTTGAACGTTTTCAAAATTACAGGTATTTGCTGCATCCTATCTCCCCTCCAGCAGCTAGGTATGCAGTCAAATCAATTCAAATCGGTCCCCTGTTGTACTTTTTTACACTTCGACCCCGCAAAACCTCTTCATGGCTTAATATTGAGCCTCCAACCGCTGCAACACAAAATATCCCTTCAACACTCGACAGCTGCCCTCCGCGAATTTTCTACGCTGTACATATCCTCCCGTTATCATTCAACTGCCTCATATCCTCATCATTCATTATTTCTTTCTCTCCAACTCAGACACTTTCTCCTCCAATGACTGGACGTATGTGTGGACGCGCTGCACGGATGCTTGTAGGCTCTGTATATAGTACAGTTAGTCCAAGATCAAATCCACCGAACGCAACGACAACGCGGGGCCATTATGCCTGCATTATCTCCTATCGCAGGAGTCGGTAGCGGATAGGGCTAGAGGTAAAAGACGTACGTAGATATCTTCGGTCAAGAGCTCATTCGAAACCCTGTACTCCTCGAGAATATAATAGTAGACACCCGCTCCCGCGAGGGTGCTGCCCAGAAAGAAACCGAGTATTCTGATAGGAGAAAAGAGGGGTTAGCTTGTATGATCAATTGGCCTTTGCTGTACAGTTTCCCACGTGAGGGAACCTGAGAAGAAAATGGCACGTGGGGCTGCCGCGCTGTCCACGGGAACGTGGGAGCCGGAGCTGGATTAAACTGACCCTCCTCTGAAGGCTCCAACGGGCTTTCGGGCTGGTAAAGGTGCGGCGTCTGCGAGTCGTCGTGAGGAGGTTTGGAAGCTCCGTGTTGCCCGGAGAGGTGCGGAAGGTGAGCAGACGGCGCGCATCGCCGGGGAGAGTAAGCGGGAAGCCATTGTTGTATGAGTAAATGCAGAGTTTCTCCGGAGAGACCAAGTATTTCTTGGTTCAATTGATTGCTTTCTAGAGGCCTGTTGCTGGTAGCGGAGTGCCGAGTGGTGGTTGTCTGGTCACTGGTGTTGGGCACAACTGTGATGTCGGCAGAAGAGCTTCGGAAGCCTCGTTTGTTCCAGAAACTTTTGGCCTCCTTTCTCAGGCAGAAACTGTGGAACAATATAGAGCGGACAGAGCCACTTACTCAGGCACCGTTCATTTCAAGCAAAGCTTTCAATCTCATATCGGCTTCGGAGCTTTACTGTACTGTAATAATTAGTGGCATTACTATAGCAGTGGGAGAGCGCATGTGACCAAACAGCAATTGCTTCACTATCTTGCTCATAGAGTTCCTGTAGTGTCCGCTGACTTCGATTTTCGATTCACAGATGCACAGATGCACAGAATTACACAAGCAGGAATTTCTCAAAATCGAGTGCTAAGTACAGAAAGAAACCCAGAAAACCCGGTCATATCCCATTATCCGATGACCCAAATGCTCAAAAGTCATTTAACCTCGTGTCTGTCAATGCAGGAGGTAGATAATACAGGTTACAACAAGCAGATTTTGCTCCAATTTGACCCCCTTTTACAGTTCGTCATGGGTCCCCTCGCCGGCAGTAGCAGTCTTGACAGCCTCGGTAGCTTCGCTGGCAGTCTCCTCCGCCTTCTCAGTTGCGCTCTCGGTTGCAGCTTCGGCTTGCTTGGCCGCTGATTCGGCTGGCTTCGAGCCGGCTTCCTCGTCGTTGACGGCCTCAACTCCGTGTGCACCATTCTCCTTGATGAATTTGATCAGATCCTCGATGCTACGGCTGCCACTGTAGGTGACTGGGTTGCTCTTGTCGCCAGCCTTGTAAAGCTTGATGGTTGGGAAGCCCTGGATCTCGTCGGGAACATCGTTGGCAGTAGCATCGACCTTGGCAACAGTGACCTTGTCGGAAAGGCCTTGCTTAACGTACAGCCCGGCAAGGATGTCATACTTGGGAGCCAGAGCCTTGCAGTGACCGCACCATGGAGCATAGAACTCAATCAAAACATCCTTAGAATCGTCCAAGACAATCTGGTCATAGGTCTTTGCTACAACGACCTGGACTGGGCCCTCCTGGGTCTCTGGAATAGGTTCGGACTTAATGCTTGGCTCGATCTTGCCGTCGACAAAGTCCTGGACGAACTTGGAAATAGACTCGGTGGTGATCTCTGAATCTTGGTCGAACGGGTACTTCTTGTTGTTAACAGTGTCCTGAATAGCGAACGCAGGCCATTGTTCTGGCTTAAGGTTCAGGTTGCCAGCGTGAGCGCCGAAGGCCTTGGCATCAATGGTGGCAAAGCTGACAGCACCTCTGTGCTTCTCAGCCACAGGCTTAAGAGCAGCTGACAGACTGGCGCGCTCCTCCTCCGTCTCGGAGAAGATGTATGCCAAGGGAATGCCGGTGGACATGTAGCCAGCGTATGTCTCCGGGCCAACTTCTCCAACCAAAGGAATGGATGCAGTTGTGGCGAACTTCTCGATGGCCTCTGCCTCGAATGGCTCAGGTAAAACGCTCTTGCCCTCATCGAATGACTTGTAAAGAACAACGGATGGGAAAGAAACACCCTCGGCCTTGGCCAAGTCAGCATCGCTGCTTGCGCCGAAAAGGTAGTTATCCCGGAGCTTCTCGGCAACGGTTGTGAAAGTCGTGTTTGAGGCTTTGTCGTCGGCCGCAAAGTAGCCAACCAAGACGACCTTGTCGGCGGTCTTGAAATCCTCAAGCGTGTCCTTTGTGAGGAGAGAAACGGCAGGGAGAGATTGCTTCGTCATATATGAGACAATCCTGCAAATCAAAGCGTGAGTAACAGGGCAGCTGTATAGAAAAGAACAGGACGGGTTGCGACTTACGCTGGGGCTTTTCTTGCGCCTGTGTATGGGGAAATGTTGTCGGAGCCACGGAAGACCTTGAGAGTTGGGTAACCCTCAACACCATAGGTTTGGCAGAGATCGGCCTCTTCAGTGCAATCAATCTTAGCCAGCTTGATGTTCTTCTCCTTCAATGTTGTCGCAGCATCCTCATACTCTGGTGCGAGCGCTTTGCAGTGGCCACTATGGCAGGACATCAGCAATCCGCATATTGGACAGGTATCTCTGGAAGAGGGCAAACTCACCACCATGGCTGAATTACAAGGCTGCGGTTAGTAATGTCAATGAACCCGCGGAATCAAGATGAACTTACTGCAAAGACTGCGCGGGGGCATTAGCAAAGATGCAATAGATAGGTTCGTAGGGACTTACATTCTGCGAGGACTAGGTCGTTCTCGTTGATGAAATCTGAGAAGGTGTCCTTTGTGAGGGAGGACACGTCTGAAGCGGAAGCAACGGCAGCGCCCACGAGGCCGAGCGCGACAGTTGTAAATGTACGCATCTTGGCTGCACAGTGCAAGGAATGGAATGAGTGGAATGGACAGGCCTGCTGTTCGCGTGGATGGTTAGCAGGTAAGATATAGGCTGCCCAGCTCGTGTAAGGTGGCCGGAAGAGGGGAGCGAGTTATGCAGTGGAAAGAGAGTCTGGCAACACACCTCTTGAGCAACAGCAATATGTAGTTATTATAATAGAAGGGAGAAAGGGAGGGATGGGGAGGAAGGAGAGGGAGGTGAAGGTTGGAAAGGAGGTTTGAAACAATGTCAGTTGGTAACAGTTCGGAGAGGAGATCTGGTCCCTCGGCGCCTCGCTAACAAATAAATAGAACGCGGTAGATATAAATAAATACTTATCGACGGAGGAGTACACTCAACACACGCCGCACGCGCAGGGCTGTGAGTGGCTTTGCATGTCTTTTCTTATATGGATTTACATACACATCGGGCAGTGCTTACAATAGTTTCCTTTTTCTATCCTCTCTTTGGCCATGTTGCTTGCTTACAGAGAGGATTATTAAGTCCATATATCCTTTGCCTCCCAAACGGTATAAGTTCTGCCCATTCCGCGCTCCGCCGCGCCGCGCCGGGCACTATTGGCACACACAAGAGAACAGCGTGTCTTTTACCCGTCGTAGACTCGTAGGTCTCAGAATCCAGGGGTCAGGAGTCAGTACTTGTATTGAAAGAGGGGCCGGGGGCCCGACGACGAGCAAAGCGACGAGAAGAGCGACGAGAAAAGGGACAGCTCCTGGGTATCACTGCTTAGAACAAAAAGGCAACCGGATAAATCATCAATAAGAGCCAGCTTCATATCGCATCTCGGTACCGTACCGCCGCTACGACACAGTATATCTTCAACCAGGTACTTACCTCAACAGAGCAGAGCTTGAGAGTAAAGATCTCTACTCAAGAGCCAAGGTCCTGCCACTCTAAATATTGTACCTGCAGGACAGTTTCACCTCGGTGCAGTCTGTCTTTCAAGAGCTTCTCCGCACAGTTATGCACGTTAAGAAACACACCCGCGTTGTGAGGTTGAAGGCTTCCCTTCTTTGATTTATATTATTCTTTTGTTTATATCTACCTTATTCGCGCTTTATTAGTCCTTTTAACTCTAAGACCTCTGTATACCTTATTCTATCATAGCTAAGGTACATATATGGATTGTATTTGTAGTATGGTACTTTGAACTATAAGTGTGTTCACGCGAACAGTACCAGAGACCCTTTGGTCTTCAGAGACTTCCTATGTGCGTGAAACGATGCCTCGAGGCCTCAGGCCTTGCCAAAGGGGAGGCCAGGGAGGCATATCAACCTTCATTCGCGCTTTCTTCGTCTTTTTCTTGAATCGACATCATCAGTTCGGGTATGGGGCAAGCTGGTTCTAGTTCTATCTGGCCTATGCCACCCTAACCATGCATCTTTCTCGAAGGATCTTTGACCAAAGGCCTTTGGTGCCAAAGGAAAAGAAAGAGAGAAAGCAAGAGGAGAGCGAGGAAGATTGTGAGTAAGGGGACGAAGAGAAAAGACGGAAAAGGAGAAATAAACAGCCTCGCATCCCCAGCTCAGAGCTTAGATCTCCTTACTTTCGTTTTCTACTTTCGTTTCCGGTCCTATTTTCGTTTCCGCATCAACACGAGAGCACATCGATTGATCATCGCAAGTCCTTCGTCTTTCTCCTTCCCGCTTCTGTCCCCTTTAGAACAAACCATACAGCCGAACAAACTTCTGGCAACGTTATCACTCTCGATTTCCAATGGAGCTAGATCTACAGCAAACTCCACCACATTCTCTACATCTGTGACTCCCCATATCTGCTCCTCTATCAACCCACCCGCCATCCCTCCATAGCATCTCGGAGCATGGAGGATGGAGTCTATACAGAATGACAAAGGCTCTAGGAGCCATAGAAACCCCCCTGCCGACAGCGAACGAGGGCCATCTCGAGACGCAACTACGATCAGAGGCTCCGCTGACAGGGACCTAGAACACTCGACCTTCCCTAAAGCCTTCGAAAGCATGCTGAGGACAACAACGGAGACAGGTGACATCGGCGTCTTCTCATCCAACCCATCCAGCGTTTCTCAACGATTTAATGGCCGCCAAAGGACTGGTGGAGGTTACAAGAGCATTGAGTCGTACAAGCCATCGCAGCTTCAGCCCGACGGAGTCCCAGTCAGGGATGATAGAAGGCTTCTTCCTTCATATGCCAAGGATGTTGCATCGGGGGTCATCTCTATGTATGAGTCTCCCAGCCAGAAGTCTGCCAGCCGAGTCTTTGATGATGACCCCTACCCGCGTTCCCATTCTATGACCCAGGCCTTCTCGTCTTACCCAGTGTCCGATCAACGACCATATGGCAGTCTCAGAAGTCAGCCAGATGGAAATGCGTATTCACAGCGCCCTAGGTCCCCATTTGCATATCCTACACGCTTGAGACGACCCGGCTTCCGGCCATCTTCCCCTGCATTAGCCGACGGTGGTGGCATTGACTACAGCCGGCGTGCTGAGATTGAGCGAGTTCCATATGTAAGTATCTTCAATTCGGCGCTGTTAAATTCTTGTACCTTGACGAGAAAGCATCACTGATCTCTAGATCTTAGGGACCTCATCACAGCACGCTGCCTCCATCATCCTCTTATGCCCAAGGACGTAGACCTCCATCGATATCACTTGGTCCTAATACAGACAGATCGAGGCCCCCGTTGTTGGGTCAGTCATCTCCACCACGACAATCACCCCCTAGCCCGCACATGGGACAGGGCGGTAGATCCACGATGAATGACTGGCAACGTAAAAATGGCTCATTTAATATGACCACTTCACCTGCCGCCAGTACCTCAAGCTTAACATCGGCCTTCCAGACTGCACCAGCAGGGTCATCCACGACTACACCAGAAAGAAATTATCCGCGATCTCCGTTATACTACGATTATACAGAAGACTTTGATGTCGACGAGTATAGTAAACCAGAGATACCGGAGCCACCATCACAGTTCCAAGTTGAAAAGACAATTCCAGGATATTGGGCCCTTGGTGTAGACTACCCGTCAACTGGTGATTTCAATGGCGGTGGAGCGAAACGACAATTTGACAGAGCCCTCGAAACTCCCCCCTCTAGATCAGTCCTCCCAAGTTCAGTCAAGGACTTCCAATATCCAAGCACACCTCGGCCAGATAGAACCACATTCAGGCCAGATCAGGAAGTACAAAGTCTTGCCACGACGAATCTCAAGGAGAATACTCCGGACAAAATTGTTGATATTCCAAGAGACAAGAAAGTCATCCGACTATCGGGACTTGGCCGCGGAGCTCGAGAGCTGAGCAGCCACGTCGAAGAAGCTTTCGGGCTTCCTCCATCGCAGTCATTCGAGCTTTTGGTTCGCAACGAATCTGCAAGCAGGGATGGCAGCGAGGAAGATATCAGTACTTCTACTTTCAATGGGTCCACTTTTGTCCCTGAAGATAGCTACATCGAGACGCAGTCTCGCAGAACTTCTACTTATAGTCTGAATACTAACTTGCTCAGGTTCCCGCAACCCCCTAATGTTTTGAGCCCCGCGGGCACTGGTTATGTTGTGAATCTCGGAGATGGAGGTGCTCTAAGGCCTGGCAGGTTTGACAGTGCCGTGGGTAGTAATGACTTGAGGTCCCAAAAGATATTCCAGAAAGACATATCCACTGTGAACGGTGGTATAAAGACCTCGGGATCGCGGCATGAGATAAGAAATGCAACGATTCTCAGTACTGCACATCTGTCTTCTCCAGGAACCGATCAGATGAGACCAAGTCATCCCTGCTCAACCGATGCAGGTCTCACAGGTCCAAGGGATGCTGCGCCCACACTGGCTTGTTCTACGTATGCTGTCTCTCGCAACAGCTCTTCAACCTCTCCTGTTTCCCGTGAGAAGTCGCTGATTCGCGAAGAATCCTCACAACGTCTCATCAGCTCCCCATCGACTTTGTTCAACCAAGTGGGCAGCGATAATAGCCACTACGCCACGTCCGACCCGAAGCACGGTAATCTTCGCAGCAGAGCAGAATGGCCAGATTTGGCATCTTCACCAGGCCGGGATGAGGAGATAATCAAAAAATCCAGTCGCCAGATCCCCAGGAAGCTCATGTCTCGCTCGGAGTCTCCAATGTTATCACCGGATCCAATTTTGCCCGCAAGCCAGCTGAGATTGAAGAATAGCGCTCCACAGCTTATGAAGGCACTTCCACCGCTTCCATACGACCAGCCAAACCTGGGAATATCAACTCCAATTCGAACAGGTTCTTTCATTGCCGAATTACCCTGTCCGTCTTCCCTTCTCGAATTGGAAGACAGACAAACCCCCAACCAAGAACCAGAAGGAGCAGTGCAGCATTACGAACATCCGGAGCCAAGAGAAGATATCTCGACGCAGTCTACTCCTGTTGAACTGGATTCAGCACCTGTTGAGGCCGCTATTGTGGAGGATAAGGAAGGGAAGGCATCCGAGACTCCGTCCCCCCAGAAATTCAAGCTCAAATCGCGTAGCTCAACGGCACCGCGTCCTACGTCTCCACAGTACTCTCGCCCCAGTAATCTTGAAGGAAGCTGCTCTAGGTCAAATCAGGATTTGGATGCTGACTTGCCAGCGAATATGCAAGATGAGATTCGCATCAAACCCAACCCACCGAGGTTTAAGCTGAAGATTACGCGGGCCTCCAACTCAACTCTGGGGACAGTGCGAGTGAACAAGGAATCGGCAGGTTCGAAAGCCTTCTCTGGCTTACATTTCCGACATCCAAAAGACCTGTTCACCCCCAGTTCTGGTATTGATATCTTCCGACAAGTCGGCAAGCATCTCCATTCACGAAATGCAAGTACAAGTAGCAGTCCCTCCTCGGTCGAGGGGAGACAGGCACCAATACTCACACCTATCTCGGACCAGTTGTTAACTAAGAATCAGCCTCCGAACCTGGAGTCGAACACTCTACAACCTTCAACAACATCAACAAATCGAAAAAGTCCCTCTGACGTTCGGAGCTTCTTCTCAGATGGTAGCTCACATAACCATGGCAAGCTCAGCCTGCGAAAGAGATTGTCAAAATTGAGGGCTCGAGTAGCCGTGCCTTACGCAACCAGAAAAGGGGCGTTTTTTTACGATGGCGCACATTCCAGTGATGACATTGATAGGAGGGATAGAAATGGCGCACAGGATCCAGCTCTATCAGGCGCCGGATCTGTCAACAGTATTCAGGCAGTCGAAACGAGTACCGAAGGTAGGCATATGCGCCGACTAACTCACAGAATGCATAAACATAAATTGAGAGAAAAGGTCTCAGGTTGGGTCAGAGAAGCAAGATCGAAGATCGTAGCTCGTATGAGGCCCCGAGATGTCGGCAGGGAAGGTGATGACCATGTCCATTTGATAGCTGAGGTTTAGGTGGGCAGTTTAAGTTAGCCAGCAGGTCTGGTCCTGGGTACAGAGATACTAGGAGCTCGCAAGTCTGGACATCAATGTGTTTCTAGTAGCTTTGCTTCGACCCAAATTACCCTATTTCATAATATGCTCGGTGTAACAAGGAATTTATGAGTGAAGACTAATCGATATCTTCTGTGGTGTTTGCCATCTTCATAAGTCCCGCTTGTTATAGTATCATAGAAAGAGGATTTCCAAATACATCACCCTAAGTAAAATAGATATAAAAGATAAGTAAACCACCAACAAATAGAACCTGACTGTGTCGATATAAATTTGTATCCACCCCCTCCCCCTCACCCTAATCGCCAAAAATGGGATATGATCTCAAAATTGGCTCAGCGCTGATATCGCACATCCTAGTATCTGGTTGTGGGAGGAAGAAGGGATTTTTTGGGGGGGGAGGGGGGGTATCAGTGGGATAGATATATAGTAAATTAGCAAATAAATGGATGGCATGAAGAAGAAATATTATAATCCGTCCCGTGCGGAATCTCTACTCTACCTACTTTGTCTTTAGAAATCTGTAAATACAGAAGAAGAAAAATCTAGGTAGGTGCCGCTTATCCTTTATTTTCTACAGTGCCCCGCGCTGCCAGGTGTTTTGACTGTTTTGTTCACCTTTTTTCACTCCCTTCTGCTGAAGAAATAAGGTATCGTTTTGAAGGATTTATTTATTTGTATAGATAAGGCAATTTCACCGACATATACCCAGAAGGTTGCATTTGGAATCATGGCTGAGTTTTATATTATATTGTATGTCTAGAACTAAAGCAGATCAGACTACACGTCCTAGATATAAGGGGCTTGTGATATAAGTCCTGTAGCTATTGAATATCTGCCGTTCAAGACTGGAGGTAGATGATGAGTGTTGGACCGAGGGGACTAGTACCATGAGGATATCCCGGGCGCGATTTGTCGTATTGCGCTATTAATGTGTGGTTTATCTCGGATGATATTTGCTCTTGGGAAGTATTGTACTTCGTCTGCTGCTGAGCAGCGCGAAAAAGACGCTTGCTTGCTTCTCCTTGAGAATCTCTCCAGGAATTTTAGCATCACTGTTTGGCATCATGGGAGTAGAAGAAGTACACTGAGCGGGGATTCCGCGATGCCTGCCATTCTGGAGAGTCCCATGATGTCTCGTGGTAAGTTCTTTGACGGGGATCAGTGAATATAACCTTCCCAGATATGCGGATTGCACGGGGCTTCCTTTTATCGATAGCCAATCCTGAGATGGATAAGCTAAGCTATCGAAGCTCACGAGGAAATGGTGTTGTCGAAATTGACTTTAAAATACAGCACCGCCTATTATAAAGACCCGTTCCTCTTCACGCTTTACCCATTGGATGATCTTGTTTGCGCCCTGAGCGAGGCTCGCGCGGGATGTATTCGGACCCGCGACGCAATAGAATTCGAAAAAAGGGGTGGTCCATGCGAGAGACACGCTGTCGCGGCTTACGCAGTGGATAACTTTGAGATGGGAATGTTTTGCGTGTGTCGAAGCGTGTAAATTATGATATAGGCTCATGAGTCTGTTTTGTCAGTTAGCAGCAGTTCTACTGGAGTTTCATATAACTAGATATGTGCATGTCTGATTTACGGGCAAAGGAAGTAAACCTTACCTTCGACGAGCAATAAGGCTGCTGAAATGTGGAGAGAAGGATGGCATAGTGAATTGGACGTTTGAGCGTGACTTGTAGAGAAAGTGCCGCAATTGGGTTCCGGGAACGATGTCCGTGGTGCTTGGGCGACCGCGATGGACTGCGGCTTTAATAATATCCATACTCCCGTTGCTCTCGAGCTGGCTGACAACATCGTCTCGCATTTGCTTCAGCTCGTAGAAGCTCTCCTTGTCCGCACTGATGAGTAGCACTGCCACTTCGTTTTCTGGACCCGTGCTGCCAGCTGTCGAGGGCACATCATCCGAATTTCCATCCTCCTCGTGAGTGCCCAAGAAACTCACATACATGTACAGATATCCTGTATTATTGAAGCCAGGAAGACATATAGGGATCCAATTCTCCCCACCTCCAGCCTTGACACTCCTGGCTTCGAAAAGCATGTTGAAGATCAACTGGAGATCACCGGGATGAAGAGAATGTCGCTTGGGTCTGACAACACTGACAAGTCTCCCACCGGCAACAATGAGGCCATAGAGTAGCTTATCTGTGCGAGCCTTCAGCAATGTATTGTTGATCACGTGCCGCTGTGACTTTCGAATTTTCAAACATTCGAGCGCTGAGAGCAGAGCAGATGGGGAGCCTTTTGTGAAAGTATCGGCAAGAGATGATAGTAAAGTCTCTGTGCCTTCCAGTGGTCTACGGAGATCTGTGTTCGGTCTATTTGAAAACAAATGTGTCAGGGTGGGTAGGGTCAATGTTGACAGAATTTGCATGTAAAGCGCATCCAATTGTGATCGAAGCTGGGCATCACTCTCCCCTAGCCTACTTATAGCCACAAAGTAGAGCGGCCCTTCGGTGGTTACGACAAATCGCGTACGTCCTGCCGTGAAGCCCATTAATGGATCATTTGTGCCCTCAAAGAACGATATGATGGTCTGTATGATGCCAATGTAGCCATTTATAAGATTCTGATCACCGTGTCGGCTATAAATTGGCTTGCCCGCCGATGATAAAATCAGGTAGTGCTTGAGCTTTGACTTCCATTTCAGGAGTATCTCTTCTACGGGAGAAGTCAGGACAGAAGTAGAAGGGTAGAGTTCTTGGCTCACCTTCATTCCCTCCTTTACTATCCACCGCTTCTATCTCATCAAACTCGTGCTCATAGTTAGGTAACAATGTATCATCGTATTCTATCGTCTCAAAGGGATTCGGGGCTTCCACTTGTGAACTGAGCATTCGCCAAGCCGGGCTCTGCGCGTTGAGCCCTTCATCGAGGAGACTTGCAAGATCTCCATTCGCTCGCAGTGTTGGTGCACAGCTCATGAGACTTGCACTATCATCCAATTCGCTTCCACTGCGACTGACCTTCCTACTAGGTGTATTCAGCTCTCCAGGCAGCCCGTCCATAGATTCAGATACAGTTCGACTGCTGGGTATTGAGAAGGTTCCTCTGGACCCGTCAGGAAATGACATGGTCTGTATATCCAATGAAGACAGCGCCGTTGTAGCCTTTGCCTGCCACGTCGGCCTGCTCGTAGACTTAGGGGAAGCTGGCCGATCTGTCGCCTGGAGGAGGGGAGGTCTCGGGGGGAGAGGAGGAAGCTGTTCTTCGATTTTATTGCCGCCTTCGGACGGATCTGGCCCAGTTCCACCCTCAGTATTCGTTGTTCCTCCAGGCCGCCCCGAGGGTTCGTCGCCGTTGTCAGAGGTCATCGGGGCAGCGGGGCCATCCTCAGCCGTCTGCGCACTCGGCGTCGAAGGGTCTGTTGTTGCAGATATTGGGCCATGAGAAGATCTTCTGGAGGCTTCAGGAGGGTCTCCCATGAGGTCCCATCACTCATCAGTTGAGTACACGGTGCAGAAGCGCGCGAAGGTCATTGATGCAGGGATGAAGTGAGGTGAGGTCCGAGGTGGGCTACCCCGTGCGTGCGTAGCGACGCGACGACAGCCTTGCCAAGTTGCGCCTTTCGCTCTCGTTCACTTACGTCTCTTGCGATTGCACGGCACTGCACAACGAATGGCATAAAGACGATGCAAATGGTCTGGAACCAGTCGCCTGCGAAGCCTTGCAAGAATCATGGCCCTTGAGCCTGGCCCTGGCCGTCAGTCTGCGTCTCCTGCGAGCTCCGGGAGAGGATCTCCTGTATCGTCGAAGAGGAACCAATTAGGTGGAGGTGCGGCCTCTCTCTCTTCCTCTTTCCCCTCCTCTACTTCTTCAGTTCTGATCCTGACGTGCTTAGATGACCATCCAATTAAGGATAAAGCATACCGAAGATTCCAATCGAACGTCGAAAAGGTTCTGTCTCTCTTCGACACGAATCTTGAAGAATGGGCGGACTACATCTCGTTTTTGGGCCGGTTACTGAAGGTATCTGAAGGCTGCAGAATCCCTTGTTGATTAGATGCTGAGTTGTTCTACAGGCCTTACAAGCCCATCCCCCTGCCACCGTTGCGGTCCCATCGAAAGCAATTGTCGCAAAACGCCTGGCCCAATGCCTGAATCCTTCCCTCCCCTCAGGGGTTCACCAAAAAGCCCTTGAGGTATATGGGTTCATATTCTCGATGATAGGTACGGATGTCCTCTCTCGAGATCTACCCCTCTACCTTCCAGGCCTCTCAACCACTCTGTCGTTTGCGTCGCTCTCTGTTCGGACACCGTTCCTTGAACTGGTAGAAACATATATCCTGAAGCTCAACCCCCGATCCCTCCGCCCAGCTCTAAAGGCTATCATACTTGCTCTCTTGCCTGGACTCGAAGAAGAGACAAGCGAGGAATTTGAGCGGACACTCAAACTTATGGACGCATTTAAACAAGCTATAAGACCTTCAGGCAAGGAGGACCTTGGGCAAAACCATAGTAGCGGGGATGAGTATTTCTGGCAATGTTTCTTCCTTGCGTCTATAACAAGTAACAGCCGTCGACTTGGCGCCCTGTCGTATCTGATCCGGAATCTCCCAAAACTTGGCCAGCCTCTTACGCAAGAGCCTTCCTCTTCCAATGGATCGCATAATGATGCCACAGAGACGGCCTCTGACCGCTTGGCTGAAATTGTAACCTCTCCAGAACCCGGTCTACTTCTTAGGTGTTTTGCTGCTGGGTTGGCCGATGAAAACCTTTTGATACAACGTGGATTTCTAGATCTTCTGGTAACCCATTTGCCATTGCATGCACACGTTCTGCAGAAGCGAGTTAAGACCGAGGATCTAGAGCTTCTTGTTGCAGCAGCCTCCGGGGTAGTCGCACGTAGAGATATGAGCCTTAACAGGCGTCTGTGGACATGGCTCCTGGGGCCTGAACTGCCCGGGCATGAGAGCGAAGGTGGTTCGGAGTCTCCGACTCACGTGGGTGGTGACCCTCTAGGAGGACATCCATCTTCAAGGACACGCTACTTCGAAGAATTTGGTCTACAGCCATTGACTCGGGCTCTCCTGAAAATGATTGAAAAAGATTCCACCAATCCGCTAGAGAAAGCACGGCCTTTTCGCATCTGTCTATCCTTAATGGACCGGTGGGAAATTGGTGGTCTTGTTGTGCCGGACATATTCCTCCCTGTCATCAACAGCGTTCGCCAATATAAAGATAAGGCTACTAGCAAAGCAGACTTCTCCGAAGTGCTTCGTAGTGCAAGCGTCTTCTTTGATGGCGTTGAGAGCGGACTAATATGGGGTGAGATCGTGGGATTGATTGTACAAGCGCTTGGGCCTGGAAAGTCTTCAACGGCAGAGAGAGTTGACAAACTTTCCCTGGTGAGCTTCATAATCACGCACTTCAATATACGGGAGGAGGAGATGCTTTTGATACACACGCCCTTAACGATTTTAACTGTCTTAACCCTGCTGGGAGATACCAAGGACAAGGCGCAAAAGCAAGGTGTCGACCGCGATATCTCTGATGAGGTTTCAAGGTTAGCTTTGAGCATTGCCACTGATTTGATCGAGTCAATCCCAGAACGAGCTTTTCAGACGCGGCCCTCCACAAGTCAGTCTACAGCTACTCATGGGGGAGACGCTATACTTGACCTCCCGAATCACCAAACTCTCCAAAGTATACGGATGTTTTATGTTCAAGATCAGGGAAACCTGGATGCGTTTCCACCTCCATTCTCGTCTCGCGATGTGAGCGAGCTTCTTCTTCGCGAAGGTGGCGGCATTGTTTGCCAGAGCCTGTCTGACCCAGTCTCAAGTGCTGATGCTGGAATCAAGAGCAAGCTGTTGGTAACGATGCTTGGGAAGGTACCCAAAGTTTCAAGCCTTGATGTCCAAAAGGTTCTATTATCTATGCACAAAAGACTGAAGTCCTCCTCCCAGCTACCCTTTTCGACTTTCACGTCCATCAACTCTCTCGCAACAAGTCTATACTCTGCTTCCTACATAACGGCGGGTGATCTGTCAGAGCTGGTCGATCCTCTAGTGCGTCTAGCATGGACTTACCTGGCAGCCTCTCAACCAAAATACCACGTTGAGACCGTTAGATGCTTATGGCAATTGCAAACGGCCCTTTCACTTTCTAATCATGATATTGAAGCATCTATTTGCTCTCTCATGATTGAACACGATCTCAATGGAACGTTTGCGATGCGTGACGCAGATCCTGGCAGAAGTTTCAGCATCCTATGGACTCATACACTCCAAGACAATGCGAGCTATAGTGACCGGAGAGCATCAACGGCAACTAACAATGAGGTTAAGGGCCAAGCACGACTTTCGGGAATTGGCAATTACGAAGTGATGCTCTCCAGACCCCTATTCCTGCTGCTAGATGCACTTCTTGACGAACGCACTCAGCTTTCTATGACCGTGAGGACCTGGCTGCAGGGTGTTGTAGGAATAGATAAGTATGTAATTGGTCTTGTTCCTTGGCAGGCATCTGCTGATAAATTACAGACTCTTTCATCTCTTCGTGGCAAAGTTTGCCGAGTTCGAATTCCTGCAGAGAACACCGGTGTTGGATAATAATGTTTACATATACCAAGATGAAGATGATCTAGATCAGTGTCTATATTATCTGCGAACGTTATCAAATATTCTTCGCTGGTCTTCGGATAATATGTGGGCAGCTCTCGCGGAGAACACAATCTCTACAGACAAAACTTATCGGGCCTTATACCTAACCAGTAAGTATTCCCTTTCGATGAGAAAAGTGACCTTCTAAAATAATCCAGCCGGCCGTGATGGAGAAATTAGCCTCCTGGAATTCTTTATACATGTCTGCCTGAGAGCAATCTCGGGGGGCTATGATCCAGACAATTCTCAGTTAAAGCCACGCATCAGCCAGTTCCATCGAACTGCTTTAACTACTCTTCATCAGATTCTCTTGAACGAATATTCCTTGTCGCTCGCAGAGTTGAATTTGGAACACGTGTTGATTGATAGACTGGTCCAGTCGCTGGAAGGACCCGATCCATACACTCAGGTTCTCCTGTTAGATGTTGTGTTTGATGCGCTTAAAATCAGAAATGCATCTAGACCTACTCCTGTTCCCTCATCTCCGGTGAGGGAACAGAAACGCCAAGTCGCACAAGATGCGCCTCAGAGTGCAAGGCATTCCATGGCTCTGGAAGGTGGCGACCGCCTACCTCTCAGTTTCCCCCCTCCACCACCTTCTTTGGTCAAATGCCTTCAGGCTGGATTTACAGCTCCTAGCAGTCGGCCAGTCTTAGACAGCTGGGTTGGTTTTCTTACTGAGTGCCTGCCCTTCTACTCTGAGGGCATTTTTCAAATCCTCATACCATTGGTTGAGACGCTCTGTTCACAAATAGGAGCGACTTTTGCACATCTTCAGGCTACCTTCAAGAACAGCGAGTACAGGCCCGAAGGATCCACAGCCCAAGAAACCACTCTAATATCTCTGCTAAATGGTCTCGAACACGTCCTAGCAAGAGGGCATGACCGTTTGCTACAAGATGAATTCAGATTGTCGGTCGTAAAAAGCCCGGACCAACCGCATGGTTTCTTTGGAAACATGGTCTCTGGCGTTTTCACCTCTGAAACACCTCAGGCGCGAAGTACCACTGCCAATAACCGCCTCACAGTGCTATTATCATTCCAAGATGCTGTTCGCATATGCTTTACTATCTGGTCCTGGGGTGGACATGATGGGAGTCTTCAGGATATGGAGTCTGCATCTTCGTTCAACTACACTTCTTTACGAATGCGAAACCGTGCTCGCAGACTTCTCGAACATCTTTTTGCAGCCGAAACCCTTGAGTGCTTAGAGACTGTGGTAGATATATGGCAGAAGTCTTCAAAAAACCACAATGGCTCCAAATCACCAGCTGTTTTCCATCTTCTTCACGTACTCGACGGCTCTCGACCCAAGCATACTATCCCTGCGATCTTCAATGCCATTTATAGTCGCACCAACCCTGCAGCCTTAGATCCATCCAGGAAGTCCACTCTGACGACCTCACTCAACGACACAGAATTGGTAATATTCTTGGTTGAGTACGCACGTTCATTGGAAGACGACGCAATGGACGAGATCTGGACAGATTGCGTGACATTCCTGAAGGACTTGTTAGCAAATCCGTTCCCACATCGACAGACTCTTCCTAGTTTATTGGAATTCGCGGCTATTCTGGGCGAGAAAGTTGATAACACGAATTTTGGAGAGCAGCGCAGGATGCGGAGGGAATTGGGAGTAAGTCTCTACGCATTATTTGAAGCTAGACCTTACTAACATCAGCAGGATCTGTTCCTTCGACTACTTACTGCGATCTTCACAACTAGACCCATGGGATTTTCAGAGAGCGCTTCTGATAATGATGATCACTCAGTCTCAAAACCGGACGACGTTGTTGGCATACTAGCCACTATTGCGCCAAATCTCCCAAAGATTCTGGTAGAACCTGACCGAGTCTTAAGTGCCGCGAACACTATCTCAACGAGTGTTATTGGACCGACCTTTAGATCCAAGTCATATCCTGAAAATGTCTCCAAAGGCACCCTTGTGCTCCTTTACCAGCTATCCAGGCTACCTAATACCCAAAAATCATGGAAGAAGGACTTAGGAGAGGCCTTCAATGATGCGAGATTCTTCGCAAATGCTGTTCCTCTGGTGGACAGTGACTGGCTTCCTCTATTGAGACAATGGACTCTGAGTGACAAAGAACGGATGCCAGAATTGCTCTCACGTCTGTTGGCCCCTACTACGGCAGGAATCGTCTTTGGTGTTGGAGCCACCTCGGCCAGACTAGAAGCAGATCGAAAGACGCAGCTTAATCTTCGTCGTGTGGCTACTCTCATCCTAGCAGCCCCAAATGATAACTTCGTTACGGACCTTCCCGCAATGCAGGAGAAGATTGTGGATCTACTGTCGGCCACTAGCACCTCATCTCCATCATCCACACCTCGAGCCGACATATACCTTCTTCTGCGCGCTCTAGCCCTCAAAACCTCCGCCGTTCACCTCGCCACTCTGTGGCCCATCGTCAACGCCGAGTTGCATGCGGCGATCGCCTCCGTCGTCGCGCCTGACCACAGTCAACCTTCCGACACCTACAACAATTCCGCGATCCTCCAAGCCTGCAAACTGCTCGACACCTTAATATGTATAGCTCCCGACGACTTCCAACTCCACGAATGGCTGTTCGTCACAGACACCATCGATGCCGTATACCGACCAGCCCACTACCATCCCGTTGCGTTAGTCGACGAGCTCTCGGAAGAACTAGGATCCGCAGCCCTAGCATCCAACTTCCAAGCAGACTCAGCCGTGGCCCAAGCTTCCAACAGCTCGACTCGCAAACCTCTCTTGGGCCCGGGCGGCATCAGCGATGAGGGGACCTGGGAAAGGAAGGATGAGTTGGTGGGGAAGGTACTCCGGCCTTTCTTCAGCCAGCTGAGCATCTTCGCATTCGAGAGCACCTACTCGATGAGTGTTCCTGATTGGGAGGCTTGTAGGATGAGTCTTCTTAGGGATTTGTTTGATGAAAGGAGTATTGTAAAGGCTTTGTAAATTTTAAAAGAATGAATGAATGGATGTATTGATTTGACCATTGGGTATATCTGATGCTTGCTTGGATTATCTGTGAATACCGCAGAGCTGTTTTGCTGTGTATCGAATTTACATGTTATATGCCTATTCCCACCATACCTACACTAGATATGTACTACTTACCTTAAGAAACGGGGGTATGGGGGTTCAGCAGTGGAAACTTCCGGTCATAGTTCATGAAATATAGCCCTCTGATACTATTCTTTCGAAAGCACCAACTTACGAATAACCAACCCTTGCTAGAAAAAAACGAGGAAGGTAGTGTAGGCATTTCTTATATTTGCTATCTATCAGTCATCACTCTATCGCCTCATCTGCACACGAGCCCAGACCAGATATGAGCTCTATATCTAACCAACTACCATGAGAAATCCAGCACCTGATTCCAAATCTCCCATATAAACAAGATGCAACAAGACGCTTGCTCCCGAAATTCGCCGACTTTTCACTGAAATAAACCTTCGCCCGCTTTTCACCTCGCTATGCAAGATTTTCATCAAATCAGATATGTGGCCATATAGGCCCGCTTTTTTTGTTTTATACATCGTTCATTCATCATCCTCGCCGTCGGTGGCGGTATCGTCGGTATCCACGTCTACATCGACTGTCTCGTCTATTTCTTCATCGCCACTGTCATCATCGTCTTGGTTGAGACCGGGGATCCCTTTCCACTGCACGTAGTCTTTCTCGATCCATCTCTTGCTCACGGGTAACTGGTACGGATCGAAAGGGAAGTAGGCATCAAGTTGATGCCAGCTATCGTCAGAACCTCCCATCCCGCTATCTCTGATCGCTCCAGCGCCCTGCCCAGTTGTATATTGACTGAGGCGTATCCGCTTGTTGGTTTCGAGGAGCGGATAGACCTGCATGAACTCTAAATGCTTGGCAATCTTCGCGAATTCGGAGACAATGGGCGGCGAACAGATTTTGAGGGGGTTGAGTTTGGAGTGGATGGTCCGGAAGAGGGTTTCTTTGACGCTGGGAATCCAGTGCAGATCTTGGGCACGGAAGGCGGCCGAATCGTCCTCGTCAAATAAGTCTGAAGGCAAGAGTAGATCACGCCAACGGAAACAAAATATGTAGAGAAGTGCCTGGGTCATGGCATAGAAAGTACTGTAGCGTCTCAAGTCTGGCCCACGGCACGTGAGTTCGTTTTCGGCGCGGATGTTATCCAGTTTGCTGCCGATAAGGTCGAAAACAGTACGGACGACATGAGGTTGCACATGTATACCCCGTGCAACAAAGCTTGCAAGGTAGGCAGCAGACGATTGTCGAATGACCGCCGGCCTGCTAGTATCAAAAGCTAGCTGAGCACAAGTCCCTGCGAATTGATCGACAAGATAATCGGCTCTCTGCGCAAAATGGAAGAGTAGAAACTGTGTATGGCGTGACCTGTAGGTCGGGAGTATTATTTTCTGGAAATGGCCGAGCAGAGTCTCGAACATCTCTGTTGCTTCAAGACTGTTGGGATCTAGGAAGTATGGGTCGTAAATGCTAAATAGGAGGTCCAGTATGGCATCCATCTTCTCCACGCTGTCTTGCACTCCTTTTATTCGTTTTGCATCTTCATCGAGAGAGTCAATACTGGCGACCGATTCTGCGTCGCTATCATCTGATCTCTCTCCATTGTCGTTGTCTCCACGGGTAGATGCGTTCATAGTTATGGCTTGAACGATAGCTGCTGCCACGTCGTCATCTAGATCATCCAGATCGACCTGCATCTGTACATCTATTTTGACGAGTCTGTCTGTGATGAGGGAGAATACATCGGATTTGAGTTGGGGGGCATATCTCAAGAGGTAAATTAAGTTGTTGATGTATGTCATATGAGCCTTCTTGCTCTCGTCTTCGAAGGGAAATTTAGAGTTGATGATTTGCGATAAGGTGGTGCCGGCAGAAGGAATGATGTCAAGTAGATGCTTCACCGCAACATGGACTCTGGAAGAGAGCTGGTTGCGACTGACATCGGGATAGCCAGGAAGGCGGCCGCTGGAGAATCTCACTATGTTATGTATTAGAGAAAACCTGTCAGTATGGCAGGGAATGGACTTACCGCCATGAAAATGGCCCACAAGCATTTCAAGTACCCTTCCCAGATGAGCGCCCTGGGCACTGACAAGGTTCCCCAGAAAATTGATATACGCCTTGACAAAACTTTCGTCTCTTCCTAACCAATCACAAGAAAGCACAGCCTTGACCAGACTAGAGCATCCCTTCAATAACGAGACACAACTTGTGACTGCGAGTAAGTACGTCTTCAACTCGGCCCTGGCAATCGCTTCATTTTCTTCTCTGTCTTCGCCGTCTTCGCCGTCCTCGCCGTCCTCATCATCTTCCTCCTTGTCGTCCTCGCCGTCGCCATCTTTCTTCGGTATGAAGACCTGCTTCATGGCGTCGTAGTCGGCACTGTCCCCTTTCTTGTGCGCCTCAATCGCCATCCTCACCTCCTCTCTTATCACCTCTAGGCTCCTGCCTCTGGCGCTGTACGGCGACATAATTTTCTCCTCAACGGTCGGATTGAAAGTGACCCTTGCTCTCTTACTGGGGCTCGACGGCACCGAAAAGAGATCACCATCCAGGTCGGCCTCATCGCTTTTGCGGATGGTGCCCGAGCGGGTGGCTCGTCGCAGAAGTGGTTTGCTTGGTTTTGGTGATGGTGCGGGCTCGAGGGTCCGTACCACGGGAACTACTGACACCATTGAGGCGTGCACGCTTTATCGCTAATCAAAGAAAGATTGTTCTTATCGTAGATTTGGCCGGAAGATACCATGTATCATGTATCATGGCGGGGAGTGGGCGGTGGAGGATGGCGGGGTGAAGTTGTTGATGTTTGGTTGTCTGCCTCGCTCAGCCTCGAGGGTTCAAAAAATTATTTCGATGTTTCCACTTGGTGCACGTGCCTCTTGCGGGGATGGCGGAGCCGCTAGAACCTTTCTGGAAACAGGACTCCTGACTCCTTCGCTCCTCACCCGTAACTGACTACTGACTCGATGAGGCTCAGGAGGACGGCGATTCTAAGGACCTTATGGATTTATTATTCACATCCTGGTGTAGACTATTTACCTGGCACTATCCTGTTCTTACTGCCCATACGGTCTTCCCTCGATCGTTGGGCTCTCCCCTCTGGTGAAATGGTTGCCCCTAAGAGCGAAGAAATCTAAAGCAGATACGCAAACACCCCTGATTTTTTTTGGCCCTGCCCTTCATATACAGCAACGGAGATATCTCAGACCCAATTGCTCATTCCCATCCATATCCACGATCAACCCCCAACACCTTGCCCGATAGAATACACTCCGAGATTGTCGATTCCAACATGTCTCAATTCAGAAACCTCCTTCAAATGCCGAGCACAAGACAACGCGCAGGACTGTGACCACCCCCCTAATAAGTATCGCCGCCTGTTGCACCATTGTGCCCACTGGCGACTTGCCCGCCATAGAGGCCTCCGTAAGCGCTGCTGTCGTGTTCACCACCCTCTGGCTGCTGGCCGAGGATGCTGTTGGCTCCTTCAGCTCCACCTTGGAATGTAGTGGATGAGGTCGCATTTGCGGCCCCGCTTGAACCGCCTGCAGGAGCCGACCCAAACCCTTGACTTCCTGGACGATTCTCGCCTCTTGCCGATTGAGTCTGTTCATATGGTCAACCGCGATTCGGGGAGATAATCATTGATATGACGACGGGGATAACCAGTCATCTATATAGCACTTACCTCCCGATACTTAGACAGGTATATCTTGAGCGCCTCTGCGTAATTTTCAAAGCCTAATGAGGTCATGGCAAATAGGATATCCTCCCCATTGACCGTCTTCCGCTTCTCTTGATGACACTTCTCCGAAGCTGTGATAGGACAATCAGCACTACAATCCGCTTGTCTTGAAGCTCGGAGCAGGACGAACCTTCGCTTGTGATGAACGAGATGAACTCGCTCACGCATTCTTGCATGCATTCTTTTGCTTCCTTTGCGATCTTTGCATTCTCTGGAAGTGCCGTCTTCATGATCCGGGCAACTGGAGCAAAGTTACAAATTGACATCGTAGATATCAGGACGGGAGGGGGTGGCTAACCATTCGCTATTGGAAGCCAGCGATCTTGCTCTTTAACTTCAAACTCGTACGAGAGGCCGGAGGCGTGTGGGTCTTGAGGATCCATTTGCGCATCTGGCTCATCAGGCGACGAGTGGGCACCTTGTCCGACGTCCGAGTCTTTCGGAGGAGGGGATGCAGACATATCTATCGGCTACCCGCAGGTTAAGGATAAGTGCTTGCTTGAAATCCCTTGGATGCGACGTGGCAATTGAAGACGCTGATGTGTCCGACGTCCTAGCTCGCCCTGCTCTCTGGGAGGGGGGAGGGGTTGTTTCTTCTGCTGCAGGTTGTGCGCAGCGTCGATCGTCTATCCCCAGCTAACACTACCTACCCAGCGCTGGACGGGATCCGGTGGGAAGGAGGGTCTAATGCAGCTTTCACAGTTCACACCGTCACTCTGTAACTCTGGGGGGGCCGGAGCTCGAATGGAAAAGCTAAGGCGTGACAGGAGGTGCGGTACGTTACTGCGACGGCATGTTAGAGGATGGACTGCATGGCATTTGGGGGGGGAGGGAGGGGTGCACGAAGGCAGGGCTAGCCAGCGCCATACGTACCGTACTGTGCACGGCGCGGTCCTTCGGAGGATTTTGATCCAAGAGACACAGGCACAATGCGCCTTGTGTAGAGGCCAAAGAAGGGGTCGCAGGAGCGCTGTGCATATGATAACGCACGCAACCGTGGGGTGGTTGAGTGGTGAACGCGACTAGCTAACGGGGCGGCGCGCGCTGCGTTCCAGGACGTTCAAGTACCTAGGCACTGTGCGCGCTGGTTAAAGGGTCGAGTGTCCGTAGAGAGGCCTTTGATCCAATTGCAAGAGGTGTCGGAGGGGCAGCACGATTGGTGTGCTCGTGTGGAATGCGAATGCGAATTGGTGGTGATTGGTGAAAGAAGAGGAGTGGGGATGGGGGATGGTTCGGGATGGATAAAGAATTCGGTTGGCAGAGCCGTCCGGTATTTTTAGTGTCAAGCCGGTTGATGACAACTCGACGTTGGATATTATTGAAGAATATAGTGATATCGGCAAATACTGGCACAACAACCTCAACAGCAGCATGCAAAGGCCTTTGGCTTTAGCTTTTCACTCTCAACAAATAATCATCAAAGACAAGAAGCAAGAAGCAAGTGACGAAAGGCAAAAGGCGGCACTGAAGCGCCCGTAATTGCTGCAGAGCAACCAGTAATGGGAAATAGAGCTGGATTCGACTTCTGATTGGCTCCCGCATGGAAACAAATCCAGGGTTTTCTTTGAGCTGACTGGCTTTGTAAGTTGTCTGGCTTTGTTTTGTTTTGTTCTGCTGTGCTGTGCTCCCTTGCGCCGGCTTACGTTATATTTATGTGATACAGGAGCACCCTGTAAACATGATGCTGTGCAGAGTCCTTTGTTGACTGTAGGAACATCGTTCTCGTTCTGATCAACAGGGGATCTTCTGTTTCTACCCTCTCTTTGGTCACAGGAGGTAATCTATCGGATTTACTGTACCCGGTTCAAGCCGAGCTCTAACCGTGAGGTGTATCAGTCAGTTGGCAATGGATACTTATAGATAGATATCCATATATTGTGCTTTGTAGACCTCGAGCATGATGGGAAAAAGCTCAATCGCCTAATCATATAATGTTTAGGCAAAGGTTCCATAGTAGTGTAATATGTCGTTATTACTACTCCATATTGTTATTCCTGCTGCTTCACGCCCGGCTGTACTCCGTCAAGACCCTCGATACACACCCCGCACACGCTCCCTACCCCTCCTCCGACCCCCATCACAGGAACCCTGCTATCGCACATGCGTTGACAAAACACCAGCGCGCGCCTCTCTTCAGCCGAGCCTAACTGACAAGACGGGACCGTCTTAGCCTTTAAATTTTGACAGCCTTCAATGATAGGGCATCAAGGCATGAGGCGAGGCTTTCTCGTTGGGCGCTGAGACGCTCGAACCGCCGGTCGAATGATCGATAGCCTTACTTCACTGGCTGTACAACACATCAGTTTCCAAGCCTCTGGGTCCTTATAGTGGCTGTGTGACGTAGCACAGAGCCTCGTGATGTAGGAAGATTTTATTTTTTTTCCGTTTTCCGTTTCGCCTTGAATTAATTTCGGGATTTGGGTATGAATGCTCTCTGCGGTGTCACCTTTTCTCTCTCTCCGAGTCGTGAATGCATGGTTCTTCCAGTCTTTGCAATGATTGGACTGCCTTATGACCTTTTGCCAGTCTTCCCTCCTCCCCTCTCACATTCCATCTGGGGGAAATCCCTTATTGCTGGACAACCTGGATGTTGTTCTTCTTCTGTACGGCATATGGAGGTCAGCTATCTGCTTCCTGCCAGGCATCCTGCTTTGTAGAATACTAGACATACCTTCCACTTCTCCATCTCGGTCTGCTTAGCGTTATACTGCTTGACCAGATCCTCGAGAACCTTCTTCAGACCTTCCGAGTTTGTCTTCAGAGCAGGAATAACGTCCTTCACCGTCCTCTCAACCAGGACCCCATTTATCATCCGGAAGCACTTTCTGTCTGCCGAGAGCGGCTCGAGGGTCTCTAGCACGAGTCTGTTGGTACACAAGCGGTGAGCGCACGTTTCAGCGGTGTGATCTGGGGTTGAACTTGGGAAAGGAATGCCCAGGATTGAGCGCGGGCGAGATCTAAGCCACATAACGTTCAGAATACAGTAGAAAAGTTGGGAACAAACTTGTGTTCTTCAGCCTCCTGCTCGACATCACCAATCTTTTGGGCGATTTGCTGCAGCCCGTTCTTGTAGTTTGTGTATTGGAGTTGAAGCTCTGAGAGTAATCTGTTAGCTAGGCCAGTCACGGACATCTATATTAGAGATACCTACCCTGTTGCTTTCGCGGGGTGATCTGTTGTGCCATTTTGTCCTACAGAGGATGGTTTTGAAGACTTGGATTGAGGGGTCTGGGACTTCTGGGACGAGCTTTCTTTTGGAGAAACGCGACGAACGGGAGGTGCCGAGCTTTTGCCGACAAATTGGAATCTTTCGATAGTCATCTCCACAACCACCACAGTACCTACAGCCTCTACAAGAAAACGAAGAAGAACTTCTGTATCAATTGACTGGTGCATATCTGCATACTGTTCACGATGCATCCCCATCTGCACACAAAGGACAATACAGGTAATTGCTTTATTCTGAACTGATGTGACCTCATGCGCGTCATCCGACTAACGCCTGACAGCTTGCGAGGAGGTCATGAACATCCTCGACGAATGCCACGCACGGGGTTTCATGTGGAAAGCAATGGGCATGTGCAACGGTGCAAAGACACAAGTCAACAAATGTCTGCGAGCCCAAAGACTTGAGCGAACGAAAGCGAATCGAGAAGCGGCCAAGATCAAGAACAAGGAAATCAAGGCAAAGTGGGCCGAGATCGATGCCAACTCGTGATTGGGAATGGAGGGCACCCATCTGATGGCGCGTGGGGTTTCCTGGAGCATTTGGGACGGAGTCTCCTTGTGGTTGAAGCGGCGTTGATGCATTGCAGGCGTTCCCGGATATATAAGCTTCAGGGGAGTTGGAAGCTGATGTACAGTACAATGGATACCTCCCCTTTCCTGGTCTGCTCTGGAATGAACAACACTAAATGGAAGCGTGCCTGGCCGTGATCGATAATCGAGCTGCTTCAAGAAAGCTGGTGTGTTGAGCATACCCAGCTGTGCAGGGATGCAATGATGCAGATACGTCTGGCCCATTGAGGTATCTTCTCAAGCTTATTACTATTACTTGGGCACCTGAAGTCATTATTCTGCTTGTCCGAGATACAATTAATGAAAAGTCCTCGATAGTAGTAAGTAATTAATGAGCTGAGACTTTCTCCGCATCCATCCTACCCCGCACTGGGAGCAAAGCAAGGGAAGGTGGCACGCCCTACACGGCTGATATCAATAACACGCTACAAGCCAAAAATCATGCACAGACACCCATAGTTAACAAGCTATGTGTGGCACCAACATCAACCCTACTTCTGCAGTCTGTATGCGTTTCCGAAAGTATACAGCCCGTACAACGCAAGCGTACTCAGCCCAATTGGCAGAGGTTTATGGGTCCGCAAAGCCCTCGGAATAGATGATCCAGCAAGAATAACGGAGGCAAGAAGTGCAAGTTCAACTCCGTACGATTGTCGGTTCTGGATACGATAGCCTCCGAGGAGGTACTGTAGAGCTGTCAGCCATCTGTAGCATACCTTATGTACTTACGGAGGAGCAAGCCCGTACCAGACTACCAACGGTAAGACCGGCGGCGATGGAGGGAACAGAACCGGTCTAAGTAATATCAGTAAGAAGCTGCAAATGTAAGATATAAGATAGTGTTGAGTGGGAATACCTTGATGTATCCAAAGGTGCCGCCGCCAGCTGTAAGAGCGCCAACAATGAATGCGGAGGTTGCCTCGATGCCCTGGAGCTATATCAGCCTATTACTTGGGGAAGTAGAACTCGGGAGTAGGTGAAGGCAAGGCTCACCATATTTGCGATTGGAAAGATTTCGAATTACTGTAGGTATTTTGGATGGGTTTCCGTGTATTGAGAGTGTATGAGTGTACGGAGAAATATCCTGACGCCTACGAAGGAAGTCCTGACGCCAGGCGTTGAATTCGTGATCAGCCTCCCTCGGCACCTTCCATCGCGCGACCCCGACCCCAGCTAATCCTGGAACCCGCTTCGTGGCCTCCAGACCGGACACGGCTGAGCAGAACAGACAGCTTCAATTGCAAGAGACAATCAAGCCCGACAATACAGAGCACAGGACATAACAGCCACAATTAGCTTCTCATCATGGCGCCCAAACGCAATGCGCGCGAACCTACTACGCCCTCGTCGACGGCAACTCCATCATCCACCAGTGCTGCGGCATCCGTCCCTGTTTCCAGCAAAGCCAAATCAAACACCCAGAGCCCCCAAGAGATCGCATTACATGCCTGGCAGCAATACCTGGATACCACACCGCAAAGAACGAAATTAACGGATATATTCATGTTGTTCCTGGTGGTGGTTGGTGTTCTGCAGTTTGTCTACTGTCTTATTTCTGGGAACTACGTATGCCTCCCCACCCTCTCATTCAGAATGCCAAAAGGAGTACAAAAAGCTAATAACTGTGGGACTATAGCCATTCAATGCTTTTCTCTCGGGATTTTCGGCGACAGTGGGCCAGTTTGTATTGACCGGTATGGCTCCATCTGAAATAGAGGGTACATTGGCTGATGAGATATAGCTTCTTTGAGAATACAGACGAATGAGGAGAATAAGGCGGAGTTTGGTTCAGTATCTCCAGAGAGGTAAGAGAATTGATTAAACTTTATACAAGCTGCGTTAATACTAATAATCGCCCAGAGCTTTTGCGGACTATGTATTTGGGAGTTTAATCCTACACTTCTTCTGTGTCAACTTTATCAATTAGCGGGCTATTAGGTATAGAAGGGAACCAGGTTGAATGTGTTCGGGAGTGTAGGAATGACTTTAACGAAAATCACTCTTATGCAGCTCGAGAGGAACTTGCGCAACTGTATAATAGTCGGGTGTACTGAGCAAATGGAACCAAAATATCATGAATTCTATTCTACACCTTTATCATCGGTATGTGCCTCTCCCACCGGGCTTGCTTTTGGTGGACCAGATTTCGGCGGTGGTGGAGGGGTGCTTCTTGCACTGGGCGCGTGATCTAGCTCTCGGCTTTTCTTCTCTCCCTCCATGAAATAATCATCCATAAAAGACTTATTCGGACTATGGCCATGATGTTTCCTGTCCTTCTTGTGCGATATTGATGTGGTCGGTGGGGCTGCAAGCTGAGCTGGAACTAGGAGATCTGCCGACTCCGATGCTGCTGCAGGGACAAAGAATTGTGGTGTATCTTCCCTACCAGAAAGGGGCCGGACCTCTTCGTTCGAGAATCGAGCATTCTCTGTCTCGAACAACGTTTCTCCTGGTTCAGCAAGAGGCTCACTCAAAGGTGCTGGCAGTCTATGCAATGCTCCGTACCCTAGCACACAACCCAATGCGCCCTCTCCGCCCCAGTCCCTACTTGGATGAATGGTGACTTCTCTTGTGACATCGTACTCGTTGTTGTAAACGTATAGGCGCAGTGGCCGCCCAATATGATCCTCAACTAGTTCCCCGAGGCCAGCTTCGCCATGCAATACGCCTTCGGGAGTCCCAAGAATGTAGTCGCTGTATGGCAGAAGGCCTGCAAGATCGGCGGGTGACGAGGCCGGGACGTCGAGAATATGCCAGATATTGGACACAGTTGAAAGGGATGTCCATTGCAGAGTGAGGCCCAATGTTGGGTTGCTTGCCGGTACGGGAATGTGCATTGTCCTTGTCCGTTGCCCCTTATGGATTTTTAGCATTTATTAGAGGGGGAAGCCATCTGGGAGACTTGCCTTCGCACTCCATAGACCCAGTGTCACGGTGCTACCAGCGCAGTTGCGTACTTCTTGGGCAAAGAGAGTAGGGTCGGAATCGTCCTGGAGACATCAGTATTTGTAAGATAATAAAGTCGAGAAGCTCATACAATCATGCGCCCATTAATTCCAACTATAAAATCAAACCATGGCTCAATGCCAAGCTCCAGATTCTTGTTTCTCAAGACCTGGAAACCAAATGCGCCATGGTTCGAAGGCTGCGCTGGAGACTCCGAGTCCAGACGAGATATGAAGCGATTGAGCGCGTTGAACATGATTTCAAAGATCTGATAATGTCTTTCGAATCCCCTGCACTTCTCAAGCCTCAAACTCTTGTGCGAGGATCAAGTCGTAACGTTGGTGTTGATGTTGAGGTCGATGTGTCCCTGAATCCGCTACTCTATCTGGCCTAGTAGTTGTCCTGAGCCCAGCCTCGCGCTGGCTGCTCTGGCCAATGGACATTCTCCGCGATTTTCTGGATTTGGGCATCACGTGGTCAACATCGACAACGCCGTTTGGGATTTTGAAGGCCTTTACTCTGTAGAATCAGCGAGACTGGGATCTCAATAAGATCCTAAGCTGAAGGTAAGTTCAGTATAGGCTTATAACCTTGAGAGGCTTTTGACATGATCGGTATGACTGAAATTTTCCAGATTTGAATACACTCCTGAAGCTGTCTGCCCGAGGCTGCAAGTATGGAATTTGGCCCAGAACTTGCGATTACTCTACTGGGCTAAAGAAGGAAGTCGTTCTTTTAATCTTTGAACTTGTCTACAGCTTCTCAAAGCTATCCCCACAAGAACAAGATCCTCAACCGCTAGTAGAGCGGCCATCCGGTATCGATAATTTCGATTCCTGGGGCTACTGTGCAGAGACGTCTGCAAGCGGACAAGGAAATCCTACTTTCACTGGAGGTAGTAGAAGCACCTATTTGGATGCTCAATCTGGTTGCAGAAACCTAAACTCAAAACTCCTCTCACTCTCAGGAAAGTCGCCAAGACTTGATGCCCCTAGTTTTCTATCCGGGGTACTAAGAATGGGGAGAAAATCTTCCAAGAGAGCACGGTCTCCAAAACCCGAAGAATGGTATATTCGCTGTGTTTGTGGTGACCCCGAGGAGGGTAAAGATGATGACGATGCGTGGATTGCCTGTAGCAGTTGTGGCTGTTGGCAGCACAAGGTATGCATGGGTGTCAGTCCAGAGGACGAGGAATTATCAGAAAACTACAAGTGTGAGCAGTGCGCTCCTGAACTGCACAAGGAGCTACTTGCAGCCTCCGCTCGAAGTGTAAATCTATGGGAAGAGCGACGCAGAGCCCACGAAAAACAGGCGACTGAGCAGGAGCAAATTGAACATGGAGACAAGAAGAGAAGTCGAAAAAGCGACAGAAAGATGAGGGATTCTTTATCACACAGTCATGGCATTGATGACACAGATGAAGCCTCCAAAGCTTCCAACATGAACTTATTTCCGCTCACAGACGAGTGCCACCATTACTCTCACGTGTCAGAAGTACCGTGGGACATCCAGAAGTAAGTGAATTCACTTTTCCCCATGACTGAAACTGACGATCTCTAGATACTGGCATCAACGCAACAGTATCTTTTCATGCTACAACAAAGGAATCCGTATGACAGATGACGCCTGGTTTGGCGTCACTCCTGAGCCTGTCGCGAAGTATGGTATCCAAATCTCATTCACTCCTATCTCTTGCTAATATACCATTCAATAGAAAAGTAGCCGAGGACTTGGCCGCATTTGCAGACCCTTCCAAAACAATAGTGATTGACATATTTGGGGGTGTCGGCGGAAATTCCATCGCCTTCGCGCTCTCCGGACGGTGGGCACAGGTCATCACCATCGAGAAAGATCCCTCAGTAATCGCCTGCGCACAACACAACGCGGCACTCTATGGTGTCCGTGATCAAATAACTTGGGTCAATGACGACTGCTTTTCGTATCTCTCATCGAATACATGGATCGATCCCTCGAAAACTGTCATCTTTGGCTCGCCTCCATGGGGAGGGCCGGGTTATACATCAGACAAAATCTTCAGTCTGAATACTATGCAGCCTTATTCTGCAAAGCAGATCCATGATGCCTGCAGAGGAATGGATTCGGCGCTGTACTTGCCGAGAACCAGTGATCTGAGACAGATCGCACGGTTGGCACCAAAGGGAAAGAAGGTGGAGGTTGTCCAGTATTGTATGGAGGGAGCGAGCAAAGCTATGGTTGCTTATATCCCTGCTTCTCCTGTTGCTACATCATGAGTGAACTGCAGTGCACTCATTTTGGAAATGGATGCTGTATAGATAACGTCTCTACTGGCTTGGGAATAGCTCTTGTATGTAGGAATTGTCTTGCCTTGATACCTGAGGGTGGAGCGATAGATCTGTGCACTTTTTTTGTTGCACATTGTTTTGTCTCCATGTATAGCAAATGAGATGAATTACCCAACTTTGTTCCCCCATTTATCTCTGTCTTGATTGTTTATGACCGTGATTTCGCAACTACTATACCTAGCTAAAGCTTTCACATAGTGATCTCAACTCTTAGCATTTTGCAGTTTGTAAATTGGCAAGTTCTACATAGCCTTCTACTCTCAAGATCTCTTTGTAAGTCTTCCACCCCTTTCACCTGTTACTTTCTGACTCTGTTGAACGTACCTCTGCCACGAAAACATCTGTGTATAATGATCTAAAAGTATATGTCCTGCCCTGCTCTACAAATATTTACGTGAAGGAAACTCGAGTTACTCTCTTAGGTGGCTTGTGTTCCTTTCTGGCCTGATAATGAAAGGCATGTCAAAATTAAGTTTCTCTTGAATAACTCTATGTCGAGGCAAAGTCATTAGGTTCTAAAACATAAGAAGGGGGCGCTGCTCGAGGAAAATATTATTGGAGCGAGGTCCCATACCCATCGACACAAAGTCCCCGATTTTGGCTTCTTTTCCTTGATTCGCATTCTCCACGAGTAACAATCACTTTATATACCCTCTATCAGCAAGGGTACCGCCAATCGGTACTGTGAGATCTGTACCACCTTCGCCATGCTGAGAAGCTCTCTCAAATCAAGGGGCGGGGTAGCTAGAAAAGCCGTCCAGGCTAGTCGGGAATGCCTGCCGGATTCATAAACATCTGTCCGTGAAGTCCTAAAGCTTTCGGATTGGTAGCGCTTAGATTCTCTGTGGGATCTGTAGAATGTCAATGGCCATGTCCAGTGCGCCTAGCGTCAGGGCGAAATGGTTGTTAGAGTAACTTCTTCAGATGATACCAATATGCAAAGAATCGAACGCAGAAAAGAAACCCGAGTTCGCTATCCCTAGACCCACGCCCCATGATAAAGCGGTTGCTCTCGAAACCAGCGGTCGAGTACATACCTATTGATATATACCAGTACAAAAGCCATAGGCCTGATGTACTCATCAGAGTATGTAATTCTTAGGTACCCCGAGTTTGCCAAGTCAATGCAGATTCAGTATCATCTTGATTGGATCTCGAATTACGCGGTTCAGATTCAAGTCTTTCGAATTCTGCTGTATCAGAAAGATTGATAGCATCGTCGTTGCGGAAAGTGTAAATCATTGAATTCGCGGGGTGGTCTAGAAATGAGCAGATTAGATGTCAACAACAAACGTTCTCACTTACTTCTGGCCAAATTCCTCCACTCCAAGTCAAAACATCACACACAACAATTTCTCCATCAACTTCCCCACCAACTCCCCCATCAACTTCTCCATCAACTCCCCCATCAACTTCCCCATCAACTTCCCCATCAACTTTCCCATTAACATCTCCATCAACTTCTCCATCAACTTCTCCATCAACTTCTCCATCACTTCTCCATCACTTCTCCATCACTTCTCCATCACTTCTCCATCACTTCTCCATCAACCCATCCATCAACCCATCCATCAACCCATCCATCAACCCATCCATCAACACGCAGCCCAAATGGGTCGCCATAGGAAGAAAGCAGCCAGCTTTCTTCGAGGAGATGAGAAAGGCTCAACTCCTACTCGATCCCAAAACCTTCCAGATCGTGACGATCCCACCGGAGCCCCTTTGTCTGAAGAGTATCCTGGTGGAGCCTATGAACTCCAGGAGCTGAACGAGCCTCCATCACAGGAACTACCGAGACAGGCTCTAGCAACAGAGAGAGTTGCATATGGAGAGGCGCAGAATGCGGTAGCTCCAGAAGAAGCCTCCATCCAATCGCAGCGGTCAATACCACTTACGGATATGTTGGACCAAAAGGAGCCTCAAAAAGGGACCACGAGGGAGACTCTTAGGACGAGGATACAAAAGGCATGGACTCTACTTAAAAACCCAAGGGCTGACCCACAGTATTGGAATCTTCCGCAAGGCCTTAGCAATCGCATCGTGTCGAACAAAGATCCATTAAAAGACAAGATCCGTCGGCTGCGTCATCGCAATAAGGGGGCTGCACCTCCAATCGAGCAGAAAAGCTCAAAATCGCAATTCCCCGACCCGATCCATGGTGAGAACCCACATCTCAACCCGGTACCTCCAAAGTCTGCACCTCCAGTCAGGACGCCGCTCAAGGTTGATGACCCCGGACCTGCTTTCGACAAGAACCAGAACCCTCTAGGAGGAGAGCACAGTGTATTTTACGAGACTGCCGAAGAACGAGAAGCAAGGAACAAGGATAGTCAGAGAAAGTGCGATAGTCGAACAGCGAGTGACCGCTTCTTGGCTCAGCGTAGACAGAAGCACCTTAGAAATTCTATCATCGGACGAGCACCACCATTTTCGAAAGCATATATGGACGAAGAGGCGCGTAGGCTGGCGTTGATTGGCCAGAGAACAGCGGAAGTCGACCCCAGAGGTTCCCGCTTGAACATGAAGGAGACACTGATGTTTCGGAGAAAGCCACGCATAGAAGTCGACCCCAAAGAGCTTGGGTTACCAATAAAGGGAGCACCCGTCTTTCAGTGGGACCGTGCTCTGCTATCGAGCAAGAAAATGCCAAACCTGTCGGTCAACGAGCATGGAGATGAAGAAATCGCTATGTCTCGTACATCAACTGTGCCAACTGCATCTCCCGAGGCCATTCAAAGTCAAAATTATCCAGCTGAGGAATATCCAGCAGATGATGCTCACCTACAGCAGGCTGATTTGACGATTTATGAGAGACCTAAATCCCTCGTCGAACATGCAGCCGAAGCGGGAAGTGCCACGCAAGCCTTTGGTCCCGTGTTGCTCAATAACCGATCTGCGAGAGATCTCCCCCATAGTCATAACGAAACATTCGCGAGCCGTGGTGGACCATCAGATGATAGCAGCTCAGATTATAGCGAGAAACCAGAATCTGACGAAGACCTCCAAACTGCCGGGATAAATACATCGAATCAGAATTCCGAGTATCACGCCGAGCTCTACCGTAAAGAGCTTAGAGTTATACCGAATAGCGCAGATACATCAGACAATGAACTTCAGCCAAGCCCTGCGGGTCCACGCCCTGATACCTTGACTCGAGCCCTTGCACTGAGACCTTCAAGGGCAGGTTCTGGTATGGTGGCCCCAGGGATTAAACCAAACAATGCGTTCAAAGAGGTCGATCAGAAGAGAAGAGAAGCATGGGAGCTCGCGGAAAACCTCCTAACCGGGCAAGTGATAGTACAGACTCCGGAGCCCAATATGGAGTTCACCTCAGAAAACGTCATTCCATATCTGAAAATGCTAGGTGCACAAGAGGAAGAGCAAAGATTAAATCAATTGAAAGAAGCATCTGTACCATCACCGGCTCCGGCATCATCAAGGCCAAATCATAGAGGGTACCGCCGACATGACGCACAAGAAATGATACCACAGGTGTCTAATTCGATCCGCGAGCCTGTTCGACAAAATAATTCATTCACTAATGAATACCGCTCTCAGGTTCCATCTCCATATTTGGGAACTACCGGAGGAATAGCGACTACTGCTTTGTCTTCTGGTTCTGTAGTGCAAGGTGGTAGAGTAGAAGCAGTGGTTTCGAGGAGTGGTAACGTTGTAGCAAGGGCTCGAGGTTTAATACCACAAGACCTCGAGCGATCCAGAGACACCACACAGTCTGGCCATCGACTGCAAGGAGTACCACCACAATTTTGTGATGGCCCAGGCACGTCACGTATTCCCCGAATGAACCAACCTAGAGCGCCAGAACTACGACAGGCACAGTTGCAGCCTGAATTTTTACCAGGTCGACTGCCACATAATCATCAGAGTGGTAGCTATCGGCCCAAAGAAAAAGGAATACGTTCTCCGAGAGTGAACTTTGAGGACTCTGAGGAAGAAACTAGACTTAGCCAAGATGGGCCGTATCCAAAGCTTCCTGGACGTAGCCAGCGATTGGTAGAAGAAACATCTCAGCGACCTAGGCAAAGAGCTGCTTCTGCTTTGACTGAAGGAAGTCGTCACCGAAACACACCCCTTCAAAACGAGCAGAGAGAACGAAACCGGCACGTTAGTGAACAAGGAAGGAGACAGGGCGAAGGAAGTCCATATATAAGCTCAGCCCTCCGAAATGAATGGAGAAGGCGAAACCAGCCGTCCAGCAATCAGGCAAGAGAGCATGGTGATGGGAGCGACCATCGAGATACAGCCCTCCAGAATGAACTGGTGAGACGAGCCCAGCTAAGAGATCAAGGCCAGGATCTTCAACCACTGGGACAAGGCAGATCTCATATACCATATGACAGTCGATCCCAACTTGCACAGCGGCCAGCAGGGGTCCTATACAGATCTGAGGCAATTGGATCTTCTACCAGCGAGCAAACTTTTGCTGCTAGGAATAGACGCTTTATCGAAGAGCAAACACGTAGCCAGGAAGGCCAGCGACAACAAGGTAGGATCCACATACCTAGCAAGTAGTTCAGTGTCATTTACACAACAGCTCCTATACAGCACATAGCTAACGAAGCAGAAGAGAGCCTGGTGCGTGAAGGTTATGGTTGGCGTCCGCCAATGCCAGCGAGACAGCCACATATTCCCATTAGAGGTGGTCAGAATGACCGCCTGGCAGGTGCTGGTGGTAGATCTGGCAATGTAAGTTGTTGTTAGGTCTGGTTCTGTGGGTAGTGCTAAGAAAGTCTCCAGGTTGATGTCGCTTTTCCGCAAAACCCCAGTGTGAGTCGTTGAGAGCTCTTGCTTTTCCGCATAATGCTTACCCAAGCAACCCCCTGCCACGTGACCCCACCCCCTGGCCTTGGTGCCTTGGTGCCTCGCAGAGAGTTCACGATAACAAGACTGACCCGTGATTTATTTCACTCTACAGAACCAAATCGGCCTTGCAATTGGGTTTCTTCCTACTAATCCTCCTCCTCCTTTTTCTAACCAACCTCTTCAATCCATTCAATACCAAGCTCCATCCAGCTCTGCAGTCCTGCAAGGTCCTCCGCAACTTGGCGCACGTAGCTACAGCGGTCTCCGCAGCAATCAAGCATCCAGACAACAACTAGACAGACAGCCACCGTCTGCCAACAACATACAATCACCCTCACAAATACACAAACTCTCTAAAACTGGCGCTCCCCGGTCTTTTTTAGAATAACGCTCATCACCACCTCCGGAGCCCATCAAGCTGACAGCCGGATGGATAGGCTCCAGGTCCGGCCAACTGAGTTCAGCTCGGTCAAGGCCAAAGCTATTGAAGATGCGCGGCAAATGCAGGCTACTGTGATTGAATTGGCTAACAAGGCTGGCAAACCTCCCCCCAAGTACGCTCTCTTGGAGCTCATTGGCAAAGGGAGTTTTGGTCGGGTGTACAAGGGGTAAGCATCCAGCCCAAAGCATATCACGTGCACCATCACTGACTCCCCCGCACAGAAAAGATATGACTTCGGCAGACATTGTGGCAGTGAAGATCATAGATATTGATGAGAGTGATACTGTTAACCCTCGGAACGCAGACTCGTATAGCGAGTTTCTTAAAGAGGTCAACGCGTTAAGGATTTTGAGTGACAACCGCGCCCGCAACATCAATCATGTTATCGAGGCTTTGCCAGTGGGGCAGTCAATGTGGATGATTACAGAGTATTGCGGTGGTGGGAGTATTGCCACACTTGTGAGTGTTCAACCTGCAGGATTATAGTTCTCAGCTCTGGATCGAATTTAACCATGATTACAGATGAAGCCTACTGCTCCCGGTGGGCTACAGGAGAAGTGGATTATACCAATACTACGAGAAGTAGCTGAAGCCATTAAGTGGGTTCACCAGGCGGGGATTATACACAGAGATATCAAATGTAAGCAGATTCGTTTCTCGGTCCTTTTAGGACTGTCCTAATGTCTTGAAGGCGCAAATGTTCTCATCACCGAGGAAGGAGGTGTACAGCTTTGCGACTTTGGCGTGGCAGGAATTATCGAGAACAAATTAGACAAGAGATCCACAGTCATCGGTACACCACATTGGATGGCTCCAGAATTATTCTCACCTACGCCCAGCTACGGGAAAGAAGTCGATATATGGGCCTTTGGATCTATGGTGTATGAGATGGCAACTGGGCTTCCGCCAAATGCCGCAAACCTCATCCCTTATGAGCGCTTAGGGTCTCATTTGAAGAATCACGTTCCAAGACTAGAGGGGGGAAACTATTCTAACGACCTGCGAAGCCTCGTAGCGTACTGTTTAGAGGAACTTCCTACTGCACGGCCGACTATCGAACAGGTACAAAAGCATCCATATATCTACAATACGAGCTCAAGATACCCTGCATCATCACTGACGCATCTTGTCAGAGCATTCAAGATGTGGGAAGACCATGGAGGAAGCAGAAAGTCACTGTTCATGCTGGGTGGTGCTCAAGGGCCGTCGGCGGAAGGTTCATCGAGTTCGCTACTTGATGATGAGTGGAACTTCAGCACAACTGCGTCCTTTGATCAGGAGGTGTCCCGAGAATCCACCGCTCAGGATGTCTACGAGGCATATGGGACCTCGGTTGAATTAGATGGGTTCTTCTCGGAAGAAACTTCTCGTCCCCAAAAACCGCAAGCCCAAAAACAATCGAGGCGAAGACCTCCTCCGGAAGCCCTAGCGCGTATTCCAGCGCCCCTCGAAAAGATATTCGATCCGAATACCCTTTCAAATTATGAAGATAATAGTCGAAACCATTACGGCCGACAAATGCAGCAGCCGGCCTCAGATTTACCCCTTCGAGACGATTCTGCTCAGACCTCTATCAGAGACACGATGATTGATCTAGGCGGACACGATTCGGATACTGGTCTGTCTAGCTTCCCTGACATGGAAACAATTAGGGCTGGCCGACGTACTCAAGAAGAGAGTGACGACGAATATGCCTCTACTTTACATGACTTTAGCCGACCGGCCCTCAGCGATCCCGCGGATGTCAACCCTAACCGTCGTACACAAGACTGGAAATTTCCCACTATGGTACCACCTGCTTCTGCAGATCCTGAAGTGTCACGATTTCCAATGGTCTACGATGTGCCATATCCCAGTGTGACCCCCGGCTCTGGTGATCGTCCTGCTTTAGTTCACCATCCAACAGAGCCCCTTGGTGCATTTGGCGGTGGACTTATGGGCCAGTCACAACCTACCCTGGACCGGCTGTCTATGAGAGAGTCATTGATTGACCTAGACATGAGCATGCCGGATGTAATACCTGATATCTTTCCCAGCGACGGTCGGCCATCCACAGCTTCCTCGGATGTTGAGTCTGAGACGAGTGACGTGACTACATCAACTAATCCATTTGCGCTCGAAAGGCATGTTTCCTTGATCCAGCCACATTCTGCTCTCCATGCAGATCAAGTCGATTCTTCTATCTACATCACCGAAGAATCCATTATGCCAACGCATCTGCAGTCCGCGAATCCAGTGAATGATTTGGCAGAAATTTCGGCCTTTTCAGCTTCAGATGCAGAAGGTCAAAACGGATATAATAATGGGGATATGCAATCTTCAACATATGGAGCAACAGTCTTCTCCGATTCCGAATCCGGGCCCATGCCACCTCAACTACGCCCCCCCAAAACACCTCCACGACGTTCGAGTGATCAACCTTACGCATTTGCTCACTTTCCAGAGTTACCTAATCCTCCATCTGAACGAGCACTATCTGGTTTGGCCTCCAATGAAGAGATGAAGGATGAGTTTAATAGGATGCTTGGTGCGATGACAGCACAGTTGGAGGCATTTCGTGATGTATATGCTTCATCACAAATTACCAACACTCGTCGAGAGAAGAAGGACGGGGACAAGAAATTCTAATCATCAGCAGCCTGAGAATAACGGAAGACAGAGCTGGTAATAAACATCATTGACTGAGGAAGGGGCCCGAGGCCGGAGTGATGATCTTCTTCAGGAACTTGTTTGGAATACTGCATAAAGTACAGGACGGGGGGATACTTCAATTTACATTTGACGCGCAATGCTGGCCCTCCAATTGGAGGAATGGTCATTACGACTAGGCGCAACTTCGAGCCGATAGCTTTAGGGCTACAGGCTGCGGATTTTCTTTCTTTCTACCCTTTTTCCCCCCCCATTTCAATTGTTTGAGTAATTACGATGATACCAAAAGGGCTGGCATTATAACAAAAAGCATAGCGATGGAGTTCCAGTTTGAGGGACAATACCATTAGGGATGGCTGGTTACAGTGCTAGATAGCATAAAAATGATACCAGCTTTAGACAATATAAAGACTAGGGCATGTGAATGTGAACGTTCTTCAAAGGCGCTCATCTCGTTATAGACACATGAGCATGGAGAGCTCGACTAATATTCTCAATATTATTATAAAATGTGACGTAGTGGGGTTGGCATTTATTAGTACCAGAACGTGTTTCTTGTTTCTACTTCTATCGGATCCGATTATAGAGCTTTGGATACCGAGAAAATCTTTCCACTGTCTAGATCCGACACCTTCCTAGACATTATAAATAAGGTGCACCACGTCGAAAGGAAGCAGTTCCAGAGCGCAAGAAATTTAATTTTGGAAACTAGCTAGATCTCCCATCAGCAAAGCCTGGTACTTTTCCACCACTTCCCTTATCCTGACCAGGCAGCCAGCGGCTAGCATCCTGACCTTCTCATCTTCCTGGCTCCCTCCAGCTCCCACTCGTCCAAAAATACCTTCTACCCACTCTTGCGTCTCTAACATCTGTCTGCCATGCTCTTCAACTAGTCTCCTCTTATCCTCATTGATGTCGAAAATGGTTAGGAATGCGAAAAGCATGGCTTCGATGACGGTAATATCCCCAATACTTTGTGTTCTGAGACTGAGTAGCAAGTCCCAGAATTCAGATGTCATTTGGGGCAGGCTGAGAGTGGAAGGTCCACTGGCGTGAAGGAGCAGGGACAGTGTCTTGACGAAGAGAGCAAGGAGGTATGGTTGGAAGACGACATTCGACCGGCCGGAGCCGTAGGCCCTAAGGTGTATGAAGAATCGACCTGTAAGTGGAAAGAAAAAGCCATCAGCCACAATCTTGGCCAGCGAATTCGCAATTGGCTTTTTCCGTTTCTTCTCGACGGCCATGCGAGAGGAAAATGTTCTGACTTTGAGGATCGAAGGGCCGGTGAGTTTATCAGCCAGGTCTGCAGCCATGGGGGCTATCATGGTATTGGAAAGTTCGGTTGATAGTCGGTCCACCGCTGTGTCCTCTGAAGTTGCGTCTCCATAGATTCTATGCAAGTGTTCGGGAAGAGCCTTGGATGGAAATGAGGACGACGGAAGGGAGCCTTTCGAAGTAGCTTTTGCATCCCCGCTGCCAAAACCACCTAATTCTCGAGCGCCTAATCCAAGAGTGGTGAGGACAGTGGCACGCTGTGAGATGGAATAGTCCCCATCGAAAAAGGTCTTGGAGAACCATTTACCCATTGTTAGAGGTTGGGCAATGAGAATAGCGATCATCCCTTGTAATCGCATATCTTGAAAGTCTTCCATGTCGTATTTATCTTGCAAGCCCACCAGGAGTGTCGCAAGTTCTTCCGCATGTGAGCTGACCTCTGTACCGAAGTTGGCTTTCCGTCGAATGAGTGATGCTGCTGATTGTAGAGCCAGCTTTTGCTTATCATAGTTCTCAGTATCCCTGAGATAATTAATTAAGTCTCGTATATAAACTGGAGCTGTTGGTTTATTGCGCGTGATTAAGGTAGGGTCTTCGTCCGAATCCTCTTCGTCCGAATCCGGCTTCGCATAAGGAACCAGACCATCATTGTCTGATTCATGGCCTTGGTCCTCACCATCATCATCATCGTCTACCTCTTCGATGGCAATGATTTTTGAACCCTCTTGGACGACCTGAGGTTTTTCTGATTTCTGGGAAGCGCGAGCGGGCGGTTTCTTAGCAACCTTGGCCACTGTCCGGGACATGAGAGGTTCAAGAGATCCAAGAGTATCCGAGACAGTCACTAAGCTCTTGTACCATTTAGCTTCTGAAGAATCCATTTCGTCCACTTTGAAGACCATCTTTTTGTCTCCTTTATCAACCAGGTCAGACAAAGCCTCGCCCACCACCATTCCCAGAAAGCGAGCACGAGGCGATGGTGCAGCCAACCTGTTAGATATCGCGCTCAGATAAGTCCCCGACCTCATCGTCATAGCAAGGTGCAGGGGCGCCTTTCGGTGAACGTATCCAGCAGATAGGAGTAGAACCTGGGCATGGGCTGGAACATAACTTTAGCATTGAGATAGGAACATATAAAATAGGAAGATCATACCTTCTTGTTGCATAGCAGGAGTATGTCTAATATATAGCTGATCCCCAAATTGCTGTAGACTTTTATCAAAAACAGCCTCGATGTCGCTTTTATCTGCAGCAAGGGCTACGATAGATGCGCGTCGAATTGCAATACCGTCACCGACACCAGCGCCAGAGGAAGCAGTCAACCATGATATGACTTGAGCCTTGCGTGACTCTTCATTTGCCAATACCAAGTTGATCAACCTGGCAGCAGCAGAAACAATGTCCGCATCCTGCTTGTACCAATTGGAATTATCTTCCGAAATAACTAATACCGATAAATATTCTCTTGAGATGAGTTTGAGAATCCCCTGAATAAAATTGCGCTGCTCAGAATGTGACAGGCCGCCAAGGAGCTTTTCGAACCTTGCCGAATGATCTTGGGGCTTCAGGATGAGGATGCCGATAATTTCCTTGATAATATTCTCTGCATCCTGTCAGTACCTGTCATGAGGCCTCGAACTGGAAAGCTTACCAGTATACCCCAGACGCAGAGACTTGCTGAGCAACTCGACACAGCGTTTCCACTCCTGTTCGGATTCTAACGGTATAGTTCTGGCTAAATGGGTGATATTTTGGGCGAACCATCTGCTGTACAGAGTGCCATCTGAAACCCAGTATTTCTGTTGAACATCCTTGCTAAGTTCGTTGATAATATCCTCCGCTTCGGCTGAAACTCCCAAGATCTTTCCGCCTGCTGTTACGCTGAGAAATTCGTTCCAAATAGTTTTTTGTTTCGATGGAGCATCTAATAGACCCCAGATGCTCTTCGAAATCCTCTCAATTGTATCAGCCCCTTCGAGCAATGTAGATATCAATTGCAAAAGTCTTGTTAAGACATCCTGGATATTGAAGCCTCCTCCTATGGTCTTCTTTGGCTCCCGAGACTGCTGGATAGCTTGCTTCAAATTTAACAGAATAGCATTCAGACCCGTCACACTTCGTAGGCAAGATAAAAGTAGTTCCAAATCCGAATTTCTCTTCGAAAGCCCTTGCTTTCGTGCCTTCGCGGCACTGTGTGATTCTTGGAGAATATCCCAGTAATTCGGGATGATTTCTGCTACAAGAACATGTACTATCTGAGCTGACAGAGGGCTTGGAGAGGAGATATTGAAGTCAGAGTCATCTTTTTTGAAATAACGTAAAGTGGAAATGAGCGCCTCATAATCCGGCTTGTTCCGCAATATCTCAAGAGCTTCTTCTGGTGTTTCAGCCTGCGAGGTGGGTTTTGGAATAGCCTCAGGCCGCTTTCCAACTTCGACTAGCTCTTCCTCCAGCGTCTGACCTGGGGTCTTGTATGAGGTTCTCACAGGTGTGAGCAAGCCCTCCATAGCCGCTGCAGCTCAAGTTGGGAGACATTTGGACTCCAAAAGGAATTGGTGGCGGAAGTTTGATGAAGCGGCCGGTCGGCTAACGCGCTTATGATAGCGCTTAAAGTAATCTATGCAGGGCGATAAGAACCGCCCGCACCTTCAGCGACGAACGGAACTCGTCCTTCAGCATCCCCAAAACTGTCTATTAGAATGTCACAACCAGTCATGGTGGCTTCTACACTGCAGGCACCGACTGTGCCAGATTCGCGATGGTACAAGATTTCCCTTCCGAGTCTCCTTCTGGGAGAAGCTAAAAGCTAATGATCTCTTTAGGATCTACCTGGATAATGTCCGTCAAAAGAAAGGACCCTTTACAGATGAGGAGAGTTTTGATGCAAGCGGGGAGGCTGTTTCTGCTATGGAGAAAATGAAACTTCTGTTGGTAAACTCAACGCTCAGAATGTCACTCTTCTCTAACACTACTGCAGAGTCATGTTGGTTTCCTGGAGCATGTTGGCATAGTCATGGTTGCTGACAAGCAAACAGCGGTGCTGGTGGTCTAGGCTGTGAAATCTTGAAGGACCTGGCGCTCTCTGGTTTTAAGGATATACACGTCATAGACATGGGTAGATTATTAAAATCGTTCCCGAATGTCCATTTACTGAAGCTTTTACAGACACTATCGATGTCTCCAACCTCAACCGACAGTTCTTATTCCGACAGAGCGATGTTGGCAAATCGAAAGCTGAAGTAGCAGCAAGATTTGTGGAAAAGAGGGTAAAGGGTGTTTCAATTACACCACACAACTGCAAGATTCAGGACAAGGACGACGAGTTCTATATGCAGTTCAACATCGTTATCTGCGGCTTGGACAGTATTGAGGCTAGGAGATGGATCAACTCAACGTTGGTTGACCTAGTAGATAATGAAAATCCGGAAAGCCTCAAACCCCTTATTGATGGAGGCACTGAAGGTATAGTATCCTACCCTGACCTGTATGGCCAAGACTGAACAGAGATACCAGGATTCAAGGGCCAATCCAGGGTCATATTCCCCACCATGACCTCTTGCATTGAATGTCAACTTGACATGCATGCCCCGAGAGCCGCAGTCCCACTTTGTACGCTAGCAACCATCCCACGCCAACCAGAACACTGTATCGAATGGGCGCATATCATGGCGTGGGAGCAGGAGAAGCCTTTCCCAAAATTAGACAATGATGACCCGGAACACATCACCTGGCTCTATAAGAAGGCGCTGGCGAGAGCTCAGGAATTCAACATTAGTGGTGTTACGTATTCATTAACACAAGGAGTAGTCAAGAACATCATTCCGGCTATTGCCTCAACAAACGCGATTATCGCTGCAAGCTGCTGTAACGAAGCCTTCAAGATTGCGACGTCGACAAATCCATCGCTCGGGTTTGAGGAGAATTACATGATGTACAGCGGTAATGATAGCATTTACACCTACACATTCAAGCACGAGAAGAAGGATGACTGTCCAGTCTGTGGAAATATCGCGCGGAATATGGAAATCGATCCGAACTTTACACTTGAAGAGTTCATTGAATCGTTAGCCGCGAGACCAGAAGCGCAGTTGAAGAAGCCATCCATTCGCTCAGAGCAAAAGACGATCTACATGCAGAGCCCCGAGAGTTTGGAGTTGAAGACCCGACCCAATTTGGTCAAGAAGATGGGAGAGCTGGTTGAAGATGGCGAAGAGATAGGAGTTTCTGACCCATCATTGGGCAGCGTCAACTTCAAATACCGACTCCGATTCTCAAAGCCATTTAAGTCTCACTGAATGGGGCTGGAGCTTCTAAAGAGCCTTGACAAGCAATTACTTCGGCGAGATTAGCGGGACACCAAGGGAACAGGATGATTAGCACAGTTTTGCATGGTTTGGACGAGCATGAGAACGGAGTTACACAAGACGATATCTATCATGTGGAGGTTACTTTTTTATCTACACCCTAGGCCTTGATTCCTCAAGGTGCCCATGAACGCCAGATCCCAAACTCCTGCAATGCATGTGTTACAGCCATCTCTATCTTGTCATATCTGCTAAGTTCTTCTTCAGCCCCTCGCACTTGACCTTCAAAACCTTTACGGCTTCCAGGAACATCTCGTCGCTGTCCCACTGTCCCAAACTTTCGACCGAGAAGATGAAGTGATCTCGTACTCTTCCCAGCTTGACCTTGCCATTGAACTCCTCATGTCGTAAGACCTCCCTGCTAACTGTGTCCTTCATGGGATCTCTCACAACAGCCTTCTTTTCCCCTTCGTGTCCCTCGTACCCACTTCCTATTTGCGCCGCTTCCTCTTTGGTGACAGTCTCGAGACCAATGACACCCCGGGGGAAACATCTTGCAAACTTCTCAGCATCCTTACCCAGTATAGGTTTTGTGATCGTGATAGTTGGTAGTAGACGATACGAGGCCGTTGCAACAGGAGAGTATTTCGCATGATCGCTCCCCACGCCCTTGATAGCGTGCATGTCCACATCAATACACTGACCGGGCCTCAGCTTCGCAATTAGGATATCAGGATTCGTAGGCATAATAGCATCATCATCGCTGAAGTACTTCAACTGTCTACCAAACGGTTTGAACTGGATGTCCTTGGCGTAGACATAAGCGTTGTGATATAGTTTGTGAGGATCTTTTTCCCCCGGGGCGGCGTTTTCGTTCCGGGTGCATTCAATCTTAAGGGATAGTGCAATAGTGTTGTAGTCGTAGGCTTTGGAAAATTGCTCTTCCGCAGGAGCGTCTTCTTCAGGTTTCTTGAACCATTTTAAGAATGAGAGGAGCCCTTCCTTCCCGCCCTTCAAAGGCACGAGACCCAGACGCGCCGCAAGGACTTCATCCTGGATCACAGAGGTATTGTTGTTCACAAAGACGTATTCGATGGCGAGGGTAGGGATCTCGGCCAGCAGAATGCGCCGGAATGCATTGGCAACGGAGGCATCTATGCCGATGAGGGAGAAGGACGCATCGAAGGGTTTATTGTGGTGAAACTGGACTTGGAAGGATTCCTGGAACTTGTTCTTATCCCACGCATGGTCTTCTCCAGGGTAGTGGTGAGGAAAGTCGGTGGAGGAGACATTGGTGACGGTTTCGGCGTTGACACCGACGATCTGGGCGGGAATCAGACAAGCAGAAGAGAGCAGCGGAGGGGATTGCGTACCTTTCGCGCTTCCTGCTCAGCCGGCGACGGGTTCTTCAATCGTAGCGGGTGCGCGGCCATGTTTGCGCATGAGAGAGGCTCTTCAAGAAGCCTCTGGTCGCAATGTGATGCTATGGCGGGGCGTCAAAGAATTATATATTTTTATACAGGCAAGTATTTTTTTTGGCGGGTTGCCGACCCTTGTCGGTCGCCGCACGGTACGCTGGCCAATGAGAGACAAGCAGAAAGCTATTATATCTCGAGCCGAAAGGTCGTGAACCTCATCATTGACGAACCCAAGACGAAAGGAGGCAACTCTTTGGACGCCAACCCCGTTTTTCTGCTCCTCAATTCATCCGAGAAGCTTGAGATCTGGTCACCACCATCCGGCTTCTTGGTGTCTTCGATCTCAATGGCTGCATCCCTCACCCGGCTGGCCGGCCGCAGTGCCAAACGCCTCTGCTTGCGACCCGCGCTCCCGCTATCACCACGAGCTCCTATACGTGCCTTCTCAGCTGCCCCCTCTCTGAGGTCTCCTGAGCCATACCAAGGGACGAGGCTGATTCCGACCAACGAGCACTTCGCCCACCCCACCGACCCCTACGACACGCAACACATCAATGTGGTTCCCGAAGAATCAACATCCGACGAGTCTGCTGTCGAGAACAGAAAGATCCGGCATTACACTGTCAACTTTGGTCCCCAGCACCCTGCCGCTCACGGTGTGTTGCGATTGATTCTCGAGCTTAATGGAGAGGAGATCGTGCGATCGGATCCTCATGTGGGACTGCTGCATCGCGGCACAGAAAAGTTGATCGAATACAAGACCTACATCCAAGCCTTACCTTACTTCGACCGATTGGACTATGTCTCTATGATGACCAACGAGCAGTGCTTCTCTCTGGCAGTGGAGAAGCTTCTGAACATCGAGATTCCGGAGCGTGCAAAGTGGATCCGAACAATGTTTGGAGAGATTACCCGAATTCTGAACCATTTGATGTCTGTCCTGTCTCACGCAATGGATGTTGGTGCACTTACGCCTTTCTTGTGGGGCTTCGAGGAGCGTGAGAAGCTTATGGTAAATATTTTAAGTTCTGGAATGCTATAAACAGGGAGGCTAAAATCAGCGCAGGAATTCTATGAAAGAGTGTCCGGAGCCCGTCTCCACGCTGCCTATGTCCGACCTGGTGGTGTCCATCAGGATCTCCCTGTCGGCCTTCTGGATGATATCTATCAATGGGCTACCCAGTTTGCAGACCGTATCGATGAGACCGAAGAACTGCTGACCGACAACCGTATTTGGATTGGACGCACGAAGGGAGTTGGAGTTGTCTCTGCTGCAGATGCCCTCAACCTTTCCTTCACTGGTGTTATGCTTCGCGGTTCTGGTGTTCCATGGGATGTTCGAAAGAGCCAGCCTTATGATGCTTATGGCGAAGTTGAATTTGATGTCCCTGTTGGCGTCAATGGCGATTGCTACGACAGATACCTTTGCCGAATGGAAGAATTCCGACAATCGCTCCGGATTATCCACCAATGTCTGAACAAGATGCCTCCTGGACCAGTCCGCGTCGAGGACTACAAGATCTCCCCACCCCCACGAGCCGCCATGAAGGAGAACATGGAAGCCTTGATTCACCACTTTTTGCTGTTTACCAAGGGCTACACCGTGCCCCCTGGAGAAACTTATTCTGCTATCGAGGCACCGAAGGGAGAGATGGGCGTTTTCGTCGTCAGCGATGGAAGTGAGAGACCATACCGATGCAAGATCCGAGCACCAGGTTTTGCTCATCTCGGAGGATTCGACCAGATTTCGAGAGGACACTTGTTGGCAGATGCGGTCGCCATCATTGGTACTATGGATTTGGGTAAGTCGTTTGCTTCGCTGGTTGTTCTTTCTGATGACTAACACATTTGTAGTTTTCGGTGAAGTAGATCGGTAAAAGGAGAAATAGATGTCGTGGTAAATTGTACATGGTGATACCGCTGGCATAATTCCTATGTTTGTACAATCATCATTGCGTTAGCAATGCCAGCACACATTAAATTGATATCCGAAGTGATTATTTTTCCTTTACTCACGAGAAGTGCCCGTTATGCTGAGTCGCGCCTGGCCATGTCACTGCTGACTACCATAGGCTGCTGCTGCTCTGTATCTTCTCCATAGTCATGTTCTGATGACCACTGATCAGGAGATCCTGTTGTTGGCACTGACATGGCCCTTGATGCTTTTGGCGACGTCTGAAGCGGCGGGGTATGTTGGGGAGGTGCCGAGGTCGAATAGGGGTACCACTTCATTCCAGCGCCCGCCTGGCCGATCACCAGTTGCTCCTCGAGGCCATATCCACCTACGACCATTGCGTACGACTGATTGGGATCCGTCATCTGAACACTACTTTGTTCAATGTAGTATCCAACATACTCATACGCAGCCACGAGTGCCGGGTCCCCCCGGTCTTGATGTGGATGGCCCTGTCCTGTTTCTCTAACCGTGTTGGCACTTGCTGTACCTCCCTCCTCGACATCACGTGGCCCAGAAGTCTGGCCACCACTGATGGCTTTACCCTTCCCCTTTCCAGGTCTTGGTCTTGTTCGTCTTGATCTTTCCTCCCTTTCGAAGACAGTCTCGCAGAAACATTCCCCTCTCAAATGACGGCCCCGATGCTCCTCTTCCTCCTTCAACACCTTCAGATTCCAAACTACCCTTGAACACGGATGGCAGTACTCATCTGTGAAAATGGGTCTCTCTGCCGGGTATTCGCAGATCGGGAACGAAGGGTTTGACAGAGAGACTGGGCACTTTCTGAGATATGGGATAGAGCAATGGCCACAGTTGTAGCCGAAAAATTCCTTGACACACATGGCTGCTGTTCCCGTGACCTCGTTTCAATTCAGAGTTGTTGAGACGATGTGAAAACCTTTGGTTGAGAGTTGTTGAGACAACGTGAATCTTTGGCTCTTTGTTGATAAGTGTGAGAGTGAAGAGACTGTAATGGAGACTTGGCTGGTCCGGGCGCAGAACGATCGATAGGATGAGGGCGAGTGCTAAGAGGAGATCGGTCAATATGCTAATATCGGATCTCTTTGTGAATCAGTTAGCAAGCTTCGGAAGCGCGACGAATATGCTGATTATTCGAGTCAATATTGACGAAGTTGTGATATCGGAGTGCAAAGAGGCTGTTGATGAGTGAAAGATCTTGAGAAGTCTTCGGATCTGAATATTGACTGGGTAAAGAGGGCAAACTCCGATTTGCTGACCTTCCTACTGTCTGTATTGATTTGTCTTTTGTTGATCGTTTGGGCAGACAGAAAGAAGTTCCAGGCAAACTGTTCTTGCTGCTAGAGATCCTGCAAGAGAGCGTACCGAGAATAATATTACGCGTTATTTCGATGGCAAAGAACACGAATGAATAAAATTCAGAATTATCCACAGAGGGAATAATGATAAACGTGTGTTGGGTATTTGGAATGATACTTGGAAGTTGTGAAGGAAACGTATCTGACGGGTCAGAACGAAATAATGTTTGTCTGAATTTTGTTCACAACGCCTTGCTTGTCTTTGAAGAATGCGCCAGCGCTCCTAAACTTACCGTCTTATTGACATGTATCCATGTGTATGGGCATGGAGAGAATACGACGGAAGAGGAACAGAAGAGAAGTAGAGGTGGGAGTTGTGGTGATAAAGGGGAGAATATATAAGGTGGAAGCAATAAGGCAAATAGGGGGAGTGAATCACTATCCCCGGTTTGCTCTAGCGCCAAGTTTTTCTGTGAATCATCTGTAGACGTGGAAGGTTTATATTGATTGTTGGTAAGAAGTTGAGTCTGATTTTGAATATTGGGCAACTTGGGGGGTTGAACTGTGTTTGCCACGCGCGCCGGACGAGTGGAGGAAAGACAATTCCTTGATTGACTGATATTTCTTTCAGTGTTCCATCTCAATCGACTTAAAGAGACTTGAGTATCGAAGTCTTCTTGGTTTGCAGGATGGAAAGTTTCATTGTGATATCTATTGATCAGTTTCAAGAATCGATTCATAATCTGGAGTTATTAGTACTTGTCAAGACAAGAAGGATAACCTGGGCTTTGCTGCAGTCATAGCATAGGCCAGCTGTATATGTATCTGACACCACTGATACCTCTTTTTTAGTACCAGAAGTCAATTGGGAGTAGCTATCAAAGGGTCGCTGTGAATTATTTGCAAGATATAGTTCTTCATCACCTACAACAACCTCTATATTTCTTGGCTCGTCACGTTTCATCATCTCTACTTTCTTCACCTAGCAGTTGACAGCATGTATCGTCACTACACCTTTCTACACGCCTGCGGTCATACAGGAATAGGGCCAATGATCCGTACCCATGCAACCCCAGCAGAGACATACCATCTTCCACCATCAAATGCCAATCTCGGCAGCATCCAACTTCCTCTCTCCTCTCGCTGTCCATTCTGCGCCGATAGACAAGCCTACCTGAATACAGAGCCAGGTTCAGGCGTCCTAACAGTTTTGGTCTCGACAACCAGCAATCCATTTCCACACGAATGGAGGATCCTACGTGTCTGCAGAGCTGACGAAGTAACTTCCAGCGACTGGGATATGGTTCATGGGCCAGGAGGTTTGTTTCGGCAGATGGCGTGGATTCCAAGGCCTTGTGGGCGAGTGCAGGTTATTGGGGGTGAGCAGAGGATTCAGATGCAGGATAGAAGGGGGTCGGGAGTGAGGATGGAGGTGAGCTGTACTTGGAGACAGCCTTTGAAAGAGCGAGTCAGGAGTAGATTGCCTGGGATGTTCTCGGAGTTGAATGCTGCTTTGCTAGCTGGTAATGACGATAGGAACTGATGTCGACATGATATATGGCTTAAAGTGTTGGATAATGTGCATCATGACATTCTTACATGCGTTCGATCGGCTCAAGGCCAGGACTTGGTGCTTAGGAAACAGATAGCATACATCCTCTCTGCTTACTTTGATCAACGACACAGAACAGCACCATGGGGCATATTGTCTCGGCAGCTCTCCTTATTCTAGATGCGTCAAATCCAGGATAAATGATATAATTTTCTCCAAAACCACTGGGCATCCTCAGCTACACAAAGAGGGTCCATTTGTTCAATGATTAGTCTGTATTTTGCCACCTTGGCCTTGGGCAAGAGATCAGAACTCCTTACTCAGACTTATGAGTTTATATCTGCGTCAAGCGGCTTGACTTGATGTCGCATTACCTATTTCTGGGTGCTTTGCAACTGTAGACCAGAGAGAGGGAAGGGGCCGAACGGGATCTGGGTGAGAAAAAGCTGTACTTTTTCTTCTTTAACAGAGGTTTCTTCTGCTCATGATTCTAAAGCGTCCCTGATGAAATTGCGGATCAAAGTTATTCAAGATTTTTGTGCATTATATAAGGAAAATGTACATGTTGAAGTTCAACTTAGGATTGGCTTTTGGCTTTGGTACAAGGGAATCGAATTCTATCCGAGCCGGAAAGACCCGAAACTGTATGACTAGACTACATATTCACAAAAGCTCTACTCCTCGGAGGCTGCTGCACCAGTGATAATCTCGACCAGCTCGCCAGTAATGACGGCTTGACGTGTTCGGTTGAACAAGATTTGGTACTTGTTGATCATATCACCAGCGTTCTTGGAGGCATTCTGCATATAGTTAGCATGGTGGACAAACAGAGAAGATAGTGCGCAATAGGAGAAGGTATAAAGGGGTAACATACGTCCATGGCATTGCGACGAGCGGATTGTTCACAAGCGTGACCTTCGGCAAGAGCCCAGTAAAGGGAGTTGGCCAGAGCGTATTCACGGAGGTTGGAAAGGACCTCCTCATCAAACTCGAAAGCGGAGAAGTTGGCTTGATAAAACATATTAGTTGAGAACCCGCAAATGTTCATTTTGATCTACTCACGGGAGTTTACAATTGCCTCCTCAGAGAAGGCCTCGATGGGTGTGGCCTCGTAACTTTGGGCGTTGATGAACTTGTTGTAAATGATCTGAATATCGGCGTAGTCGGTAGGCAGAAGGACGATCTGGTCAGCGATAGCTTGAGCATCTGCGAATGTTGGGATGTCCTTTCCGACACCAGCAAAGCTCAACACAATGTTCTTGCCGCTCGATCGGGCCAGTTGCGCCTTGCACTTCTCACCCAACACAACGATATCAGCATCTGGCTTCTCGGCAAGCATTCTGCGGACGGCCTTGGACAATCCGGAGTGAATACCACCGCAAAGGCCCTTGTCGGAGCTGGCAACAACAATCAGGGTTTTCTTGTTCTCGCCCTCGACAGGCTTCGTCTCAGCGTGTTCGAACACAGCATTCGAGGTTTGTCCGTATGATCGAGACTCGGTCATTGCACGTTGGGCACGGGTGAGCTTGGTTGAGGCAACAATCTTCATGGTGTTGGTGATCTTCTCGATGTTGCGAATGGACTTCAGTCTGTCCTCAATCTCACGGAGGGTCGCGAAGGTTGCGGCATTTTGGACAGGCGCCCTGTTCACACAAATTGATTAGTCTCCGTATCTCCAATTGATGAATCTCCCCATCTGCCAGCGTGAACTGCGAAGCAGCTCCTAGTCCATCCTCCGCATCCGATCGACAGGAGTCTCTCTCTTACCGGGCAGCGGCGGCAGCACCGGCTCTCAAAGCTGGGCGGGCAGCTCTTGACAGCATCTTGTGGGACAAAGGGAGACGGTGGTGGTCCTTTCGTATCGGGGTTCAATTGACCACGAATGCGTTCGAGATCAATCTAATGGGTTGAAGATGCTTTTCGGGTCTCGGCTGCTTCATTACCTTAGGGAATCAAATTCGAGCTCTGAGGCGGCTTAGTCATCGCCCCCGACCCGCAGCCAATCAGCAGAAGAGCCTGGCCGGCCTCAGAATACTAAGGACCTACGAGTACAATAGCGAAGGAAATTCCCCCAAGTCGATTCTCTTCTCTGTATGTTTGCCAGACGCCACTCCTTCCACCCGCACTTTGTCTCCAGACGACTTCGCTTGGTCCGCCCACGAAGGATCCCCAGTCCGACCTTTCTACGCGCTCAGAGGCATGTTCTGACTATCTGCCCTCCATAATTCGCGTTAATACTACTACGTATTGACAACTCCTCAGCTCTGCCCCCAGGGCCACTCAGCACAAGCCATTTCCTTCACCTCAGCGCCTCTCCCCTTTTCCTTTCATAATGTCTTCCGATTCAGACGATATGCCTTTAGCCAAGGCAAACAGACGTGGTGAGCATCTCCCCTTCTCTTTCTCTACTCCTGGCAGAGTTCTTGCGTCGCGGCTCTGCTCGTCAAGGCGCTCTCACCCTCACTCCCGCATTCACTCTCACACTCCACAGCACCATCCCCAACTCCATCCGACTTGCCTTTCTTGGCCGTTCTCTTTCAGCCTTCGCCATTTGAAGACTTGGGCTAACTTACCACAAGTCTCTGCAGCCCACATCTCGAAAGACGACGACAAAGCTATGGACAAGGCTGAGGCAAAGACAGATTATGCTCCTGAGGGAGTCTCGGTCCGGAACGGCCCAGTCCTGGATGACAAGATGGACGTTGACGAACCAGCCACGAATGGCAATGCAAAGCGCAAAGCAAGGACTAGCACTGCAAAGGCCGTCAATTACAATGTCGATGGAAGTGAGGGCGAAAGTGACGAGGACGCAGCGCCATTGGTATGTCAGCTTACCACCCTCCAACATCTCCTCCCGATCCGATTTGAAGTTACTTTTAACATCAATTTCAACACCATGCTGACGAGCAGCCTAGGCCAAGCGTCAAAAGACGGCAAAGAAGCCCGCGGAATCCGAGTCCGATGATGATCAGCCGTTGGCCCGCAAGAAGGCCAGCAAGCTTCCACCGAAAAACGACGTGGCTACAGTCGGTATAGATACTTCTGATGACGAACCTCTTAACACGAAGCTTGCCAAGCAAAAGGCCTCAATTGAAAAGAAGGCTGAGAAGGAAGCTAAGGCTATACGTGCAAAGGAAAGCAAGGCGAAAAAGCCCACCCCGAAGAAAGCAGTCAAGAAAGAGGAATCCGACAGTGAAGGTGACGTTAAGCCGAAGAAGCGGAAACCGAATGGTACTGCATCTACAAAGAAGACGAATGGCGTGAAGAAGGAGGAGTCCGACTCAGATGTACCACTCGCGAAGAAAGCCGCTGTGAAGAAGACCAACGGCAGAGCTAAATCCGAAGACTCCTCTTCCACCAAAAAGGGGAAGGGTAAAAAAGATGAGAGTGAGGAAGCGGAGGAGGTCTATCGTTGGTGGGATGCTCCCAAGAAGGAGGACGACAGCATCAAATGGGAGACCCTGCAGCATAATGGTGTCGTTTTCCCACCACCGTATGAACCTCTTCCTGAGAATGTCAAGTTGCTGTATGACGGGATTCCACTCACCCTCTCTGTCGAGGCCGAAGAAATCGCAGGATTCTTTGGCGCTATGCTAAATTCCACTCACAACGTCGAAAATCCAACATTCCAAAAGAACTTCTTCGAAGACTTTACCGAGGAGGTCAGAAAGACTGGTGGAGCTAAAGACAAGGATGGTAACCTGGTCGAAATTAAAGAGTTTTCCAAGCTGGACTTCAAGCCAATCTTCCAATACTACGATGCAAAGAACCAGGAGAAGAAAGCCCGCTCAGCAGCGGAAAAGAAGGCAGACAAAGCTGCCAAGGATGCGATCGAAGCACCCTACACCACATGTATCTGGGATGGTCGTAAGGAGCAAGTTGGTAATTTCCGTGTCGAACCCCCCGGATTATTCCGTGGTCGTGGCGAGCATCCAAAGACCGGCAAGGTCAAGCGACGGGTTACTCCAGAGATGATCACCATAAATATCGGTAAAGAAGCAGTTGTACCTGCTCCTCCAGAGGGACACAAGTGGAAAGCCGTTCAGCATGACAACAAAGCTACTTGGCTTGCCATGTGGCAAGAGAATATCAACGGAGCCTACAAGTATGTCATGCTCGCTGCGAAGAGTAGTATCAAGGGCCAAAGCGATTACAAGAAGTTCGAAAAGGCCAGAGAGCTCAAGAAGCACATCGACCGCATTCGCAAGGATTACGAGAAGGATCTTCATGCTGAACTCATGGCTGATCGCCAACGTGCCACGGCAGTTTATCTTATTGATAAGTTTGCCCTGCGTGCTGGTAACGAGAAGGATACTGAAAACGAGGCCGAGACAGTTGGCTGTTGCTCCTTGAAGTACGAGCATGTCACGCTCAAGCCTCCGAATACAGTCATCTTCGACTTCCTCGGAAAGGATAGTATCCGATTTTATGATGAGGTCGTCGTTGCCCCCCAAGTCTTCAAGAACTTGAAACTCTTCAAGAAACCTCCGAAAACGAATGGCGATGATATCTTCGACCGTCTCACTGTACGTGCGAATCCGACCCTTTCAAATCAAATTGCTAACGTATCTAGACCACACAACTTAACAAACATCTGACGAACTACATGCCTGGCCTGAGTGCTAAAGTTTTCCGTACCTACAACGCCTCGTACACCATGTCGACACTGCTTCAGGGACTCAAGAACAACAACGCCAGCATTCAAGAGAAAGTTAAGCTTTACAATGACTGCAATCGGCAGGTGGCCATTCTTTGTAACCATAAGCGTACCGTCGGGGCTAGTCATGAAGCACAGATGGAGAAGATAGGCGACAGAGTATATTGATCCGAAGCTTACTTATTTAACATGTACTAACCCGATTACAGATCAAGGGTCTCAAGTATCAGAAATGGCGCACCAAGCAAATGATCTTGGATATTGACCCAAAGCAGAAAAAGAAGCTGGGGGCTGAGTATTTCGAGCTGGATGAAGATCTCGATGAAGCTTGGATTCTCGAGCACCAGGCGTTCCTAGTCCAGGAACAGCGGACCAAAATTGAAAAGAAGTTCCAGAAGGATAATGAGAAGCTCGTTGCTGATGGTCAAAAGGAGATGAAAGCAAAGGAGCTCGCCGAGAGACTAGAGGCTGCCGATGAACTCGAGAAGAAATTCAAGAGAGAGAACAAGACGAAGAAAGTCGTGGCGGAGGGTAAAAGCCCGACAGTTGAGAAATACGAAGCAGCCATCAAGAAGCTAGATGAGCGGATTACGACCATGATGCTCCAAGCCGAAGACCGAGAGGGCAACAAGGAGGTTGCGCTCGGTACTAGTAAGATTGTGAGTAATTCATCTCAGCTTTGAGATCATTGCGCTAATCGTCTTCAGAACTACATCGATCCTCGACTTACGGTTGTCTTCGCAAAGAAGTTCAATGTTCCGATCGAAAAGTTCTTCTCAAAGACGCTCCGAGAGAAATTTACCTGGGCGATCGAATCCATCGAAGATGATGACGACTGGGAGTTTTAAGTCGCTGGATTTGTTTATAGGTCGTTTTATTCAACATACACGCAGTGAGTGAGCTTTTAATCTGCACCTAGGGATACATACGGGCACGGCGTCAGCATAGGTTTGCTCGGCTAGGCAATCATTGATACCCCACAAAAAGGGGGAGTATCCAGTAGAGGATGGAAAACTCGGAGGACCGACGGGATAGGACCTCCTAGGTACAGGACATCAGGGCGGGCAACTTCTTGGATTTAGATTGTTGCTGCTTTATCCTCACCGCAGTCTCAAACCATTCCATCATTCCATCAAGCAACACCTCATTCATGCCTTTGCACTCTACATATGCATGGCATAGATAGATGTACAGAAAAAGAACATTTAGAGCACTCCACAGCATAGTAAATAAGTCATAACGCTATGGTCAAAGAAACTCTTACCTGAAACGTCGTATCCTGCTTAAGTGTAATCCATCCACGTGATCTCAACTAGGTTCAAGGTTTACCTACCTACCGTACCTTTAAGGTACATTAGCTAAGGTAAGGTACCTTACCTACAAACTAAATGCCTTGCAAAATGATCAATCGGACAACTCGTATCTAGCACAATTCAGGTACAATGAAGATTCCCTCAACGTCTCTTTCGACCCGGCAACTTGGAGGTTATGTCTGTAGTGGTTGCACACGTCAATTACGGCGTCAGAGAAGAAGTTATGCCACCTCCACCGTCAACCCGGATCTCTACGACGTAGTCTGTGTAGGAGGGGGGCCAGCAGGACTCAGTCTCCTAGCTGCTTTACGTATGTAATTCAATTGTCCTCCCCGCAGCACCAGGCCTTCAAATAACCAAGATGCCGTCACAGGTTCGCAACCGGCCACAGCCAATCTCAAAATCGCGCTTGTCGAAAGCCAGCGCCTGGACGCAACGCGCAACTTCCAGCTCCCTCCGACGCAGTTCTCCAACCGCTGCAGCTCATTGACCCCGTCTTCGGTACGATTCCTAGAGCAGGTCGGCGCCTGGCAGCACGTGGACCAGAAGAGAGTGCAAAGCTATGAGGAAATGCAGGTCTGGGATGGGGTTACGGGGGCGAGGATCGAGTTTGACTGGCCCGCGGAGAAGCGCGGACAGACGATTGCGTACATGAATGAGAATCTTAACCTGACGTCTGGTCTCCTGAAGAGGATTGACGAGCTGGGTGGGGTGGAGGTGCTGGATGGACAGAAGGTGGAGGATATTGCGCTCGGCTCCGAGACGGAGGATTTTGATCTGAGCAGCTGGCCGGTCGTGAGCTTGAGCGGGGGCCGGAAACTGGCTGCGCGGTTGCTGGTCGGTGCTGATGGAGCCAATAGTCCTGTGAGGGCATTTGCGGGTATCGGGAGCAGAGGTTGGGATTATGAGCGCCATGGTGTTGTCGCGACGCTCCAAATGGAGGGGCCAGGATGGGGGGGAGAGTCCAAGATTGCGTATCAGAGATTCTTGCCAACGGGCCCGGTGGCTATGCTTCCACTTCCGGGGGACTACTCGACGCTGGTTTGGTCAACTACTCCCGCCCTCGCGGCGCACCTGAAGACTTTGAGCCCCAAGGATTTCATTGCTATGGTGAACGCTGCATTCCGGCTCTCGCCGGTGGATCTTGCATATATGCATACGCAGAGTGATGGCCAGGCCGATGAGCTGGCTTGGAGATCACAACACACGAATTTCGACCAGCACCGGATTCCTCAGCAAGTGATCGGGGTCCAGGAAGGCAGTATTGCCTCGTTCCCGCTCAAGTTGCGACATGCTGATACATATATTGGGGAGCGTGTCGCCCTCGTCGGTGACGCTGCCCATACCATCCACCCACTTGCGGGCCAGGGCTTGAATCAAGGACAGGGTGACGTGGAGAGTTTGGCGAACACTATCCAATATGCTGTCACTCATGGCCAGGACATCGGGGTGCGAATGTCGCTGGAACCATACAACGCGGAGAGATACGCTGCGAATAACATGCTGCTGGGCGTGGTGGACAAGTTGCACAAGCTGTACGCTGTTGAGAGTGGACCGATTGTACCATTAAGGAGTATTGGACTGAGAGCTGTGAACGCCTTGGGACCGGTAAAACAATTCTTCATGGACCAAGCCGCGGGGACTGGTGTCAAGATACTTTGAGTCGAGATTTCCTCAAAAGTTGGAATTAATCAAGTGTATAAATAGTAGGGACGGCTGTACAATTCTAGTAGCCTAGACATCAAAAATCTGTAAGAACCGGAACGCCATGCTTGTAATGCCATCGCAAAAGACTGCTTCCTCCGCATAATGACCACATCATCGCATCGAATCATAACTATCTGAACGCCTCGAGTCTCAGATCACCTCCCCTTTCTCCCAAACGCCAATCCCCAGGCCCATGAAACAACATGTCCTCTCTCCTCATCCACATCAGACCGTATTGTCATGGTAATAAAAGTCAATATCTCTCGGTCTTCTCCTATTATTGGCCACGAAGTTGGCATCTCCCTCCGGACGCTCGTTCTTGGTGTTCCCCGTCAACATACTCTGCAAGCTCATGCAGACACTCTCAACATTCTGCACGGGCGACCAGCCCTGCTGCCCCAGAAGATCCAGACAGATGATGCCGTTGGAGTAGATGTGCGGGTGCATAGGGATGGGCCGGTCCGGGGAGGACACGAAGGTTACTTCGGGTGGTTCTGGTGGGGGGGTTGTTCATTAGAATTGGTACCTTGAGGAGTGATGGGAGAGTAGAACAAACATACCAATGGGATACGAAGGGCTGAATTTGAATTTTAGTCGGTAGGTCTGGTTCATATATAGAGGGTTGGAGTCCAGGACTTGGATGTCGAGTAGCCATTCTTGAAAGCCTTCTGCAGACACGAGGGTGATTCCAGGAGGGAGGTTGCCGTGGATCTAAATGGACATGGACTAGTCAGCGATTGTGTGTAATAGAAGAAGGGGAGGTGGTCGGGAAGGTACCTTGGATAGTTCCTTTGAGAGGCGCTTTGTCGCAAATCCTGTGGCCATCTTGCGGAGGAGGGAGCAGTTGGGGAAGTCCTTATGTTGGGGAGAAGAATCAGAAGAATCGCTTTGTACTCGATGGGTTCGAGGAGGGTTATCGATAAAAGGCGGGCAGATGGGCGCTGGGCGCCAGGCGCCAAGGCATCAACATTGTCTGTGCAGTTGAATCACGCATCTCCGCTGTAAGGTACCTTACGTTAGGTACCTGTGTATAGTTAAGGTACCTAGGAGTTCAGGCATCAAGGAGATGGAGGATGGAAGGAACTCTGTTATTCTCTCCTTGATTCTCGGGGATTTTATGACCTTCTTGTCCCCTTCCGCTCGCCTCCCGGCCAAATAGGGGAAGTGACACGTGATGATCGGCACGCCCCTGAAGTGCTCAGCCACAGAGTCAGCCATAGCCCGTCTCAGCCACAGGAGAGACGATCCTCAGCCCTCTCCACTCTCCTCTCCCCTCTCTCCTCGCTCTTCTCTCCACGGCGCTCTTCTTTGCTTCACCAGCATCGAAAACCGCCGCCGCAAACATTTTGCGATCTGTTGTCTTCAATCTTATATTCTTTTTCTCCTCCCATCTTCCTTCATCTTTGCAACGCTTTTGCTTTCATTTTCTGGCGCGACATCTCTCGCTCCACCCATATCCACCGCTGCGAACTTAGCCCCACTAGTAACCTTAACATTATACCCTCGGTGATCGAGAACCCAATCCACCTCATATCCAGTTCGGAGGCAGAAAAGACCACGCGCCTTGAAACACGAGCCAGACAAGATCTTACCTATCAATTCAGTTTCAGCGACACAGCTGGCAGTCAAGATGAGCAGCTGTAAGCCTTTCTCCCCGCTTTCTTTGCGACGCCAGGCTGTGTGGTTCCCCACCACTCGATAACAGCAGAGCACCAAAGACCTAAGCAGCACCCAACCATTCCTCTTCCGCACAAATATACTTGACACTATGAAAGGATGCTGACCATTAACTCTGTTCATCCAGTCTCTAATATGCTCAATAAGCTTCACGGCCAACCAGAGAGCTATGATAAGAAGTACGCGTCCCGTACCGGTAGCCAAGAATGTCCTGACTGTCCCGCAGAGCGAAATATCGATTCGGTCGAACCCTTGGTGCCGGTACATATGGAATTGTCAGAGAGGCAGATTGCGCCAGCGGCAAGGTCGCTGTGAAAATCATTCTCAAGAAGAATGTCAAGGGCAATGAGCAGATGGTGTATGATGAGCTCGAGATGCTGCAGCGCATGAAGCATCCGCATATCGTCAAGTTCGTCGATTGGTTCGAATCTAGAGTAAGATACCTGTGTTCACTAGGAGGTGGTATGGGCTGATAACGTGCCCCAGGATAAATATTACATTGTCACACAGCTAGCCACAGGAGGAGAGTTGTTCGATCGTATCTGTGAGCAGGGCAGATTCACAGAGAAGGATGCATCGCAGACTATTCGGCAAGTTCTTGAAGCTGTCGACTACCTTCACGACAACAATGTCGTTCATCGAGGTCAGTAATGATTGGTCCGCTGGACTGACACAACCCTAATGCGAGCGTAGACCTCAAGCCCGAAAACTTGCTCTATCTCACGAGAGATCCCCATTCTGATCTCGTACTTGCCGACTTCGGTATTGCGAAAATGCTGGACTCGAAGGACGAAGTCCTTACGACAATGGCTGGATCATTTGGTTATGCCGCCCCAGAAGTCATGCTGAAGAAGGGGCACGGCAAGCCGGTAGATATGTGGTCCCTCGGTGTCATTACCTACACTCTCCTTTGCGGATACTCTCCCTTCCGAAGCGAGAATCTCCAAGACCTCATCGAGGAATGCTGTAACGGGAGCGTCGTCTTCCACGAGCGGTATTGGAAGGATGTCAGCAGTGATGCGAAGGACTTCATTGGACATCTATTACAGGCGAACGCAGAAGATCGATCAACCAGCAAGGTAAGTGGAAATGCTCCTCCCTCATGGCTCGGAACTGACGTTTCCGCAGCAAGCTCTAGCCCACCCCTGGCTCAGCGGCGAGAATGCAAGCGACCACAACTTGCTGCCAGAAATCAGAGCATACATGGCGAAGGCGCGCCTACGCCGTGGAATTGAAATCGTCAAACTTGCCAACCGAATCGAAGCACTCAAGATGCAAGAGGACGAGCATGATGATACGGAAGATCAGGCGGATGTTCCTGCTGATGCAAAGGCAGCAGCTGGGAGCGCGTTACCCGATGCAGATCATGAAGGAGCAGAGGCCAAAACAGCGGGAGGTTCTCATTCCGGGGGTAAAAAGAGTCTAAGCAACATTGCAAAGGGTGCCATCTTCAGGGAGGTGGTGATGGCCAAGGTTCGGGAGGCCAAGGAGCAAGAGCACGCGTTGCAGGTTGAAAAGGAAGCTCAGGACAGGGCTCAAAAAACGAAGAGCTTTCAGGATGGCGTTTAGGACACATAGAATGATGTGTGGATTTTCTTAGATTCGTGGTGGAATGGGATACCCACCCGTATGGGCCGCGTCTGGTTTAGTTTCTTCTGCGTTGATGAGTGTTATAATGGAAAAAAAGAAAAAAAGAAGCTCACGAGGTCCAACAATAGAACGAAAGTGTGGTGTTCAAAAAGTCTTCAGGAGGTGATCCCTAACAGAAAAGCTCATCGATATTCTATTCAGGATATGAATCTGAGTACCTAGCTATAGAAGTTCCTTAAGCGCATAGGAGAAGTGAAATCCCCCCCCCGCGCGGGTCTATGCCCGCGGGTCTATAATTTATCATCTCCCCCC